TACTGGGGGGGATTTGACTTCCAGGCTAACTGGCTGTGAGAATCAGCTGTGTCTGCAGTGGGAGAACTTCTGTCCTCTAGGGAGGTGCTAACCTAGCCTTTGCCTGAGGCTATCCTGCAAATGCCTCTGTGCAAGGCTTGGGCAGGGCGGGTTCCAGCGGATCAACAGGGCGGGTGGAGCAAGCAGTTATGGCTGCTCTCAGTCCCATCCCCAGAGGCTCTGCCTCTCAGTGTCCCAGCAACTGCTGCAAGTACCTCGGAGAGAAAGCTGTCCTCGAGTTCCGACTGATACCAGACAGTCCCGCTTCTCCCGTTTGAGTCTGGGTCCCCAGAGACTCGCCTGGAACTGGAGCTCAGAGCCTGAGACTCCCTCCCGATTGAAAACAACAACCACGCCCTCAGCCACCAGCCTGCTCCGCATGCACCTCCGCACCTTAGTATTTTACTTCCGTTCTGCGCCTCCTCTGAGTCTCGGTATGCTTTTCTATTTCCTTCTAGTTGTAGAATTTCCCCTCAGCCAGCCTTCCTGTGGTTCTGGGTGATGTCCATTCTGTCTTTTAGTTGTATTTTCGAAGTGGTTGTGCGAGGCAGCAATCTCCGGTGTTTACCTATGTCGCCATCTTGGTTTTCTCTCCTCATTGATAACTTTTAACTTCCTGTTTGTAGAAAAATTTCAAATCTGTTCTTTCTAGCCCTAATGTCAGTACTGAAATGGCTTTATCTAATGTTGATCAGAGTGCTTATGATTGATATGAAAACCAGTGACATATATAAGGATTTATATTTTGATCTCCATTCAGTTGTAGTTTTTTCCAATGAATTGTGTTTGCTCACATAAAACAGAAACTAAATCAAGAGACTCAGAATTTAAGCATATGAAGACCATATTCTAAAAGATATTACAACTTCTTGCTCCATAAAATGAATAAGCACTATCTTAAACTGTTTAGATAAAAATGTTTTCTACATAACATAGACACACATACACAACATGTATATAGAGTTGACTCTGCATCTCTGCAGATTCTGTATCCTTGGTTTCAACCAAATGTGGATCGAAATATTTGAAAAAAAGTCATGTTGCCGATAGGTACTGTGTAGTTCTGCAGTTGTAGTAGGCCAGTGGTGGTTGTATCTGTATGGAACATATGAACACACTTTTTTTTATTACTATTCCATAAGCAATACAGTATAACAACTATTTACATAGCATTAAATTATATTTGGTATTTTAAGTAATCTAGAGATGATTTGAGGTATAAGAAAGGACGTGTGTAGGTTATATGCTAATACTACACCTTTTTATATAAGGGACTTAAACATTTGAAGATTTTGAAATCTTTTAATGGTGTGGGTGGTCTTAGAACCAAAAATAACCTGTGGATACTGAGGAATGACTATGTTTATATGACAGAAATATCAAAACTAAGTTAAGCAAGACATAAATGTCCTTGACCTAACTATTCTCTCCCCACCAGGCATTTCTCAAGGCTCTCCCCACTTGCACTTACACCACCCTCAACATGATTCCCTCTGATCCACGCAATTATATCATGTTCAGGCCTGGAGTGTTCTCCTGATGTCATGTTTCACCCTCTACCTCTGACTTCTGCCCCAATTGTTCTGTCTGTGCTTCACTCATAGAATTTGAGTTGTCTTTTTCTTTAGACTTAGCCAGAGAAAGAACTATGCTTTTATTTTTTTCAGAAAATCTTTTTTTTTTTTTTTTTTTTTTACAGTTCTGAGTATATGAAACAGTTTTTTTTCTTTTTTTTTTTTTTATTATTAGTTAAGGTATTACAAATGTGTCCTCATCCCCCCCATTAACCCCCAACCTCCCCCCCCACACACACTCATGCTACCATCCCCCTGTTGTCCATGTCCATTGGTATGGCTTATATACATGTATACAAGTCCTTCGGTTGATCTCTTCCCCTTACCCCCGCCCTCCCCTACTTTCCTTCTGGGGATTGATAGCCTGATTGCTGTTTCTCAGTCTTTGAGTCTGTCCCTTTTCATCAGTCTATGTTGTTCTCTATAATCCACAAATGAGTGAGATCATGTGGTATTTATCTTTCTCTGACTGGCTTATTTCACTTAGCATAATGCTCTCCAGTTCCATCCATGCTGTTGCAAAAGGCAAGAGTTCCTTTTTTTTTACCGCAGCATAGTATTCCATTGTGTATATGTACCACAGTTTTCTAATCCACTCATCTGCTGATGGGCACTTAGGCTGTTTCCAAATCTTAGCTATGGTGAATTGTGCTGCTATGAACATAGGGGTGCATATATCCTTTCTGATTGGCGTTTCTGGTTTCTTGGGATATATTCCTAGTAGTGGGATCACTGGGTCAAATGGGAGTTCCATTTTTAGTCTTCTGAGGTAGCTCCATACTGTTCTCCACAGTGGCTTCACCAGTCTGCATTCCCACCAGCAGTGCAGAAGGGTTCTTTTTTCTCCACATCCTCTCCAACACTTGTTGTTTGTTGATTTGTTGATGATAGCCATTCTGACAGGTGTGAGATGATAACGCATTGTCGTTTTGATTTGCATCTCTCGTACAATTAGTGACTTTGAGCATGTTTTCATATGTCTTTCGGCCTTCTGTATGTCCTCTTTCGAAAAGTGTCTATCTAGGTCCGTTGCCCATTTTTTTATTGGATTGTTTATCTTCCTTTTGTTAAGTTTCATGAGATCCCTGTAAATGTTGGAAATTAAACCCTTATCGGTGGTATCATTGGCAAATATGTTCTCCCATGTAGTGGGTCTTCTTGTTGTTTTGTTGATGGTTTCCTTTGCTGTGCAAAAGCTTTTTATTTTGATGTAGTCCCATTTGTTTATTTTCTCTTTAGTTTCCATTGCCCTAGGAGCATTATCAGAGAAGAAATTTCTTCGGCATATGTTTGCGATTTCGCTGCCTGTGGATTCCTCTAGTATTTTTATGGTTTCCCGTCTTACGTTTAAGTCTTTTATCCATTTTGAGTTTATTTTTGTGTATGGTGTGAGTTGGTGATCTAGTTTCATCCTTTTGCATGTATCTGTCCAATTTTCCCAACACCATTTATTGAAAAGACTGTCTTGACTCCATTGTATGCTCTTGCCTCCTTTGTCGAATATTAATTGGGCATATTGGTTTGGGTTGATTTCTGGGGTCTCTATTCTATTCCATTGATCTATATGTCTGTTCTTGTGCCAGTACCAAGCTGTTTTAAGAACAGTGGCTTTGTAATACAGTTTGATATCTGGTATTGAGATCCCTCCTACTTTGTTCTTTCTCAGGATTGCTGCAGCTATTCGGGGTCTTTTTTTATTCAGACCCCATAGAAATACAAAGGATTGTTAGAAAATACTATGAACAACTCTACTCCAACACACTAGACAACCTGGAGGAAATGGACATATTCCTAGATAAATACAACCTTCCAAAACTTAACCAGGAAGAATCTAAAAATCTCAATAGGCCAATAACTATGGAGGAAATCGAAGCAGTAATCAAAAAGCTTCCAGCAAACAAAAGCCCGGGGCCAGATGGCTTCACAGGGGAGTTTTACCAAACATTCAAGGAAGACCTAAAACCTATCCTCCTCAGACTATGTCAAAAGATCCAAGAGGAAGGAGCACTTCCCAGCTCATTCTATGAAGCCAACATCACCCTAATCCCAAAACCAGATAAAGACAATACAATGAAAGAGAATTACAGGCCAATATCCCTCATGAACATAGATGCCAAAATCCTCAACAAAATCCTAGCAAATCGGATCCAGCAGTACATCAAAAAGATCATACACCATGACCAAGTAGGATTTATCCCAGGGATGCAAGGATGGTACAATATCCGCAAATCAATAAATGTGATACATCACATAAACAAATTGAGAGAGAAAAACCACATAGTCATATCAATTGATGCGGAAAAAGCATTTGACAAAATCCAACACCCTTTCTTGATAAAAACTCTCAGCAAGATAGGAATTGAGGGATCATACCTCAACATAATAAAAGCCATATATGACAAACCCACAGCCAACATCATAATCAATGGGCAAAAACTAAAACCATTCCCCCTAAAAACAGGAACAAGACAGGGATGCCCCCTCTCACCACTCCTGTTCAACATAGTACTGGAAGTACTAGCCATTGCGATCAGACACGAAGAAGAAATAAAAGGCATCCAGATTGGAAAAGAAGAAGTAAAACTGTCCTTATTTGCAGATGACATGATACTGTACATACAGAACCCTAAAGACTCCATCAAAAAATTATTAGACTTAATAAATGAATTTGGCAATGTAGCAGGATACAAAATTAATGCTAAGAAATCCATGGCATTTCTTTACACCAATAGTGAACCTACAGAAAGTGAAACTACAGGAGCAATCCCATTTACCATTGCACCAAAAAAATTAAAATACCTAGGAATAAACTTAACTAAGGAGGTAAAAGACTTATATGCTGAAAACTACAGGACACTGAAAAAAGAGATAGAGGAAGACATAAACAGATGGAAGAATATACCGTGTTCATGGATTGGTAGAATCAACATCATCAAAATGTCCATACTACCCAAAGCAATTTATAGATTCAATGCAATCCCCATTAAATTACCAACAGCATATTTCACAGATCTAGAACGAACGTTCCAAAAATTCATCTGGAATAAAAAAAGACCCAGAAAATCTTTTGTATCCATAGTATCTAGTATAGTGACTGGCACACAGAAGGTATCAATGAATGAATTATATGCACAGTTAATTTACTATCATTCTTTTTGCTTTATTTATCCCTATAAAAGAACAGGAGACAATGAATGGAGTTATTTATTTATTTATTTATTTATTTATTAGCAGGCAAAAATATTTCTGGAGGGATGTAGAAGCCTCCTTGGAGTTGTAGAAATTTACAGAACTAAGATTATGGTAAAAGGTTTGTATGAAAGCATTGTGATTGTATCACTGAACTGAATTGCAATATAATTATAAATATTTTATGTTCAATTTCAGATCGCAGAGGAGGGGTCCACCATTTCGTGTGTGGTGGAGCGGACCCGAGGAGCTCTGGGTTACGTACATGTCTTTTACACCATCTCGCAGATCGAATCTGATGGCATTAATTATCTTGTTGATGATTTTGCTAATGCCAGTGGGACTATCACATTCCTTCCTTGGCAGAGATCAGAGGTAAACCCTACCTTCTTTGTTTCTTTGACAGGCTCCTGGAAAGCTCTTTCTGATCTGTTCTGGTATTTATTTGCAGCTGCTTGATATTTAAGCAATTTAAAATATTTAGGCAATTAGGTATGTGTCAGGGTATAAAATATTAAAAAAAAATTTTTTCTTACTGATTTCAGGGAGGAAGGGATAGGAATAGAGAAACATCAATGATGAGAGAGAATCATGGATTAGTTGCCTCCTGCACACCCATGATTGAGCCCGGCCACGTGCCCGACCAGGAATAGAACCGTGACCTCCTGGTTCATAGGTTGGCGCTCAATTACTGAGCCATGCAGGCTGGTCTGAAATATTTTGTATTTATGCAAAAGGAAATTAAGGATTTTGAATGGTGTGATGTGTGTTATAGTTTTATGTGTACCTTAATCCCAGTAGAATAAAGGTGGTATAGCTTGGAGGTTTATTATTGCAGGGTTTTTGTTATTACTGATACAATGGGAAACGGCGGAATTCTGAATGGTATTTTTTTACGCAATGAGAAATTCTTGTAACTATAATCTCATTTTATTTTTAAATTTGGAAAGAATGAGGTGATTTTTATTTTGTTTTGAATTACAAGTGCTCTCCAGTGTTACCAAAACTTTTGATGAACCATCATTGCATTTCTGAATAGATGCTCCAGAAATAAATGACACTCTTTGTAAGTGAAATTGGGATGAGACCTCTTCCTATATCAGAATTAATTTTAAAAAAAATAGATTTAGTTATACCTTGATCAGTTTCAAACACTTTTCACTAAAATGAACAATTATTTTAGTATGTATCAACACTTGAAAAATATTTATTGCTTCAATTTTAATGTACACTTGATGTTTTGGAGTCACTTTTCATAGCAACATTTGTCAGCTTGCATTCTAGAGGTAAGACATCTTAAATCATCAGGCTGTTGAGTGTTCCCCTTAGTTAAAGAGCAGTGGCATTATTTTGGGTAGTGAGCACATTGGCTGTGTCATGTATTACTTTCTTAATGAAAAATTAACATTAGCCTGCCCAGTGTGGCTCAGTAGTTGAGCTTTGATCTATGAACCAGGAGGTCATGATTCAATTCCTGGTCAGGGCACATGCCCAAATTGTGGGCTCGATCCCCAGTGGAAGGCATGTAGGAGATAGCCAATCAATGATTCTCTCTCATCATTGATGTTTTTATCTCTCTCTTGCTTTCCCTTCCTCTCTGAAATCAATAAAAATATATTAAAAAACACACAACACAAATATAATTTAATTGCTCTTCTATTCTGGGAAGTGATAAATAATTTATACATTCTTCATTGCTTAATGCTTCTGGATTTTTATTTGTTTAGGTTCTGAATATATATGTTCTTGATGATGACATTCCTGAGCTAAATGAGTATTTCCGTGTGACATTGGTTTCTGCAATTCCTGGAGATGGGAAATTAGGTTCAACTCCCACCAGTGGTGCAAGTATAGATCCTGAAAAGGAAACTACAGATATCACTATCAAAGCCAGTGATCATCCATATGGTAACTAAGCCCTTTTGCAAGAATAATCCTCTCTTCTCTGGGTGTACTTGGTCTTGTTAATAAATTCTTAAGTGATTTTTTTTACAAATGATTTATGTAGAACTCCTTCAGACCCTCTTGCTTCTAAGCTCTTGAATTTCTAAGCTCCCATTTTGAGGGACATTGCTTATGAAGGAAAATTTAAAGGTTAATTTCTGAAGTTTAATAATATATTTTCAAAAGTATATGTAGGATTATTTAAAATGAATGAAAGTGTTTCTATTCATGGCTATCAAAACATTTAAAAATATTATCCTAGTGTGATAAGTTAACATCTAATTAATTTAAATACTTTGTAATTTATTAAGCATTAAGAAGTGGAGTTTTTATTATATAGTATATATTAAATTCTTTTGTCTTATGCTGAAAAATTATAAATTCCTTAATTGGGGAACTATTATAGAAAAACTGAAACTGTTTTCTGCATTGAAAATTTAAAGTTCTTTTATAGGAATAAAGCAAGAATATCTATTAAAAGGTCTGTGTAGGAATGGGGGATAAAAAAGGAATATCTGTAATACTTTCAACAATAAAGATAAATAAAAGGTCTGTGTAGGAAAAGTGGGAGGCTCTTCAACTCTGTTTTCATAGTTAAATTTAAAAAATGTATTACAAATCTTAAGTTCAAGAATGAGTTCTAGAAACCCAAATATGAGTAAATGTTTGATGATATATACTTTAATACCCTTTCACTATTCTTTTTATTGATACATAGGTCAGTTTTTTTAAAGACTTTTTTGGGTAGAGACAAGAAAAATTAACACTTTAATTTTTAACATTCTGAAAACTAAACATTTTGTGTCAAAAGCATGTTAATCAAATCTTCATTAAAGTCCTTTATAAATGATCAAAACAATTGTGCAAGACTGTTTCAAATGAATAAGAAATTCTTCCCAATAAGAAATTGGGCCAGAATGCCCTGCCTCTCTCTGTTTCTGCCAGGCTTGCTGCAGTTCTCCACCGGGCTGCCTCCCCAGCCTGAGGACACGATGACCCTGCCTGCAAGCACTGTTCCACACGTCACGGTGCAGGAGGAAGATGGAGAAGTTAGGCTATTGGTCGTCCGTGCACAAGGACTCCTGGGGAGGGTGATGGCGGAATATAGAACAGTGTCCTTGACAGCATTCAGCCCTGAGGACTACCAGGTAAATCACTTCATCCTTCTGAAGTGGTATTTGCTCTTGTAAAACACACAGTCCTTGGCAGGAGTGGAAGGGACGTGGCACTGTACCTGGGACATAACTAAACAAGGAAAATAAGCACCGATGGCTTTTTAAATTTATGTAAATTAATGTACTTCAGTCCCTTGAAGCCAGAATCTTAAATGGCTATCATACTGATTTCACTGGGACCTTATATTTGTCATAGGCTTCACCTGTATTTATTTTAATGTTATAGGTTTTGTTCTGATATATTTAAAATTGTATTTCTTACACATTTTATATCCTCTTGTCTGCATCCATCAAACAAAACCAAAATGATAAAGAAATTATATGTTCATGTCTTTCAATTTTAATTATTTTTTTTTCTCCAAGTGAGAAGCAGTGTGGTACTGGGAAAAAAAGTCTAGTTAAATTTCTCTTGTCCTGACATTTATTGTATCTTTACCTACTTTGGTATGAAAGATACTCCACAAGACATCTCAGCTTGGCTTAGGATTGTCTTCTCTGCATCCTCTTAAAGAACACTTTAGTTCTTATATTGTCTTCAGTTTCTAGGTAATCTGAACATTCCCACTTTCCAGTTGTATTAGCCTTTAATTTAATAACTAAAACAAAAACAACACAAACCTACGTTCCCCTTCTCCATTACAGTTGGAAAGCTAATACCTTAGGGGACATTTGTGAGGGTTTTCAGTGGCCTAGATGCCCTGCTTCTCACCTGTTACTACTTTGAGTCTTTATATCTGGAAACCTGATAACCTTTGCTCTTACCAAGTCTCTATGATGCGTCAGCTATCTCTGGTCTATGTTAACACAGAAGTAAGATTTTTGAAGCTGTGCATGTGAGTACATGTGTATGTTACAGGGAGGGTGGGGAGGTGCCAGGAAGGATCTGTACAGAATAGGAGACAATTGAATATCAGGTATCACTGTTCTGAACTATATTCTCATATACAAAGATACAGGTGATTCTCACTACCCAGGTATTTACTTTAGCTCTCAAGTGATATTAACCAACTGATTAATAACTGACTCATAGTTGTGGGAAGTGTTCAGAGCTGGGACTCTGAGAGACAGGTGGGTGATGACATAGTCTGGGTAGTCAAGGAAGACTTTCTTGGGGAATTTATATCTGTGCTGAACTCTGAAGTTTAAAGTTGGAGGAGAAAACCAGTAAGCTAGATCCGTGGTCGGCAAACTGTGGCTCTCGAGCCACATGCGGCTCTTTGTCCCCTTGAGTGTGGCTCTTCCTAAGCCTTAGGAGTACCCTAATTAAGTTAATAACAATGTACCTACCTATATAGTTTAAGTTTAAAAAATTTGGCTCTCAAAAGAAATTTCAATTATTGTACTGTTGATATTTGGCTCTGTTGACTAATGAGTTTGCCGACATCTGAACTAGATGAAGGGGAAAGAATTACTTGAAACTGGTGGTAAAATGGCATGAACCAAATGGTAAAATGGCCTTAATTAGGGAAAAGCACAGGCTGGCAGAAGAACAGTAAGAAGACCAGTATTTCTGGAAAGATGAGAGATAGTTGTGGTGATAAAAGATAAGGTATGCAGAGACTGGATCATTCTAGGCTTTACAGACTGTATGGCTTTTATTGTGAAAACAAGGAGAAGTAATTGAAGTTGTTATGTATTTATAAAATATCATTAGGCTGACCCATGGAGAATGGAATTAGAAGATGTAGACACTGCATGCAGAAAGACCAGTAAATAGTCCATTTTATGGAGCAAGGCAAGAGATGATAGTATCTGGGACTGGGCAGGTAACAGTGTAGATGAAATAGGTGGGCACAAGAAATATTGAGTTAAATACTCAATGCAGATACAGGTAGGATTTGAGGATTGTTTAATGTGAAGGATAAAGCAAAGAGGGTATCAAAGTGACTCCTCTGTTCCTGGCATAAGCAACTTGCTACTCTATAACTTTGTGCTGAGGAGAGGATTAGGTAAGGCATAGATTTTAAGGAAGATCAGAATTTAAAATTCTAACAAATTATACGAAAAATTCGAGGTAGATGTTAATACTTAAGTCTGGAATCAGAGGTTAGAAATAGAAATTTGAGAGTTGGGAGCACATAAATGATATTAAAAGTCTAGAGTATGATAGTTTTGTCTAAGGAGAGAGTTTAGATTCTGATGAACAGCAATTTTTAGAGATCACAGGAGAATGTTAAAATTGACAAACAACACTAAAAAGGATGAGCTGGAAAGGAAGGTAAGACAGGAGAGTGGGATATGATGGAATACTGGAGAAGAACATGTTTCCAGAGGAGGAAGTGGCCAATTATGTAAGATTTGCTAAGGTCAAGAAAGATGGTTTCCTAAGACAGTCACATGTTATTTCTGTTAAGACTTGCAGAATTACCCCACTGACAACTATACTCCTGGAAAAGTTAATTACTTCCTTTTTTGAGCTAACTATGTGTCTTTTATTGCAATTGTTACTCTGTTTGAATTATTGTATTACATACTTACACTTCTTCTGGAATGTTCTTGATGGAGTTAGAGATTTGTTTTCACCATTTAAAAATATGTATATTTTTATTGATTTTAGAGAGGAAGGGAGAGGGAGAGAGATAGAAACATCAGCAATGAGAGATAATCATTGATTGGCTACCTCCTGCATGCCCCCTACTGCCCACAACCCTGGATATGTGCCCTGACTCAGGATCGAACCATGAACTCCTGCTTCATAGGTAGAGTCTCAACCACTGCGCCATGTTGGCTGGGCTGTCTTGACCATTTTTGAATCTGAAGTATCGAAAATGGTGCCATGCACATGCTATATATGTTTGATAAATATTAAAAAAGTTAATGAATGTGTGATTAAGGGAGTTGGTACTTGGGTTGCTCATTTTACCTTTGAAATCATTAATAGTTCAATAAGATGATATATATGTTACACAAGGCAGCATTAGAAAAACTTAATATAAAAAATGCTCATAAGTTTAGGGGAAAATGCTTATATAAGAAATAGAAAAAAGGGCCTTAAGACTGAATTTAAATAACGTTTTGTTTCTTGTAGTATGTGAAGATCTATAATATGGGAGACCTATATTATACAGTGCAGTTTCAAGTATAGACAAGGAAAAGTTAATGTCCAATGGACCCATATTTATTATTGCTTGGAAAAACTCTCAGGACAGAAATGCCATTATTATTATGTATTATATATTTAAATTACTCAGTTATATAATTTAAGTAATTCTAAACATTCTTGTTCAAGAGAATTTTGGTCATCTCATGGAATTCTTCAGAAATTTATATTTCTCATTTGCCTGGATTACATTTTTGATGAATAGGCAAATAAGAAAGAAAATTTTTTTATTTTATTTAGTTGGGGAATATTTAGTTGGAATTTATATTGAACACTATATGTATTTACTTCAGTATTTCTAATTTTATATTTACTTAGGTTCTTCTGTTTCAGTATTTAAAATAATTTTGGACAGAGAACATTCTCATTCTGTACATTCACATACAGAATAATTATAATCTAATGGATAAATCTCTCATTTGCATTTCAGAGTGCTGCTGGTACCTTAGAATTTCAACCAGGAGAAAGATATAAATACATTTCTGTTAATATAACTGATAATTCTATCCCTGAATTGGAAAAATCTTTTAAAGTTGAATTGTTAAACTTGGAGGGAGGAGGTAAGTCTGGTGACTCAAAAATATCAAATATTTGTCCACACACCATGATTGTAATTCTGTTATGGAAATATGTTCCTTTGAATTAATGTTACCCTTTTTTCCATAAATGTGTATATTACTAGTTTTTGGAAAGAACAGTTTGAACATTAATAATTGCTTAATGTATATAGACAATCCTATGGATCATCCCTTTCTTGGTAAAAAGAAAATGTTTTATCTTCCTACATAAATGTATGATACTAGTTTTAGAAATCAATATTAAATTCATAGTTTCATTTACATATATTTTTGCTGTGAGGATTGGTTAATTCTGAGTTAATATCTCTAATTTTTATTATAAGGATACCATCTACTGTGGTATTTTTTCCCCCTTTTTATTACCTGTTGGTCTATTCCTAAAGTAGGTGTGCTTTTAGAATGAAATAGGATAATTGCCCTGAATCACCAAATTGTAGTTGTCAGTCATAGTTGGTGCCCCTAAAATCAGTTCTTTCCTTTGATCCTTTATTTAATTTTTACAATAGCTCCTTTAGAGCTACTCCAGGTGTGGCGTAGGTAAGAACTAATCCTTTCAGGTAATCTATTATGAAGTGATTATCAATAAAACAGGTCAATAGTTCCTTATCCTCTATTCTGATATTCAGAAAGCTCTGATTACCAAAGAGTTTTGGAGTAAAAAAAATAATTTTTTAGTTAAACTCCTATCTATCAAAGAGAGGCTATTTATAATCTTTATTATCCCACTTACATTTACTCTTTATGTATGTTTCTTTGCAGAAGTATTAATGTGTTTGATTTTCAGGTGCTAGTAAGGTGTTATAGAATACATGTGATATGTATCACATTACCTTTGTAAATGTAAGAAATTTGAGAATTGTTATGTTATTCATCAGGGCAGTCTCTTCCAGTACATAACCTGGCATTATTATCTTCACTAGAGGCCTGGTGCACAAAATTCATGCACTCGGGGTGCCCCTCAGCCTGGCCTGAGCCCTCTTGCAGCCCAGGAGCCCTTGGGGGATGTCTGACTGGGAGTGGGCCTAAGCCGTCAGTCAGACATCCTTAGTGCTGCTGCAGAGGCGGGAGAGGCTCCCACCATCGCCACTGTGCTCACCAGCTGTGAGCCCAGCTTCTGGCGGGGCGGCGCTCCCCCTGTGGGAGTGCACTGACCACCAGGGGGCAACCCTGCTTTTATCGTCTGCCCCCTGCTGCTCAGTGCGCATCATAGCGACTGGTCATTCCACCATTCAGTCGATTTGCATATTAGCCTTTTATTATATAGGATATTTGATGAAGAAAGTCATAGTACTATGTATACATCATCCACAGGGAGACATGGGGTAGGACAGAAGTATTATGATTGGCTTTTAGTGTGTAGTGAGACTTTGGGTTAAGTATGCAAAATTTCCCCAACGTCTAATGAAAGCATGGGTGGGCAAGCTAGGGAAATAATTAAACAGCACACTACAGTTTGGTTGACTGCATAAAACAATAAAAATATGATGGGTGGCCTGTTTGGCACATAGCATGTTAAAATACCAGCTTTGCTTGTTCTCTATGGACAAGTCCCCAGATCTCCATTATTTTCATTAATCCAAGGTCACTATAAATTATTTAAAAAGTGGTTCTCTGTATCACTTATAGTTAAAAATACTATGTAACTGAACATATGTTATTGATCATTTCCTAGTATTGATTGATAAAGAACATTGAATATTCTTCAGAAATGATATTTGTGACCATAGTAATACTTGTGATTTTATGTAGAAATTTCTTCCCATATCTTTATAATACGCATTGCTGTGTATTGATTGAGCCTCAGTACTCATTTGAAAACCAGTCTTGCAGTTTCTTAGTAAGCAAATAGTGGCAGAGAATCTGATTTCCCCTCTACCCAAGGGAGTTGGAATGGGAGGTAAAGGAATCTAGATACTGTCCTCCACTTGCTGAGTCATATAGCCATGAGACTGCCTGAGAAGCAAAAAAGCTTGAGATCTAAATTCTGCTGAGAGTAAAGGAATTAACCCTCATTCCATACTAGTTTGTCTATAAAACTGATTCCACCTAAGATAGCCAGCCCATTGAATAGATGTTATGTGCTAGCCAGAGTACATTGGTATTGAACTTCACCCTTCTTTCTAACAACTAGTGGATAATATGGGGGCAAAGCCATGCAGTAGATATTCTCTGAAATCTATTTTGCCTCTTAAGTTTTTAAGACATTTCAGGTTTGGGGTGCCATAGCTTCTCATATCTGGTATATCCCAGTCCTACTGAGGGGAACAGAAGAGCAGGACAGATCTAAGACTAGCATGCCAGTCAAGGACACCAGTAGAAGCACATTGGTATGGATGTGGCCTTGCTTCTACTCCTCCTTTCCCCCCACTGCTATCATCGCTGCCCTTCCTGTCTTTATTGTCTGCAAGCATTTGGTAAAGTAATGGTGGGGGGATAAGATGTATTGGAAGTAAAGGTAAAAGTACTTTCTCTTAATTATAGTCCTTGTTTATTGCCATGGTACTTTATTTTTCATAATATTATTTACTTCATCTTTACAGCCATGCTATAAAATGTAACATTTTTTTTGTAGGTGAGAAAGTTGAGGTACCAAGAGGCTTAGTGCCTTGCTGAAGGTTTTACAGCTGGTATCTCTCATAGCCAGGGCTGAAGCAGAGAGTTTTAGACTGCCTGCCTAGGGTTCTTTCCACAGTGTCAGATGCAAAAGGGTAATCAAACCTGAAAATGGTGAACTATGGGGGAATTTGAATGTGTGGCTGGAGGGAAATGTTTGATGCATTTCCCTAATTTAGAATTGGTTGTTGTGATTGAAAAGGTACCTGTAGGAGGCATATAGGTCTGAGTGTACCCACAAACAGATATTTTTAAAATATTTAAAATATTAAAACAATTTACATTTCTGTAAATGAAAATTTAAAATTAAATTGGCAGAAATGGGAAATACCAATTACAGCTTACATGGAGTATTTCCGGAGGCTATGAATGATGTTTTTTTAAGTTGGTAGCTTAACTAATTTATACTTTTACCACTTAACAGATCTATCTTTTTGTGTGTGTGTTTGTGGAAGAATGCATATTATTGATGAATATTACTGCATTTTCCTCTTTACTGAATATGTCTTAAGAGTTCTTAATTTTCTCATTGTGTCAATGTGTGTTGTGTGGGTTGTGTCTCTGTGTTTCTCCTTGAAAAGTGACTGCTGAACTCTATAGGGTTGATGGCAGTGGTAGTGGTGATGGGGACATGGAATTCTTCCTTCCAACTATTCACAAACGTGGTAAGCAGCTGATCTAAGGCCGTTTACTGTCCTACATTTTAACTTTCCTTTTTAGAGACAAAAAATACTAACCAATATTGACACCTACTATACACAAGTCCTTCATATATTTTATCTCCTTAACCATCACAGCACTTTATGAGGTATTATTTGCCCCATGTTATAGTCACCCAGCTAGAAAGTGATCAAGTCAGAATCGAGTCGGCCTGCCTCCAAAGCTTAGATTCTCATCTCTGTATGAGCCTACTGCAGTTTCCTGATTCTAATTGGAATAGAAATTTTGCTTTAATATAATTTACAAGTGATTATTGAAAAACATTTTACATAGTCTTGAATACCTAAAGAGACGTAAATAGAACATTTATATTTTCATGTTAAATGAATCACTTTAATTTTTTTTTTTTTTGCAAAAAGAACCATGAATCTTTATATGTTGCATTTAGTCAAAACAAATGGGAAAAAGAATTTAAGAAGAGAATAAATGAGGAGAATAAGTTGCCTATTAATGTGAGGAAATATTGAAAAGATGATAATTTTTGAAGTATATTTATATACGAACATGATTCACCTTTTCCCCTCAAATATTTTTTATGTTAGGAGAAAATACATAGAATACTTGTTTCTTAAGGGAGAACCTTCTCCTTTTTCACAATCTCAGGTTTTATATGTTAGTGTCAGAACTCATGTTCCCACCCCTCTCATTTCTAACTTCCTTCAGTGCATCATGTAATCTCTGTATTTAATGACTACTATTTTTAGATTTGTTTACTTATTTATTTTTGCCTGCATCCATTAAACATAACAGTCGAACATCTCAGGAAAAGAATTACTTATTTAGATTTGGATATCTTTTTAGTTATAGGATTGGACTCTTTGGGACTAGGAGAGGTAGATCTAGAATATCATAATATGATGAAAAAAACTGGCCTAAAATTAATGCACATTTAGAAACCAAGAATCAGTTCAGTCAGATTAATGAAAATCATAGGGAAACTACTGTTTCATAAAGGGAAAAGTCATTTGGCTCATGTTCTTCTGAGGTCAGTAAAGGTCGTGGGAGACTTTCCTTATAGACTTTGTATGGAAGAATGTTCTCTTTCACAGAAAAGAAAAAGAAAAACAAGTTTTCCTTATTCATCTGCAAATGCTTATGCCGCACTTGTATATCACATTGGTACCAAAATAGAGAAAGGTCATAAAAGCATGAATATGTGTGGCAACCATTCGTGTCAGCCTTTCTAAAACAAATTAGAAGTACTCAGTGAATAGTACAACTGTTTTCAAAGGTTGTTGCCTGCCTTTTCCTTTGGTTTATAAATTACTGATTAGCATTCTCTTGCTATTTGTTGGAACTTATTCATGCAGCCAGTCTAGGAGTGGCTTCCCAAATACTAGTGACAATTACGGCCTCTGACCATGCTCATGGTGTATTTGAATTTAGCCCTGAGTCACTCATTGTCAGCGGAACTGAACCAGAAGACGGGTACAGCACTGTTATATTCAATGTGAGTACATTTTTTTCCTGCAGTCCTAGACATGTTCTGTTCTCTTAAAACTCTTTTATTGTATCATGAAGGTGTATTTTAGGTCAGTTTTTTCTATGTAGGTGGAGGGAATGAGTCTAGTGGCACAAACAATACAAATTTACCACTAAATAGTGATTTAGCATTTGTCTTTGGTTTTGCATACAAATTTATCTTACGATTTTTAGGATTCCTGACTCTTTAAGGAATGTAATGGAGCTTTAGCACATATGTATTTTTTTATTCATTCAGATATTCTGTTTAACAAACGTCTCCAAAATCTCAATGTATAACCGGACAATCAGTGGGCCCATGCTGCCTATCACTATGTGAGCCAATTAAGCAGAGACAGGGTTGAATCATTTCTGAGTGTTTATTCCAGTATTGCTGGCAGTATGGAGAGTAGCAGGCCATCCACAGAAATCTGCTCTGTATACCCCACCATAAGCCAGCTGCTTATATTGGGTAAAAGGACAAAGATTATATGGGAAAGCAGTTTACCAAATGGGCAGTTAACAGAGAAGCAGAGGGGATCTTCAAAGGGCTTAGTGATATGCAAGGGCTGGTGATTCCGTTTCTGCAGCAAACTTGTTAATCTCTTCATGACTAGAGGCCTGGTGCATGAAATTCATGCGGGGGGGGGTGGGGTGGGGGGTGGTGTCCCTCAGCTTGGCCTGCACCCTCTCCAATCTGGGACCCCTCGGGGGATGTCCGACTGCTGGTTTAGGCCTGCTCACCTGCCTGCCTTGCCTGATTGCCCCTAACTGCTTCTGCCTGCCAGCATGATCACCCCCTAACCCAGTGGTTCTCAACCTTCTGGCCCTTTAAATACAGTTCCTCATGTTGTGACCCAACCATAAAATTATTTTCGTTGCTACTTCATAACTGTAATGTTGCTACTGTTATGAATCGTAATGTAAATATCTGATATGCAGGATGGTCTTAGGTGACCCCTGTGAAAGGGTCATTTGACCGCTAAAGGGGTCGCGACCCACAGGTTGAGAACCACTGCCCTAACCTCTTCCCTGCCGGCCTGATTGATGCCTAACTGCTCTCCTGTTAGCCCGATCGCCTCCAACTGCCCTCCCCTGCCAGCCCAATTGTCCCCAACTGCTCTTCCCTGACAGCCTGATGGCTCCCAACTGCCTTCCCCTTCTGGCCTAGTCGCCCCCAGTTGCCCTCTCCCTGCCACCCTGGTCATCCCTAACTGCCCTCTCCTGCTGGCCTGATCACCCACAGCTGCCCTCTCCTGCTGGCCATCTAGTGGCGGCCATCTTGTGATGATGACATCATGTGAGGGCGTGATGCCACCGAGGCTTTTATTATATAGGATAATAGGCAGCTCCAAATGGGGAGGATTGGCTGCATTGCCAGGTGAGCTCCCAGGTCCCTTGTGTAACTGCCAGCCAGATTAGAAAGTGCCTTCTTTAATCAAAAAAACAATCACAGTTAACAGAGCATGGTTAATATTTCTTACAATTCTAGATGGTTCCCCAACATTCTATTTCTGCCCCTATCAAGTAGTTTACTACAACAAAGTTTTGTTTGTCACTCGTGTATGTGTCAAACTTACATAGGCAATCATTAGTTGTTTATGTGAAATAGGCCAGTAAACCAGGAAAAAGACATTTAGCTGAACAAACTGGCCATGCAATTTATAGCTGATAATAGAAGGTTACCTCCCTCGCGAGACCATCTAGGCTTCAGTTGTATTTTAGTTCCATGCCCAGAAAAGCAGCAAAACCAGGTGGGCACCAGCAGAACCAGTTGCAATGACAAATGACCCCTTGCCCTAGAGCTGACCAATGAGTGAAGACCAGGACCCTGAAAGGGCACACCTGGAAAACTGATGAATATTCTGCTCAAACCCTCCTCTGAGACCTCCCCTAGGATGCCCACCTGCAAGAGAAATAAAAACCCTCAACACAAAGGACCAGCACCAGCTTTCCCTATGAGGAGCATTCCTGCACCTTCTCCTCCGACCCCCGCCTCCCCACCGCCTCCCCTTCTTCCACACACAGGCACAAATCTCCTAAACTCTAAGGGACCTAAACTCTAAGGGACCCCATGAGACCTGCAACCAGTAGAGAAATGGGCAGTGGCAGCTCATCTCAGGCTAATAATCCCCTTGAACCGGTCTCCATGGCCCCGTTTTCTCCTAATGCAGCGGTTCTCAACCTGTGGGTCGTGACCCCTTTGGCGGTCGAATGACCCTTTCACAGGGGTCACCTAAGACCATCCTGCATATCAGATATTTACATTACGATTCATAACAGTAGCAACATTACAGTTATGAAGTAGCAACGAAAATAATTTTATGGTTGGGTCACAACCTGAGGAACTGTATTTAAAGGGCCAGAAGGTTGAGAACCACTGTCCTAATGAGACTTCCCAGTGAGCGAAGGCAGCCTGCCTTGGCTTATTCCTTTCCTGTGGCATTTTTAGAGAAACAAAGCTGCCCAGCCTCGGCTGTCCTGTTGCTTACTCTATGCTAAGCCCTTTTTTTTCTTTCATTGTCCTCAGCTTTAATAAATGTACCTTTAAAGTCACCTGGACTCCTGCTGTGGAATCTTTACTGCTTAAAGTTAAGAACTCACAGGCAGACCTGCTCAGGGCCAGGGACTGAGGGTTACAGAGGCCACAGCTTAACAGGCACTTCTGTCTTTAAGAAGGGGAAATGTGGATGTGGAGAACTACATACTGGCTTCTTTCTGGAAGTGAGGCACAGCATTTACACGTACATGTCCTTGGTTAAAGCAAATCACATGACCATGCTAATGTTAAAGGGTAGAGAAGTGCAGTCTTGTCTTATCTCTTTCCCAGAAGGAAAGAAAACCCACAGTGTTTGTGGACAGCAATAATAACACTATACAGGGTGTATGTGTGTGTGTATGTGATTGTGTGTACCTACTCTGCATTTTTTCCCAGTAGGACTTGAATAGTTTTCTATTGTTAAATAAACTCAGGGGAGCTAGAAGCTTGCTCAGCTTCCTGAGATTGTATATAAATAATGAAGAAAAATCACTCAAAATATATCCCTCCTGCACTCTTATGACAGATCTTCAATAAACGTTCTGGAGTAAATTGAACAACTTCAGCAACAGTGACTAATTACTCAAGAAAGAAAATAAAAAAGGATTATAGGAGAGGATAAAGTTTTATAAAATTTCTGTCTCACATTTTATTTTGAGACAACATATTTTAAGTATAAATTAAAATCATGTTTAGTTGGAACTTATTTGGAACATTTTTAAAGCTTTATCTTCTTAACATATTGACAAAAAGGCATTTCTTCCTTCTTAGATGTATTTTATGTAACCTTGGGTCAAATATGTGTTTGGTGAGTTTGTTTTTCATATTAATTTGAAGATAAAGGAAATACTATAATTTGTTTTTAAAAACAACTTTTATGGCTTTTCATTATAAATGTTACTCGTCTATTTACAATGAAGTATGTATCATAAATTCAGTAAATATAAAAATGGTAATGAATGTTCTTAAATATAATACATTTTAATTCTATTTTCTTTATTATTTATATATATTTTAATTGCAAAAATACAGATATAGTTTACTTATAAGCTACAAATGTTCAATCAGTATTTTGTTTCATTTAACAATCAGTTTTTAAATAGGACTCTCTGTGTCTTCAAAAATGGGTTAGTACATGATGTCTGCCTTTAAGAATCTCATATTTTTTAGAACAATTTATATAAAGTTGCTATCATTCTGTATTTACAAACTTCTAAGTTACTGGTTTTAATACCTCTTTTAATACATGTTAATATTCAATATTTTATAGATTATAAGAAGTCATGGAGCTCTGTCTCAAGTGACTTTGCTATGGAGCATAGACTCTGATCCAGATGGTGATCTGGCCTTCACCTCTGGTAATGTCACGTTTGAAATTGGGCAAAAAAGTGCCAACATCACAGTGGAAATATTGCCGGATGAAGAGCCAGAACTGGATAAGGCATTCTCTGTGTCAATCCTCAATGTCTCCAGTGGATCTTTGGGAGTTCATACTAATGCCACATTAATAGTTTTGGCTAGTGATGATCCTTATGGAGTCTTCATCTTTTCTGAGAAAAATAGACCTATAGAAGTTGAAGAAGCAACTCAGAACATCACATTGTCAATAATAAGGTTAAAAGGCCTCATGGGAAAAATCATGGTCACATATGCAACATTGGACGATATGGAAAAACCACCTTATTTTCCACCTAATTTAGCCAGAGCAACTCAAGGAAGGGACTATATACCAGCTTCTGGATTTGCTCTTTTCAGAGCCAATCAGAGTGAGGCCACAATAACGATTACAATTTTGGATGATGATGAACCAGAAAGGTCAGAGTCTGTGTTTGTTGAACTACTCAACTCTACTTTAATAGAGAAAGTACAAAATCGTCCAAGTAAGTATCCGTTAGTGTATTATTACTAATATTATAAATAATAATTCTAAAACAATAAGTTAAAAATTTGGTATATAGAAATTCTATAAAAATATTAAGCTCTAAATTTGAAAGCATCATCTTAGTTTACCTATAGGGTAAATGGTAGTGGGACACTTGAAAATATGAATGTAAAGTCTGTTACATTCCAAGCCTAAAGTTGTAATCCAGTGTAACTGACCTCTAGTAACTATCTATACTAACAAAAGGGTAATATGCTAATTAGACTAGATGTCTTCCAGATGTCCTGGACAAAGCCATGGTGGCAGGGGCTGAGGCCGAGGCACTTAGGGTCAATCAGGCTGGCAGGGGGAGAGCAGTTAAGGGCGATCAGGCCAGCAGGGGATCAGTTAGGAGCATCAGGCTGGCAGGCAGAGGCGGTTCGGGGCGATCGGGAAGGCAGACAAGTTAGCGGTCAGGAGCCAGCAGTCCCGGTTTGCGAGAGGGATGTTCCAGATTGGAGAGGGTGCAGGCCGGGCTGAAGGACACCTTCCCATGCATGAATTTTGTGCACTGGGCCTCTCTATATATAAAAGCCTAAGCAACTAGCCGGCTGGTAGCTATGATGCGCACTGACCACTATGGGGCAGATGCTCAATACAGGATTGGAAACCACAGGCATGGAAACATGGAACAGACTGATGAATCTCAGAGGGAAGAGGGCATGGGGGAGGGCAGGAAGAGATTAACCAAAGATCTTGTATGTATACTAGAGGCCCGGTGTATGGATTCGGCCTGGCCTGCGCCCTCTCACAATCCAGGACCCCTTGGGAGATGTCGGAGAGCTGCTTTCGGCCTGATCCCTGCAGGCTAGGTTGAGAGACCCCCACTGGTGCACGAAGGGCCTCTAGTTGTACTATATATTGTAACTTCCAAAACATTCTGTAATTAATCCGGAGATTCCAAGGACAGTCCCGGTAGCAAGAGCTGGAGCCTCTCACCTTAATCAACTCTGGAAGATTTTTTAAGCAACAGAAGCTCTTTGTATTGGCCAAGTGGATCTGACAACTGCATGAGGGCAGGGCCACAGGGCTGTGGAGCACTAAGAAATCCTGTGAATTTGTGGGTCATTGAGATAGTTGAGAAGACCCTGGTTGGGATAAGAATGAGGAATCAAGAGTGATCCACAGAGGATCTGGTAGCTTCTATTGGAAAGTATAAGCCACTCTCCCTGGTATTGTGTGGCTCAGTGGCATCGTAAAGAGAGTGGGGTAGTACAGGTAGGGGTAGAGTGCTGGGCTTGAGCTGATGCAAGGAACACACAGTTTTTAAGTGAGCTAGATAGAAGTAAAACAAGGAGGGATTACTACATATACCGGTGACTAGGAGCTGTGGGTACTGGTGTCAGATAACTATGTTCCAATTATAATAATAAAACTATTTTTAGCCTCAGTGTCCTTATGGGCAATACAGAAATATTATAGGACTTAAATATGATAATACATGTGAAAACTAATACAGTGTCTGGCACATGGTAAGCATTCAATATATGTGAATAATTATTAATAATAAAGTGGTACATGTAGAATATCAATGAGCTATGGGAGGGGAGAAACAAATGATGTATTTTATGCTTGATATGTCCCTGGAATCATACAGCAGGCTTGGGGCAGTCCAAGATAGGCATAAGCCATATGTGAAATTAAGAACAATTAAGGGCAAATCTGTGTGATATCGATTCAGATTTTAGTAGGCAGAATCAGTGTAGAACCTAATAGGATCTGTGTTACTCTACTCTGAGTGTAGTCAAGTTTCAGGAGAGGTTTGCTGAGTAATTGTATATAAGAGATTAGACAAACCCTACAGGTTACTTCCTCCCCATCTTTGTGGCTCTGATTCCTCCTCTATAAATTGAGACAATATTACTGACCACATAGAGATGTCATGGGGATTAAATGACTTGATATAAGAAATGTACTTAGAACAACGCCAGGCAAATAGTGTACATTCAAAAAAAGTCATCTGCTGCTACAACTCTCTGTCACTGCCATTCTTTTCTAAGTTAGTTGAATTTAATTATATTATACTGATTTCTACTTGTAACTTTATGATGTAATTTAGCATGACGTGGGCCTATATAGTTGAAATTAAATGGTGTTGTTACTTGTTTTTAGGTTAATTTGTCTGAAAGTGTTGACTTTTATACATTTTCACATATTTCCAAATACCATCATTGTTAGAGATATTCTAAATATGAACTCTAGAAAGAATACAAAAAAATTAAATATGACCTCAAAATTCTTTACTTCTAATAAAAGTTTTAGATGCCTTGTTTGTGTTAAAAGACCACTTTTTATATTGTTTTGGGACGGTTCTGGCTGGAATTGAACCTCTGAATGAGGGGTAGTTTTTGGAAGGTCCCAAATGCCTTCAAAATAAGCTTCGCTCTCTTGGTAATAAGTGGAAAGTAAGAAGAGAACCTTAAAATTATTGCACTCACTATTTTATAGCAGCATTGGGATAGCATTGAAGCGCTTTTTCCAGATGAGGTAGTTGAGTTAACTAAGAAGGGGTAGAGAGGAACAGGTTTGTGAGGGAGGAAAGTTGAAGCAAAGACACAGTAATTTAGAGTATGATGATTTGCTGCAGCTGGTCATTGAGGTCATGGAGTCAAATTACTATTAATTTTGTAACTAAAATGCTGTTTTAAAAAAATTTATGGCATACTGGTAGCTAATTAAAAGATCAAAATTTTGTAGGTTTCATCATTATCTTTGTAATATATGCAAAGCGATGATTTATTATACTCTAATTCTTTTTGCTTTCTGACAAATTTCTAATACTTATTAAATTATACCTGTACGTTAACTATTTGTTTGCTATGGATTCTATAATAAAATCTCAATAGAATATAAAGCTATAAGGGTAGGGACTTTCTGTTTAATTTATTTTTGTACATACAATGCCTAGATTAGTGCTACTACATAATAATAATATTTCATAGAGAGCCCTGAATCGGTTTGGCTCAGTGGATAGAGCGTCAGCCTATGGACTGAAGGGTCCCAGGTTTGATTCCGGTCAAGGGCATCGACCTTGGTTGTGGGCACATTCCCAGTGGGGGGTGTGCTGGAGGCAGCTGATCAATGTTTCTCTCTCATCGATGTTTCTCGCTCATCGATGTTTCTGACTCTTTCTCCCACTCCCTTCCTCTCTGTCAAAAATCAATAAAATATATTTTTAAAAAAATATTTCATAGAGAGAAAACACTAAATTATCACATTTGGTTGATGGAATCTTGGTGAGGCTTAATGACTAGTTCTTAGAATTTTGATAGATTTTCTTCTCTTTTTCAGTTCCCAATTCTCCACGCCTTGGACCTAAGGTAGAAACTATCGCTCACCTAATTATCATTGCCAATGATGATGCCTTTGGAATTCTTCAGCTATCAGCTCCACTTGTTCGAGTGGCAGAAAATCATGTTGGACCCATTATCAATGTGACGAGAACAGGAGGAGCATTTGCAGATGTATCTGTGAAGTTTAAAGCTGTGCCAATAACTGCAATAGCTGGTGAGAAAAGACATCTAAGGAGCAGTGAAGTGTTTTAGAGGGGAATTTTATCCTTGATTAACAAACCTCGAAGATGTAGTTAGAAAAATCAGCCAGAAAACACAATACTGCTGCATCTTTTTAAAGGAACATATCCAGATCTTTCATCACATATCCATGACACTGATTTTGTACAATTTATGGAAACTGCTAGTGAATTGTATATGAATGTAAAAGCTCTGGTGGCCAAAATATGCACAAGCCAATGAAAAGAAACTAAGGAAAGCATGGTTAGATTTTCTCTGCCTACCTTTTAGTTTTTTGAAAGGGACTCATGTAAACGACCTAGGAAAGAATGCAAGATAAAACATGCAGCCGTATGACCACAGTACTTGGCAATAGTTTGTTTCTCGACCCTTTTATCTTGCTTGTTTCCTTCTTTATTAAGAACATGGAAGAGACAAGGGTTGCCATGAACTATTTTATGTATAAGCAAAGTGATTTCATTGCCAAATGCCAACATTAGGAGACTGCCTTCTTTGGTGGTGCAGTTACCTAGAGGGAGAGTTGCCCAAGAGCAATTCAATTAGGTTCTTTCTAGTATGCACTCAAAGGAACATGAGTGTGAATGGATGGGGTAACAGGCTTGATTTTTTGGAATAAATTACCTGGATATGTGACTTGCTTGAAAAGATGATAAACTGGGCTCACGTATTCCCCAGGTGATGTGTGTGTGTGTGTGTGTGTGTGTGTGTGTGTGTGTGTGTTCTAGGAAATTTGCCCTCAGGCTCCATAGGAAGCCTCTCTCCTTCCCCAACCACTGTTGGACCAGAAACAAAGTCATCCTGGGCAGTTTTGCAATAGCTGATCCAACTATGTACAAAGGTCCCTAGATTCCAGCTATAACATTGATGATGCCGACATGCCCATATCAGTGCAACAGTATAATTTATTTCCCCAGTGAGATTAGAATTCTAGTCTTGTGCTTTGTTTTAAAAGTATTATACACATTTTTCTTTTGTAGATAAAGGGCTATCTTGTGGTTATAAATGACGTATGGCTATCTATCCATATCTATATCTAAAGTCCCAAAAATATATAAACGCTTTAACAGCTGATAGCTTAGTTTTGAAAATGAAATGGATTTTAATAAACACTGCCTTTATAATTATTCAAAGTGTGTGTATACATTTTTGGGGGAATGCTATATATATATATTTATATATATATATGACAAACAGTACAAATTATATACACATCTTTCTAAAAATGAACATGTGAACTAAAACGCCCTTAGGAAATCTTTTTTATTGTTTTGTGACATCAAACCCCCAACCCCTTCTCTTTAAGCAAGACAGGTAAAGTCTTCTTGCTTAGAATAAATTTAGTAAATATTCTCAAAAAAGTCTTTCCAAGTACATCCATAAAATTTGATACATCATAGATTCCCCTACTATGTGGCACGTTTATTATATTGTGGAATGAATCTTGGCATTTTGCTTTTTGTCTCTGTAGGTGAAGACTATAGTATAGCTTCATCAGATGTGGTCTTGCTAGAAGGGGAAACCAGTAAAGCTGTGCCAATATATATCATTGATGACATTTACCCTGAGCTGGAAGAATCTTTTCTTGTGCAACTGCTGAATGAAACAACAGGAGGAGCCAAACTAGGGGAGTTAACAGAGGCAATCATTATTATTGAGGCCTCTGATGACCCCTATGGATTATTTGGTAACCAGATTAGTTTGTATCTCTCTTTCGTTTGTTTGCATAGATCATACTTTTCTTTGTTTTTAGGGATGAAGAATTAATTTGATCATGCTCTCTTTTTAACTTGTTAATACTGATATATACAGCATCTTGTACACTCACTGGCAGTGGTGAGTGGTTAAAAGATTGTTTAGAACCTTTGCATAAATGTAGAAGTCACAATCTTTTAACCTTTTACATTATATCTGGCTCCTAAATGTGTTTTATGAATCTTAGATAATTCTTTAAAAAATTAATTTATAGAAATTTACACAAAAATTTGGATATCTGGGCTTTCTGGTTTAGTAGGAAAGTCTGGCAACATCCAGCCCCCTCTCCCGCATAGCATCGTCATGGGAGCCATTTAGCCACTGTCCCTTTGGACCAGACTTGCACTGTGCAGTTAGCCACAGAACTCATTAGATCCTCTTCACTCACAACTGGTGTATGCCTGACCCCTGTGGGCATCTGGATTTGTGATTTCTGCTTCTATCATAATGAAAAATCATTTTGAAATTTTGGTAGCCCAACCACTTTGTATCACAGCATGTTACTCTTGATTGTATGGGGGTTAGCTACTTAGATTTTATAAGGGGGGAAAAGTGACTATAGGACAGCGATTGTTTAGATCTGTGTAATTCAGTTTCATTTTATATGTGAAATCAACTCTGCTCTGCCCTTCAGGTTTTCAGATTACTAAACTTATTGTAGAGGAACCTGAGTTTAATTCAGTGAAGGTAAACCTGCCAATAATTCGAAATTCTGGGACACTCGGCAATGTTACTATTCAGTGGGTTGCCACCATTAATGGACAGCTTGCTACTGGCGACCTGCGAGTTGTCTCAGGTAATGTGACCTTTGCCCCTGGGGAAACCATTCAAACCTTGTTGTTAGAGGTCCTGGCTGACGACGTTCCGGAGATTGAAGAGGTGAGAGGAATGCCTAGCATAGAATGACACTGTAAATCATGCCTTGTCTTGTAGTGACTAGAACAGATACTGTTGTTGTGACATTTAGAGAGGATGTCAAATAAATTATTTCTGCTAGAATGTTCAAAATATGGTAGTGTGAAAGTGATCCTTACAGATAATGAAACTAGGAATAGGTCTTATGCACATACCAGTTTACTAGTGTAAGATATTTTTATGAATTGTATTTTTCAACATTTTGGTTAAGTGATTAAATACATAATACATTTATCATAATTTTTGATACATTATTTCATATAAATTTTTGATTTGCTTATACCCATACTCCCTTTGGGCTTAAATTAGATTTTGATTTTTTTACTTGTTCATTAATTTATTCTTAAACAATTTTGAGAATTTACTATGTGACAAATACCATGCTAGATATAGCTGCCTGATATTTATTTTTCATGATGAATTAGCAAAGTAGCAAATAAAAGGAGAGTCTCAGGGGGAAAGTTGATTCATCAATGCCATATATTGGCTAAGGATAATTTTATTGTATAAAATTCAGGTATTATTAAAGCCCAGATCTCATAAAATTGAATGTGATAGCATTTATTCTTTAATATTATCAAATTTTCATAGAAAGGTAGTTCATAAAATTTCATTTGAATGGTAATTGTATCATTATTCATTCTTAAAATATTAATTACTAGTTAATATCTTTAAAACACTTCTCTTTCCTTATCTCTAAATATAGGTGGTATTGTGATATGATATTTTTTCTTTTAAATTTTGTCAGCGAATTTTCATTTAACAGAATGTGGAAAATAAGGCATAATAGATTAACTTCATAAAACATATATGTACTATTTTCCCTAAATAAAAAAAGGTATAGGACTAAAAATATATTATTAAAGTGGTAAACAAAACATAACCAGGGATCTCAAAATTGATTCACAAAATTATATAACTGAATATTAAGGAATTTAAATAGCCTATTTTTTAATGTACAGCCATGCTGTATTATTAAAAGTTCATGATGGATTATTCGGTTACATGTTGGGTTTATAAATGTTTTGGGATAGTTTTTTTGAATCCGTTTATATTACATTTCATTTTGTTCTTAAACTTGTATGGATATGTTTAATTTTTTCCCTTGAATCATTTTTATTCTAATGTCAGAACTAGGTTTCTGTTAAGGAAGTTTTCACTGTATTTTTAGGTTATCCAAGTGCAACTAACTGATGCCTCTGGTGGAGGTACTATTGGGTTAGATCGAGTGGCAAATATTGTTATTCCTGCCAATGATAATCCTTATGGCACAGTAGCCTTTGTTCAGTCGGTTTACCGTGTTCAAGAGCCTCTGGAGAGAAGTTCCTGTGCTAACATAACTGTCAGGAGAAGGTATATGAGATGGTGACGTGCATCTTGGGTGGGGGGGCGGGTGATGAGAATTGTGGGGTGATGGGAAAGGATCTCTTGCACAGTTTTTTAATACAATATAAATTATTATAATTTATTAAATTATTTATGGCTAATAATATAAAGAGCTCTTTATATTTATCATACCTGTTATTAGTGAAATAGATTATACATCATGGGACTTTCTAACTCCAAAAATTTGTTGCTTTAATCTGTTACTTGTTTTAGTTAGAATTTAAGTATAATTAGCTTCTAAATTAAAGAACATTCATATGCTGAAGTGGTTAATTTTCAGGTTCTATTTTTTTTTCCTGCATTTCTTTTGTGAGGCAGTTTACAGTTCACTGAATTCCTTTAGAAATAGAAAATATTGGATTTGGGGACCTTATGGCAAATTATTATATTCCCTCAAAATGTACGCATGCTATTATTGTTACTTTGTTTCAGGGAAATCTAGTAATGAAAATTAATTTTCTATTTCTGTTTGATAATTTAAAAATGGATATGACTTGCATGTCTCAAGATATTTTCATAGCTTGGTAAATATTCTCTTCGATCGAAAACTAGCAAGGTGACCTTACATGAGAAAGTAAAACATTGAAAGACAAATGTAATAAGAAGCATGGTTGTGTTTGTACAATGACATTATATACTGAAAAACTGAAAGCTGCAATTAGTAGCTCTTTCCTGTATGTAACCCACAGATTGCTTTGAATGCTTAATGGTCTTTACTTGTCACTCCACGTTTTAGCGGCGGGCGCTTTGGTCAGCTCTTGCTGTTCTACAGTACTTCCGATATTGATGTAGTGGCTCTTGCAGTGGAGGAAGGTCAAGATTTACTGTCCTACTATGAATCGCCGATGCAGGGGGTGCCTGACCCGCTCTGGAGAACTTGGGTGAATGTCTCTGCCGTGGGGGAGCCCCAGCTTACTTGCGCCGCTTTGTGCCTCAAAGAACACGCATGCTCAGCGTTTTCATTTTTCAGTGCCCCCGAGGGCCCCCAGTGTTTTTGGATGACATCGTGGATCAGTCCGAATGTTAGCCACTCAGACTTCTGGACCTATAGGAAAAACATGACCAGGGTAGCGTCTCTTTTTAGCGGTCAGGCTGTGGCTGGCAGTGACTATGAGCCTGTGACAAGGCAATGGGTCATAATGCAGGAAGGCGATGAATTTGCAAATCTTACAGTTTCTATTCTTGTGGATGATATCCCAGAGATGGATGAGAGTTTCCTAATTTCTCTTGTTGAAGTTCACCTCATGAACATCACAGCCAGTTTTGAAAACCAGCCAACCATAGGACAGCCAAATACTTCTACAGTTGTCATAGCATTAAATGGCGATGCCTTTGGCGTGTTCGTGATGTACAGTATTAGTCCCAACACCTCAGAAGACGGCTTATACGTAGAAGTCCAGGAGAAGCCCCAGACCACAGTGGAGCTGATGATCCACAGGACGGGGGGGAGCTTAGGTCAGGTGACAGTCGAGTGGCGTGTTGTTGGTGGAACCGCTACTGAAGGTTTAGATTTTATAGGTGCTGGAGAAATTCTGACTTTTGCTGAAGGTGAGTGATGGTTCTAAATGGATTGCAGTATATTCTAACGTTATCATATTCAATTTTTATGATAATGTGAATATGTAAAAGTGTAGTGTGGATTTGAAAAAATAGAAGTTGGTTAGTGGTTGACATGACATATGAAGACTGACATGGCCTTACATATGTATCCTTTTAGTTTATTAAACAAAGAAGTGTTTTAGGAGAGTTTTATCCCTTTATATGTGATACAGATAAGTAAACACATCTAAGGAAAGCTCTAATTTTTTAAGGAAAACTACAACCAAACATGTGGCTAATACTTTGCGTGGGGGAAAGGTATTTTTACTGAGGTCATTGTTTAAATCCTGATTTGGGCAATCACAGATTCCACTTGAAAAAATGACGTGTACTCATAAAAGCCTCACTGTATACAGAAAAAAATGAATGAAGTAAACACTCACAATTACATGTTAAATCAGTTCATTGCACCTTTTATTATTTAACTTTTTGTGTAAAATTTTTTGGAAATAGTAACTGGGGGTCATGATACATATATCATAACTTTTTGAAATACCTAATCGGCATCTGTTTTAGAGCCAATTTTTAAAATAGTATAAAACATCTCTATAATGTTGTTTCTAGTAAATTATTTTGGGAATAATGGACTATGACATGCCTGATGGGTTGGGGGGCACAGGTTGGTAATTGGTAACTTTCTCCTTATTTCAAAGGAAATAATGAAAATTTGATGAGGAAGGAGTGAAGATGAAAATTTAAAGTTAGATTTTTTCCTGTGGCTTTAGTAACTACCAAGTTATCATAGGAAGTAATAGTATTGCTTTGAATTGATTTTTGTATAGGTGAAGCAAAAAAGATAGCCATTTTAACCATTTTGGACGATCCCGAGCCAGAGGACGATGAGAGCATCATAGTGAGCTTAGTGTACACTGAAGGCGGAAGCAGAATTTTGCCCAGCTCCGACACTGTGCGAGTGAACATTTTGGCCAATGACAACGTGGCGGGAATTGTTAGCTTTCAAACAGCTTCCAGATCTGTCATAGGTCATGAAGGTGGGTTCCTGTTTGTGTTGAGCACATTCATTCTTTTTTCCATGGATGTCAATTTTTGTTTAGTCTTTTAATGTGTCTGATGTTTTTAATCCTTTCATTATTTTGTAGGGCTATGTATGCTAATGTGCATGGAACTTGTGTGGGAGAGGGCTATCCAGGGAACTGTTTAACTACGTTTGGAAGCCTTGCGGATTGGTATTGTGTTGTAGCTTGCCAGTCCCCGCTTGTGTGATTCTAAGGAAGTTAGTCAGACCTGGGATGCTCAGCTTTCTCATCGGTCAAATGATAGCAACTATCACTTCCTTATAGGTTTCTTTGTGAGGATTAAGTGAGCTAATAAATGTAAAGTGCTTAGCATTGCTCCTGGCAAGTGTGTATGTGCGCAGTGGTAGCTGCCCATATTAAACAGTGAAACATCGGCTTTCTGTTCAAAACAAATGGTGGTCTGTAATCAATGAGTTTTTAGTCTTGGTTTTATATTGTGTGAACAAAGTGCCAAACTAGAAAAAAATGATAAAATGTTCATCTTCTTCTTAAACAGATTTTTTGGAATTCTTTTTTTTACATTATATGTAAGGTGTTGCATATATAGGGTGGGGCAAAAGTAGATTTATACTTTTGAGTACATGAAAGAGTTTATTTTTGCATTATTATTTCTTAATTATTGTATTATTTTCCATATGAACAAATGTAAACCAACTTTTGCCCCACCCTGTATAGGCTATTGTTTTGTTTAAAAGATGATAGCAATGTTTTTGGTCTTCGAATAAGCCTGTTTGAGCTAAAACGTGTATTTATAGCCTGTGTTTCACTGTAGTTCATATTTAGAAATAAAAAAAAATTGTACCTCAAAAAGATAAGAAATGGAAAGGATATTGATCATGCATTTGGACTTCTATTTTTCAGATGAGAAAACTGAGACAGTGAAAGAATGACTTGACAAGGTCATACAGCTAGTTAGTTCCTGTGCTGGAAACTAAATGAATTTTAGTGTGTGTTACCTTTCACATTTCTGTACTCCAAACTTGTATGTTTAACTTATCAATGCAAATGCTTTAGCCATTTTCCAACACTCTTTCCTTTGATTGATGGCCTAGAATACCATGTTTTTAGAGCAGTAGTGAGTGAAAGTGACTAATAAATAGCTATACAGTTAACTAAAGACAGATCATCAAAAAATTATTTGTAACATAATGCAAGTAGAAAGTCACCATAGGGGAAGTTAATAACTATGACAACAATAGTAACATTTATTGAGTGTTTTCTGTGTGCCAGACATTTCACATCCATTATTTCACTTAATTATAACAATACATATTATGGTACGCGCCGTATTTTCACATAAAGAAACTGAATTTTAGAGATTAAATAGCACAGTTATTCATGGAGGAGCTTAAACCCAGCGCTATCTGAATCCAGGGGCCATGCCATAAGGCAGCTTATGTGAAGAGACTTTGTTTGGCTTGAACTTAAATCTGCTGCAGAACTTGACAAGGTAGGAACTTGGGGTAAATATTTCAAGTGGTTTGAGTTGGAAGAATAATGAATTTGACTTAAAATGTCTGTGTGAAGGAAGGAAACTGGTGAGAGAACCTGACTCTATCTAGGTTACGCATGGAAATTGGATATTTAGAGATAATAGTTGAAATCAGAAAAATTAATAAAATCTTCATGGCTGGAGATAGAAAAGCAAGTAAGTCAAGGATGGAGCCATATGGAATACCAGGTTAAAGTGCCAGGAAAGAAAAGTTCTGAGAGGAAAGAGAGAAAGTTCTCCCAGAGAGGCTGGAAGAAACCAAGCTAAGAGTGTGTTTTCATTAGTTATCGGAATAAGTAATCAGTATGTCTCATACTGGAATGTGCAACAAGTGAGATGAGATTCCCAGATGTGCTAGAGGAAACATTAAGATCCATGAAGTTTTAAAGGAGATCTTGGGATAAGAAGCAGCTGTCTAAGGATGATAAAAGGATGCAGAGGCCACGGGCAGTGCTTCTCGAAGTGTGGTCCTCAAGCCAGTGCCTGTCCACAAAGTGTGTCTGCTAGTTTCTGACAAGATCAGCTCAGAAACTGAAATAACCTTTTCTAGAAACGTATATGGAACAACTTCATTTTGCTGTGATACTCAAAAGTGATATCTATGGGCTTGTATATGTATTCTTTTTGCTATTTAATCCAGCCCTTCATTTTATTGTATTTTACAAAAATGCTAGTCTACAATGGATAGATCAGGGCACACAAAAGAAGAAAAATAAATAAAACCCCCTGCTCTCCGCTGCATTAAGTGTGAGAAGCACTGCCCTATGAGATAGTCTGTTCATTGGCCACGGAGAGCAAGGAGAGGAGAAAAAACCGGAGAAAACGGATTAAAGAGGAAAATTTTGGATAAGTTTTTGTTTTGTTGAAGAAATACAAGAAAGAAAATAAAAGTCAGTGGTATGGAGGGTATAAATACTAGTAAGATCAGGGCCAGGAAGGATTAGATTTAAGGGAAGACTTAGAGCTAGACTCGGTATGTGATTTTCAACCTGATGACAGAATTTCTTTGAAGGGTACCAGAGAGTTTGGATGACCAGCATCACCTCAAAGGTATTTTCATTGTAAAGCAGCGAGTGGTATGACAGTGCGTCCTCTGAGCGCCCGGGCAGTGATGATGGTGGGTGGTTTGGAGGGCTCTGAAGAAACCTGAGCTTTCCTGCTGACACTGGCACCTGTGTTGTCCTTCGCCTGGATGAACTTAACCTGAAAATCAGAGTGTGGTTTCTTCAGCTTCCAACAGCTAAATATCTGCAGAGGACAAGGGGACTAGTGATTAAAACAAATGGCCCAAGTGTGTTGTTACTGGCTAAAAATCTGCTGTCGCATATCAATCTATGAGCATGAGTTTGGTACAGGAAATAAAACACTGAGTTGCTTTTACTGTTTACATGAGTGCTAGATTTTAAAAAAACAAAGAAAAAAATGCAAATATATATATATATATATATATATATAATTTTCTAAACATAAATTGGGAGGAATTTCTATTTTTTAATTTATTTTTCTTTTCCTTTGTTCCTAAACCTTTTTCCTAGAGTCTGAATTAGTTTTCTTTTTCAAAGGTGCTGTATGTACTGCTTCAAGAATTTAGTATTTTGTGTGTGTATTTTTATATTGCTGTGAAATTGCACAGAGAAAAGTATACCAAGCATAAGGGTAACCAAAGTGAATTAGTGAAAACTTTATGGTGATTCTTCAAAGTTAACTGCTAAAGAAATGGGGTAAAAATGAGATTTTAACAATGTTAACATTTCTTTGGCCTAGAGTTGGAATTTCATTTATGTGATTAGATTTAAAACATGGACTATACTGAATTTCTGGCTCTAGAGTGCATTTTCAATTCATGGGGAGGAATTGCTTTAGAGTTTAACAATGTACTGAATTCTGAAGAATCCTTTTTCTACATTTTTGTTCTAAAGCAATTGAACAAATGTCTATTGGTAAATATTACTTTCTTTCAAATGTAATGGGAAGAATTTAGAAGTATGGGACAATAGATTTTTACTGTGGTTGCAAACTGTGTATAAATGTGCTCTTTATAAATCTGTGTGAGATGCTTCACTCAGTCACCCAGCTTAGTTAGTATTATCATAACCTCATGTTATGGTCAGTGGACTTAAATTTTTTTTCTTTTCTCAGAGACAGCATGACTCTTTTATAGGCAAAGATTTGAACAGGAAATGTAATTTTTAAAAATATAAATCAGCTATCTAGTTGTCCATCAGTAAGCATGGGGGTTGGTTCTAGGACCCCTGAAAATACAAAAATCCATGGATGCTCAAGTCTCTTATATAAAAGTAGAGGCCCGGTGCATGAAATTCGTGCATGGGGAGGTGGGATTCCCCCTCAGCCTGAACTGCGCCCTCTCACAGTCTGGGAGCCCCACGATTGATCGCCCCTGCAGAGGCAGGCCCTGCATACCCACAGTGCCGCTGCCGGGTAGCCTGGGCCTCCCTCATGCATTTTATGTTCCTATTCCTTATCTGTGTTAGGCTAGGCCTAGATTCTATATCAGGGGTCCTCAAACTTTTAAACAGGGGGCCAGTTCACTGTCCCTCAAACCGTTGGAGGGCCGGACTATAGTTTAAAAAAAACAACTATGAACAAATTCCTATGCACACTGCACATATCTTATTTTGAAGTAAAAAAACAAAACGGGAACAAATACAATATTTGTATTTGCATGTGGCCCATGGGCTGTAGTTTGAGGACCCCTGTTCTACATGAAATATCTGTTTTAGAGAATCACCAACTTTTGGTGGATTCCGTAGATCTCTTGTTTGGATGTAGTCATATTATTTGGTAGATGAGGGTCCCCCTTAGTTCTTCATGGGCAAAACCTAGAAGGCAGTGTAGTACTTGGTAACATTTTTGTTATGTAAAAAGTTTATCTTTCCTTACAGACCTAACTTCTGTCCTTCCCATTATATAAGACTAAGCACTTGTTTTTAAGTTTTTTCTTTTTTAAAGACGGTTCTTTGACTCCCCATCCAGGTAGAAGGCAACTTTCTAGTAATATTGCCCAGGAGGCATTTTAACTGGACCTGGTTCCTGGGAGTTTGTCTTAAAGAGGCAGAATCAATACCTTCATTTTGATGATTTGAAAAAATTTTACACTATTCATGCTGTTGACATAGTTAGGTTATGTGTTCAAGGAATGCTTTGTTTATATTTTATTTATGTGTGTGTGCGTGAATCATGCTGCAAATTGTGTTTCTTGCAACATTTTCTTGCAAGTTCCTTATATGGTAATGTGTTAAATTTTCAAAGATGATATTATTTAAGAGGTATTATACTTTGATTATTTTACATTTACTAAGTTTATAGAGAATTTTACTTTTTTCTCTCCTTAGCATTTTGTTTTTATTTTTACCTTATAATGTATATTTATTTCTAAATCTCTATGTATAATCTTGCAACCATAATTTTTAAAATTTATTGTGATTATAGGGTCCCCTTCAACATGGATATTTATTAACTTACATTTTGTTTCTTGCCATTTGTATTTTACTGTATTTTTAGCACTGATCCAGCTTTCATCATTTTCTTTTTGAAGTATTACTAGGTTGTTTGATTTTAAAAAATTTGAAAACCATGACCCTGTAAACCTTTTTATTTGTATCACCAGACAACACTGTCAGTGAAAACAGCGTAATGACTTTAGGACTCTAGCTATGCCTTTTAGTAATAAGCCCTTTTTGTTCAATACAAACCTGCTCTATAAGAAATTCTCCACTTTATACTATAGAGAGACTTCAGGGTTTTATAGTAGTGCCTGTATTTGTTTGTATGAGTTAGTTATTCAAGTATAAAAAATGATAAATAGTAGGCTGACAATTATGGCTGATTAAACACAGTCTTTCAGTTAATCCTAACCTTGTTATAATCTGGCTAGTAGCCCATTGGCTGCCCGCGGCTTCCGTGGGAGCCAGGAGGGACCCGCGCCGATTCCATGGGAGGTGGGCGGGAGCCGTGCTGCTTCCACGGGAGACGGGCCCACTGTCTCCTTTCTGGGCCTGCGCGTGGCTGCCGAGACTGCAGGCCAGCCTCCTTGTCCCTGTCCCTGTCTGCTCTGGCTCCGGGAGGCCAGCCCGAGCCAGGGCACGGTGGCTCGCCAGCCCTCCCCTCCCCCCACTCCCCCGTCTCCATCTCCACGGTGTCCTGGCCTAATTTGTATATTTCCTCTTTTTATCTATATGTATAGATTTCCTAACTAGCAGTCTCTATATGTTTAAAAAAACAAAACAAATGAAGACATAGTCTACTAATGGAATGGTGACTACATTTTTTTTTTTGTATTGAGACACTTAAAAATGTTTACATTGAACATTCAAATATTTTAGGAAATCTTATTTAGAAATTTTTCTGATTCTTTTGCCTTATAATATTCTCTACTCTCCCCAAATCATTTATTGTTCTAAAGATAAGTGTGGTTATATTTAGTATAAAAATTTAATTTTGTTTTTTTAGTAATTGAACTTAATATAATTTCTGAATTAATCCATGTTTTAAGAAACCTTTCTATTAGTAATATTTGTTTTATTATCACTAGAAATTAAAAAATACGGCAGCTTAAAAATATGTGAAAAGGATATTTATATTTTATTGTTTTATTTTTACTCTGCTCATTTAAAAGTATCAACTATGTTTACTTATTGGATAACTAAGTAAAAGTTATATTTTTAATGAATATGCATGGATTTCAACTATACTTCTATGCTATAAAATTTGGATGTATTCTTTTAAAGCTTTAAAACATCATTTATTTTTTCACAATAATTATTTTCTTGGTGCTACAGTTCATTAGTATACCTTAACTTGGGTTCGTCATCATGCAAAGCTTTTGAATTGAGCCTATTTTCAGCAAGCCACATGGCCCCCAGCAGTACTGCATTTCACTTTCAGCAGTTTAAAAGAAATGCCTATAGTAATATTCTTCAATTTTACAAAATATTACATGAGGACAAAAGCCAGGAATGGAAAGTATCTAAAATACCCCAATTACCCAGGAAGGAAAACTGTAACTTTGTTGAAGTTACAGAGACTGATGTACAGATTTGACACCTTTCCTTTGTATTTCTCTTTATAAAACGTAATCATTGATGGTATATGTAAGTTACAATTTAAAGAAATGTGATTTTCAGGTATTTGCAAGCATTTTTATGCATGCATTGTGTAAAATCACATTGCATATCAGTGTAAGGAATTGTGTCCTTTTGAAAAATGAAGGGAAATTTACTTGTGCTATTATTAGCTTTGACCATGAGAACTTTCTTTAATTTACAGAACATTCATGTTCTGGTGCATGTTTTGGAGTGTATAAAAGTTTGTGTTTCCCATTATAGCATGTGCTTTTGTAACTTTTACATATTGAACTTCCTGAAGTTCTACTAAATAGAACTATTTAGAGATGAGATACCCATGCTAATAAACAATAAGCATGTATAAAGCTTTTAGAAAACCCAAAACAGAACAAACAGCTTTGTAATGTTCTGGAAAAGGTGCTGTAATAGTTGCATGTTTGGGATTTGGGTTTGGTTGAGTTCAAATGTTAAATTCCTTTCCATTTAAATATTTATCTGTACGTTTCACTTGCAGGAGAAATTTTGCAATTCCATGTGATAAGAACACCCCCTGGTCGAGGAAATGTTACTGTCAACTGGAAAATTATTGGGCAAAATCTAGAACTCAATTTTGCTAACTTTACTGGACAGCTTTTCTTTTCTGAGGTAAGACCAAAAAGAAGAGCTTTATCAAACTCTTGCAGAGAAAACAGTGTATTTGAAAAAAAGGAAAACTCTGATTATGTAATGCAAGGATTAATGGAGGTTGAGGGGAGAGCTCCTTGCTTGGAACCCTAAAGAAAGCACACTACTTGAATAAAGAATTTCTAAGACTTAAGGAATAGATTTGTTTTTCCATAAGTGTTTGGTAGGTCTCCTTTAAAGAAATAGAAAAGGTCAACTTTGTATTTGAGACAAGCTCTCTTGCTACTCTCCTGGCCTCCCCATTATTGTCAACTGCATCATTCTGAAGACTGATAGTGCTCGTCCCTCGTCATACTCCTCACTGTCTTGGAACTTTAAATGCCCGGGAACAACAAATATAGCTCTAAAAATGTATGTCTTTTATGGCCTGTTGACAAAATATTGCACGAAGGCAATATTAAAAATATATTTTTGAGGTGCCATTTAGAGACTCTGATAGTTTGAAAAAGGTGAATGTCGAGAAATCTATATATATAAAAGCCTGAGTGACTGGCCTACTGGCTGGTAGCTATAACATGCACTGACCACCAGGGGCCAGACACTCAACGCAGGAGCTGCCGAGAGACAGCAACTTTGCAGAGTGCCCTCTCACACTCCCGGACCCATTGGGGGGATGTCGGACTGCTGGTTTCGGCCCGATCCCCGCAGTCCAGGACAGGCAAAGGGATCCCACTGGTGCACGAATCTGTGCACCGGGCCTCTACTAACTTTATAAAAAGTCTTAGAAAATTGGTACCACTTTATTGTAACTCCATCATCTTCCTCTCTTCCCCACATTCACTTGGTGAATTCTTGTTTGATAATGTGTTTAATTCTTTTTCTTTGTATTTCTACTGTCTCAGTATTAAGCTAAGCCCCTATAACCACCAGCCTTGAGTACTGCATTGGATTTCTAATCCCTGTTCTCCCTGAAGCTCTGGTCTTTTCCATGTTCAAGTTTTTCTGTTCACCACTGCCATAGAATCTCCCCAACTAGTTGCTTTGTCTGAAATTGTCAACATTGCTCATTGAGTAAGATCTACATTAATCAGCCCAGCATTCAATTAGTCCCAATCTGCCTTAAGCCTGGTTTTCCATGAGTGAATGATTTTTTAAATTTAATTTATATTTTTAAGCCACAGAACACTTTGCTTAAATAAAAATGTGTTTGGATGCACAATTTTTTACAATCCTCACTTGAGAGTATGTTTCCAGAGTGAGAGGAAGGGAGAAAAAGAGAGAGAAACATTGATATGAAAGAGAAATATCTATCCATTTGACCAGGGATCAAACCCGCAACCTGGGTATGTACTCTGATTGGGAATCAAACTCACAACCTTTGGTGTATGAGTCAATTCTCTAACCACTTAGCAACCTGGCCAGGGCTGAGTGCACAATTTTTAAGGCCCATAAAAGTAGAAGATATTTTGTGTTTAGAGATAATATGGGCATGAATTTCTTTCTGTTTGACATAGGGGTCATTGAACAAAATAATATGTGTGCATTTGTTGGACGACAACATTCCTGAGGAGAAAGAAGTTTACCAAGTCATTCTGTATGATGTCAGGACACAAGGTAATTCAGAATTCAATTTTAAATTTTTTCTGGTGTATTAATTTTTTCAGAAAAAAGTAACAGTTATCTATACACTTAACAATTAATGTTATTATATAGCATCTGTTCTTAAAAATGTTAAATTGATAAAACATCAGCTCAGAATGGAAATATATTCTCTTTATGTACTTAGGAGCAACCTCTAAAAATTTTGCTAAATATTTTCTTATGGAATAAAAATTTTATATAATTAATTTTATATTAGCAGTCCAATTTGAATTTAGACCCAGTTTTTGGATATTTCAAATTCAGTCATTTTGAGAAAATTATCTGGTACTTTCCTCAGTTTCTATTCAATTTCCATTATTCAGATGACCAATCTAGCAAATAATGGCAATAATATGTCAAGTGAAAAAATTCATGATTTGCTATCTAGAAAAAGAAGATTAAAATGTAGATTCTCTTACTCAGCCTGAAGATTTCTATTAAGGACATGAATAAAATGGAGCACTTCCTATCTACTTTGATATGTTTCAGAGAGTGGGGTTACATTTTAAGTACTTAGAAGGTAATGCCGAGTCACTGTCATAATTTTTGTGCTCCCTGACGATTTTAGGAGTCCCACCGGCAGGAGTTGCTCTGCTTGACGCCCAGGGATACGCGGCTGTCCTGACTGTGGAAGCCAGTGATGAACCACATGGAGTTTTAAATTTTGCTCTTTCATCAAGATTTGTTTTGCTACAAGAGGCTGACATAACGATTCAGCTTTTCATCAACAGAGAATTTGGATCTCTAGGTTTGTGTTACTCTAGAGTGAATGGGGTTTCCAGACAGGTGCTTTTTCAGTATTCTACTTGTGTGGGTGGAAGCCATTGCTGAAATAAATAAGGGACAGGAAAAGCATTCATATTTATTAATCTTAGGATAGGACTTTATAACTTCTTTATTTTTGAAAGATTAAAGTAATTTTACATTGTGTCAAAAATGCTATGTAACAAATAGTCATAAAATCTCAGCATAATAATAATGTTGGCTGTGGGTCCACTAACTTAGGCTGGGCTTGGGGTGGTTCTATTCCATATGTCTCTCATTCTTCTCCTGGGACCAGGAGAGGTACAAGGAAGCAAGTATAAACATGCCAGGCCCCCTGAGGTCTAGGCTCAGAACTAGCACCTCCCCACTTTTATTTTGTACTGTCAGCCAAGACAGGTCACACAGCCAAACTCATAGCCTAGAGGCAGGGCAGTGTGTCTGCCCACCATGGGATATCACTGTGCCATTACATGGGTAAAGGTCAAGGATATGGGAAGGTGTGAGGAGTTAATAATATAATAGGTTAATAATATAAACCACTAAGGTGCTTTTAGGAAAACCAAAGATTTCCCAGTGAGATACTGTATTAAAAATTTAATTATAAAATCTTTTCCCATCCAATTCAACTAGGAGCCATTAATGTCACATATACCACAGTTCCTGGAATATTGAGTCTAAAGAATCAGACAGAAGGAAACTTAGCTGATCCAGATGTTGACTTTGTCCCGGTAGTTGGCTTTCTGATTTTAGAAGAGGGGGTAACAGCAGCAGCCATCAACATAACTATACTTGAGGTAAACTCTTCTTTTGATTTACTGTATTAAATCCGAATAACCACATAGAAAGTAGAAATTGATGTAATATTCTGGAACCTTTAAATCAGCTTATCTCTTTTTGTGAATTTTTTTTCTTTAAAACCACACAGGGATTTCTGCTGTTGTCTAGATAGGCTGGTCTGCAGTTATGTATTTTATTATAGAAACATCTTGTGATAAAGACAATTTCCTTACGGCAGTCTTCTTTAGGATGGCATTCCAAAGGAGCATTTTGATTACTTTAAAGGTTTCATTGGATCAGCAAATCGATGTAGCATCTTAATTTTTAGGACTGGTTAAATTAGAGGGACTGAGAGACCCTGGAGAGGTTGATGGCTTAAAATGTGATTATGGTTACTGGCCTGTGTTTTTCAGTGGTTAGAGCATCAGCCCGCACACTGAAGGGTCATGGGTTCAATTCCCAGTCAAGGGAACGTACCTGGGTTGCAGGTTCGATCCCCAGCCAGGTTGGGGCTGGTTTAGGAGGCAACCAATGGATGCGCCTCTTTCACATCAATGTTTCTCCCTTTTTTTCTCTCTGTCTCCTCCCTCTCCCTAAGCCTAACTGCCCCTGCCTCCACTCTCTCTGAAAATCAATTGAAAAATATCCTTGGATGAGGATTTAAAAATGTGATTATGGTCAAACTGATAGTTTTTACTCTTACCAATCTCTCCATATCCCACCCAACCCCTTGGCAATCAGTTTTCCAGTCTGTTTCTATGAGTTTGACTTTTTTTTTTTCTTTTTAAGATGCCACATTAAGTGACACCATACAGTATTTGTCTTCCTCTGCCTAGTTTATTTCACTTAGCACAATCCCTTTTGATGCAAATGGCAGGATTTACATCTCTCTCATGGCTGAATAATAATCCTGTGTGTGTGTGTGTGTGTGTGTGTGTCTAGCAGTAGTAGTAGTAGTAGTAGTAGTAGTAGTAGTAGTAGTAGTGTGTCTTCTTCATCCATTCATTCCTCGACAGACACTTCGGTGTTTTCATATCTTGGTTATTGTAAATAATGATGCAGGGAATGTGGGGGTGCATGTATCTCTTTAATATCCTGTTTTCATTTCCTTTGGATATATACCCAGGTGTGAAATTGCTGGATTATATGTTTGTTCTTTTTTTAATTTTTTGAGGAACCTTTGTATTATTTCGCATAGTGGCTGCACCAGTTTATATTCCCACCAACAGTGCACAAGGGTCCCTTCTCCACATCCTTGCCAACACTTCTTGTCTTTTTGATAATACCCATTCTAACAGATGTTAGGTGATATCTCGTTATGGTTTTCATGTGCATTTTCATGATGTTTAGTGATGTTGAGCACCTTTTCATGTACCTGTTGGCCATTGTGTGCCTTCCTTGGAAAATGTCTATTCAGTTTCTTTGCACATTTTTAATCAAATTGTTTGATTTTTGGTATTGAGCTTGTGAGTTCTTTACAAACTTTAAATGTATGATTTGTAAATATTTTTTCCTGTTCCACAGATTGCCTTTTCATTTTGTTGATAGCTTCCTTTGCTGTACAGAGGTTTTTAGTTTGATGTAGTTCTACTTATTTATTTTTGCTTTTGTTGTTTTTGCTTTTGTTATTTTTGCTTTTGGTGTCGAATTGAAAATACCATTGCCAATACTTTTTGACATGTTAATCTTTTCTAATTTATGTTAGCATTTTTATATTTTCTGTATATAATTTAAGAATATAAATTTATAACATCATTTGAAAAACAGCTTGTCAGATGTAATTACTTTGAGAGCATAGGGAATTTAACGGATGTAATTTTTGCAGGATGATATACCAGAACTGGAAGAATATTTCCTCGTGAACTTAACTTATGTTGAACTTATCATGGCTCCTTTAACTTCATTTCCTCCTAGACTGGGTATGCTGGATTTTTGTTTGTTTCTGTTTACTCACTGCAAACAAAGTAAAGTTACTTTATTTTTTAATCAGAAGTGGTCATTGTGATGTTTCTTAATATCAGCTATGTGTAAAATAATTATGCTTTTAGATTTATTTTAATTTAGAGACTATTGCAGTTTGACCATTGGACATTGTAAACACATTTAAGAATTACCGTGTGATGTTTTTTACATCTTACAACCATTTTACAACCAAATTTGTAATCGGCAAAATTAAATTAGTTCTTAGGAAGGCATTTTTCTTTTAAAATTTAATTTGCTGTTTTCATTAGATCTCTAAACTATCAAATGATTTTATTTTATCTTAGGTTAATCAGAGTGTTTATATATTTGTTGTGTTCTTGTTTCTTTTTGACCTTTTATCTTTTCATGCTTTAGAAAAGACTCATTTAGTTCATTACAGACTGAAAGGTAAAACTTGAACCTCAGTACAAATTTATGTAAATTATTTATTTTCAAAAGACAGACACCTGTTTGTGGTTTGGACATTGAATATTGGGAAATTTGTCTGAAACTTGTAGTTGTGACAGCCCGGTAGGGGGTGGTAGTGTATGGCACTGAGGTAGCCTGCCTTCCTTTTTTTTAGTTAGAAGGTGCCCTGGGCAGATCGGAAATTAATCTGAGTTAAAGAAAGAGAAGCATGGCCAAGAGCAGCGGCCTGGGCAATAGGAGTTTCTCATTCACTTCTGAGCTCAACAAATAACTTTGGAAATATCAAAAGGAAATCACCAGTTTTTAACATGCCACTGTTTGATAAATTTCAATTATTTTGCAAAAGAATTAAGTGACTTCAGAGACTAGGCCGTACATCAAGTAGTTATTATGAGATAGTTATCATTCACACTAACAGAGCTAACAAAATAACTCATATTTCTTAAAACTCATATAAAAGGCAATTTGAGTAGTTTAACTTTTGTTGAGTGCTTTCTAATGGTCCTGTTCCAAGTGCTTTGAATGTTAATACCTTTATTCCCTGTTATCTTCCCATTGTACAGATGAAGGAGCTGAGGCTAGAGAAGCTAAGTAACATGCCCAAAGTCACACAGCTAGGAAACAGTGGAGCTGGGATTCTGCTGTGCAGCCTGTAGTCTGATGGGCACAGATCCTGATTTATATTATTTGTTCAACAATGCACTCTCTTCACTCAGAGAGAATTACTCTCCATACCCTTCCCCTACCCGGTCAGCGGCCAACACTACCCCAGATTAAAATAGTACCTCTGGAATTTAAAAGGTATAGGGCAAACATATTTAAAAAACAAAACTAAACGGTAAAAGGATTAGTTATTAGTATTTCAAAACTGAATAATGGATATTGGTAACATACTGACTGGGTGGACAGAATACAAAATAAAAAGGGATAAGAGAAGTTTACTTCAATGTTAGTCTCTCTTTATTTCTCCTAATCTTTATCCTTCCCATCTGTCTCAGCTTCTGTTTGTATCCACCTCTATCTGTCTCTCTTTTCCCCTCATATATTTTTCTCTGCAGTACTCCCTGCCTCTCTCCCCCCATTTCTTTCTCTTTTTTCTTTATACTCCTTCCAACTCTTCTCAGCTAATTAAATTTCAATAAGTCAATGCCTCCTGCTAGCAGTTTTCTTATTCAGATGTTATAAGCATTAATGTCTTTATTTTCTTAAACATCTTTTGGATAATTTTGCCAATACCTCTAAATTAGGAATTAATGTAGTCTCAAAGAGACTATCATTAAATTCTATATAAAATAGTTCTTTTAAAATAATTTATATTTATATTAAAGTGCATTTCTTTTTTGTTTTTTCAGATCCAGAGGGCTTGACTGCACAAATTATTATTGATGCCAACGATGGTGCTCGAGGCAAAATCGAATGGCAATATAGCAGGTAAGCCCAAGGCCACATGGGAGTCCTTTTCTGAGGTCCAGATTCTTTACTATTTATACAATAAAAGGTTATAAGGAAAAATGCTTGTATGCTTTTTATTACAGGTTTGAAATTAATGAAACCCAAGGACGTTTAACACTGATAGCCCAGAGGAGTGAGGGGGCTCTTGGCCATGTTTCCTTGTTCGTGTATGCCCAGAATTTGGAAGCACAGCTGGGGCTGGATTACAGCTTTACCCCAATGGTAAATTCCTTAAGAATGATAATGATTTAGGTCCTCTATAAATAAATTAATATAACATAATAAACTATGACATATTTCCACTGTAAATTAGGGCAGAAGACTTCCACATAGTGGAATAGCTCTCTTCACTGTTTTACTGTAGCACATAAGTTGTATTTTCAATACTATTCTAAAGATTAATCTGTATTTTATTAATGCATTATTTTATTGCAATATTTAATACTGAAGGGTTATCATGTTATAGAATTTATATCACTTGGTGACCTCAGACTGTTTCTTATGCTTCTTGAAAATTTAACTCTTGTATTTCACTGTTTTAATTTACTTTGAAACACATTTAGTGTTTTAAAATACATTTTACTTTGTCTCTTTATGCCTTTTATTTCTTAACCAAATGCTTACTTCCTTCTATTATTCCATAAATTTTACTTTCCATACTTAATATTGTCAATTTAAATTATTAAAAATTAAGCAAAAAAGGAAAAATCCTTGTCAAATCATTTATTTCACTTTCACAACTATATTGTATTTCTTTCTATTCTGTAAAAATGCAGTGTATTTAAATATTATACTGTCTACTTTTACTTTCTTGACCAGATTCTTCACTTTGCTCATGGAGAACGGTATAAAAATGTTGACATCATGATTCTTGATGATGATATTCCAGAAGGAGATGAAAAATTTCAGCTGATTTTAACAAATCCTTCTCCTGGACTAGAACTGGGAGGAAATACAATAGGTAATTGATAATTTCTTATGCCCAGCTCCCTCTCCCTCATACTCTTTTCCTAATATGGAGCCAGATGTAAAGGGATTAGTCTTGATGGTTTTTTATGTTTACAATACAAAATATTTTAAGTTAAGCATTTTGGAATTCCTGTGTCAGTGTAACAGTGCTTCGTGTGTGTGTGTGTGTAAAACGAAAAAGTAGATTGGTAACAAGATAATATTAAGTCATTTCCCTAGTTATTATAGGTTTTATTTAATTTATAAATGTCTTTCCTTTGAATTTGGAGTTGGCATTGGTTTCATTTTTAGCAGTAGAAGGAATGCCAAGGTAGCTGTTGTAGTGTCATCTAATTGCAGTAGTATTTACACATAGAGTTGAAATGTATTGATACCTGAGGACTGCCAATAGGAGCCATACTTCTTTGGTTGGAACAGTTTAATATTGTTACCAAAAATCATCCTGGTTCACTGCTCGTTAGCTATCACGCTGAGTGCTTTGAGAAGGTAGGAAGGAGAAAAATGAAGAAACCTCATGGACACAGAACAGATTGAAAGGGCTCTAAAACAGGGACAGTTCTGACTCTGCTTTTCCATTACTTTGACACCTGTAGCCTGGCTGGTCACTCCAGGGCAGTGAAGACAGGCATCCTTGTCTTGTTTCTGTTTTTAGTGGCAATGCTAATTGTTCAACATGAAGTTTGTGTTTTTTTTGCTATTGGCTTCTCAGAGGTATCACTTCATCAAGTTGGGAAAACTGTCTTTTATTCTGAGCTTACTGAGTATTTTTATGTCATACGTGAATATAAATTTCAATAATGGTTTTAAAAATTCCTTTGCTTCTTGACAAAGGGATTTCTTAACATAAGGATGTGGGGAAATTTTCCCCTTCTTTTTAAGGTGATCCAGAGAAGAATTAGCCTACTTTACAATGAAGTACCAACACACTTCCCTGCACTTTCAAGCCATTCTAGTTTCATTTATTACTTCAACATTTTTATTTTGACAGCCTTAATCACTGTCCTTGCTAATGATGATGGCCCTGGAGTTCTGTCATTTAACAACAGTGAGCACTTTTTTCTGAGAGAACCAGCAGCTCTCTATGTACAAGAGAGCGTTGCAGTATTATACATTGTTCGGGAACCTGCACAAGGCCTGTTTGGAACCGTGACAGTTCAGTTCATTGTGACTGAAGTGGATTCTTCAGTGGAGTCTAAAGATCTGACTCCTTCCAAAGGCTATATTGTTTTAGAAGAAGGTGTTCGATTCAAGGTACAGTATGAGCCTGCACTGACAGTAAATACTCATCTTTTAAATTTACAAAATAATATTTCCTTAGAAGAGCACCCTAGGTCCTAGAAAGATAAAAGTATTTCCAGCATAGATATTAGGAAAAGACATGGTTAGATGACTGTGTGAAAGTGCCATGTGCTGTATAGTTTATAGAGAGCGCAACTGGAAAAATTTGCTCTGTGAATTAGGCAGTGGAATGTGCAAATAAGAAAGAAAATATGTGTATTGCTATTTTAAAATTCAAGCATATTCAAATGGAACACTTCAAGAGATATGTCTATAAACCATAAGCTAAAAAAGCTCTAAACTATTCTTTGCAGTCATGAAGCCTCAGCACAATCACTCCTTCCTGTCAAGTTTTCATTAAGTAAAATATAACTGCTTACTTCAGACTGCTTGTTTCAGAAGCAGGTGTCCTATGTGAATGGGAATAGCTCAGTGGAGAAAAAAATACTGGATTTGGATTACTTACAAATGTGATCTAAACTAGCAGAAGTTTATCTCCAGAAACCTCTTTTCCTATATATTAATAATTTTGTTTTTAAACTTTATTTTTAAAACATAGTTTAAATTTAGAGTAGCTAATTCCACTATTTTAACATATTTTAAGTTCACTATATAGTAAAGTATAATAATTCTAAAATAATATATTTATCCTAGTTCATCTAAAAGCAGTCCATCCAATAATTAAAAAGTTTTATTGATGATCAGTTTATGTAAACTGAATACATTTTAATGCATATTCATTTGCATATTTAATTTTTTACATTCTTTGAAATTTAGGGCCTTTTAAATTTTGTTTCAAGGACAGTTATGTCTTCATATAGATATTAAAGAATTTAAATTTGAAGTATTTTATGAATTTGCCATTGCTTTAGATTCACATGCTATTTAAAAAATGTTTTAAATTAAATTTAAAAATATTTTTAATTATCTTGTGTTTTTTTCTTTTTTAAAGAAATATTTTAATGGATTTCAGAGGAAGGGAGATGGAGAGCAAGATAGAAACATCAATGATGTTTCATTTATTGGCTGCCTCCTGCATGCCCTAATGGGGATCAAGCCTGCCACCCAGGCATGTGCCCTGACCCAGAAACGAACTGGGGACCTCTTGGTTAATAGGTCGATGCTCAACCACTGAGCCATACCAGGCCAGGTTGTGGCATTTTCTTAAAAAACTTTTTTTTACAGTGTGTTTGAAGACCTCACTGTTCATTAGGCAAATTAAATGTTAGAGAAATTGAATAAATTTTTCTTTCACACACATGATGATTTTACATCCAACATGTTTTTGATTTTGAGATATAAAAAATAAAATACACAAATCTTTTTAAAAAACATATTTTATTGATTTTTTACAGAGGGGAAGGGAGAGGAATAGAGAGCTAGAAACATCGATGAGAGAGAAACATCAATCAGCTGCCTCCTACACACCTCCCACTGGGGATGTGCCCACAACCAAGGTACATGCCCTTGACCGGAATTGAACCTGGGACCCTTCAGTCTGCAGGCCGATGCTCTATTCATTGAGCCAAACCGGTCCGGGCAAATACACAAATCTTAAGTGTATGTCTCAGTGACTTTAAAAATATGTATGCACCCATATAACCATCACTCAAATTAAGATATTGAACATTACCATCACTGGAAAGTTTCTTGCTCTCCCCAGAGGAAACTACTTTCCAGATTCTATCATTAAAGACTCATTCTAGCCTAGCCAGAATGGCTCAGTGGTTGAGCGTTGACCTATGAACCAGGAGGTCATGGTTTGATTCCAGATCAGGGCATATGCCTGGGTTGTGGGCTCGGCCCCAGTGTGGGGTGTTCAGGAGCCAGCCAATCAATGATCCTCTCTCAACATTGATGTTTTTATCCCTCTTCTTCTCCCTTCCTCTCTGAAATCAAATTAATATTTTTTTAAAAGACTCATTTTACTGGTTCTTGAACTTCATATAAGTAGAATCATAGAGTATGTAATCTTTTGTGTCTCGCTTCTTTTGCGCAGTATAATTTTTGAGATCTGTATGGTTGCACACATCAGTAGTTGTGTTTTTTATTTTTTATTATTATTTTTTTTTGCTGAGAAGCATTTAATAAAATAGATCACTTTTTGTTTCTGTATTCTCCTGTTGATGAACATTTGTGTATGTGTTTTAAATGAAAGCCTACAATGGTTATAAAGTTTTAATAGCGAATCCTAGACTAGAATGAGACTAACACAGTTGTATAGCTAGAGCAGGATAAAGAGTTAGCAAAAATGAATATATAAATTTAATTTTAATCTTAATGTTATTTTTAAGTGCCATAAGTATTTATCTTTAGACACTTCAGTGCCATACATAACAGTGTTGAAAATCTTGAAGTTAGTAAATGGGAAGAGTTGTAACTATCACATTATGGGGATCAGTATTAGAATTTAAGAAAAGGTAATGTTTCCAAAACATATTATTTTATTCTCAAAAATGTTTAACAGATTTCTCTGTCTGTTGTAGAAAGACTATATTTTAGTAACTTTATCTTTTGATTTTGTTTTCAGGCCCTACACATATCTGCCATATTAGACACGGAACCAGAAATGGACGAGCATTTTGTTTGTACCTTGTTTAATCCGACTGGAGGTGCTAGACTAGGGGCACATGTTCGAACCCTGATAACAGTTTTGCAAAACCAGGCCCCTTTGGGGCTATTCAGTATCTCTGCAGTTGCAAATAGGTATAGTTTATTCAAAAGGAAATTGCCGCTTCTGAAGCTAAGTAGGAAATATTTTTTAAAAAATGTTTTTATTGATTTTAGAGAGAAAGGAAGGGAGAGGGAGAGAGAGATAGAAACATCAATGATGAGAGAGAATCATTGATTGGCTGCATCCCACAGGCCCCCTGCTGGGGACCAAGCCTGAGTCCTGGGCATATGCCCTGACCAGGAATGAAACTGTGACCTGCTGGTTCATGAGACAGTGCTAACCACTGAGCAACACCAGCTGGGCAGGATATATTTTTTTGACATAGAGAAAATGCAGAAGGAAATTGAGCTCTGACTATCTTAAAAGGGATTTTTAAAATGTGCTCTAACAGATAGATTCAGAGAGGCCATATGCCCTCTCATAACAGGGACTGTCGGAAACCTAATCATGTCCTCCATAATGATGTTGTTAGAATTCTTATTTTCCCAAAGTTTACACTTTCAGGTAATGGCTTGCACTGTTTGTTTGTTTTTCCAATAATAATAAAAAGTGAGAAATAATAGAAATTATATTTAGTTACTCAGACTAAATAAATTACTCTTCAAAGATACATTAACTTGATTATAGTTTAAAATTCCCTCTGTAGGCTGAAGATGTTTATTTCTATATTTTAGAAATATTTCAATAGATCTTGTTTCACTGATACACTAGATCAGGGAATTTCTGACTTATTTTTTCTCTGTCACATGTTTTTGTTTTATGTGAGAAATAACAAAGTTTTATTTATTTTTTAGAATATGCAGCATGAAGTTACTGGCTATCAGTATTTTGTTATGATTCTAGTATCAGAGTATTACATTTGTGCTTTTAAAAAATCTGCATAAATGAATATTTTTGAGCTGTAGAGTCTATTCTTCCTGCTGTATAAAATTTGTGGATAGAACTCACCATGGCTAGTGTAAATTTAAAAATGTATTAAATATATTATAGCACTGTGATATATATTTTAATATGCAGAAATTATGCTTTTTCTGCTTTCCATAATCCATTTGTTTTCTTTAGAGCCACCTCTATAAAGATCGAAGAAGCCAACAGGACTGTGTATTTAAATGTGTCACGTACTAATGGCGTTGATTTAGCTGTGAGTGTGGAGTGGGAGACAATATCTGAAACAGCCTTTGGCATGAGTATGTTTCATTTCTTATGAGAACCAAATTCTATAACCAAGAAAGATTGCATGTGTAAAATTTACATATCCCCTCATGAATTGTATATTGTGGATTTATTGAAAACGGAGAAAAGATATGTAATTCTTTTATTGCACCCACAGATATTTATTGAAGGCCTATTATATGCCAGGCATAGGGCTAAACTCACAGAGCTTAGAATTTAAATGGGTGACAGAAATAAAACAAGTGAAAATCAGTGTGTAGTTTAAACTGTAATAAATGTTTTAAAGGGGAAGTTCTTAGTGTTGTGAGAACATAAATGAATGCTTCTCAGGCATATCAAAGTTTGAACTAAGAAAAAATGCTAGGTAGAAATTCTACTTGGAGGAACATGGGGGTAAAAGTGGGAAATGAATGAGGCAGACCTCTAGAGTCATTAAAAACAAGAACGTATGAAAAAATTTAGAATGGACATTGAGGCATATCAAAGTTTGAACTAAGAAAAAATGCTAGGTAGAAATTCTACTTGGAGGAACATGGGGGTAAAAGTGGGAAATGAATGAGGCAGACCTCTAGAGTCATTAAAAACAAGAACGTATGAAAAACTTTAGAATGGACATTGAGGCATATCAAAGTTTGAACTAAGAAAAAATGCTAGGTAGAAATTCTACTTGGAGGAACATGGGGGTAAAAGTGGGAAATGAATGAGGCAGACCTCTAGAGTCATTAAAAAAAAGAACGTATGAAAAACTTTAGAATGGAAATTGAGTTTAGAAATAAGGGGAGTGCTGAGTTTGAAGAGTTAGACAACACTAGATCATTCAAGAGGTTGAAGAACATGTTACGGGCATTTGTTTTAATCCTAGGATTAATGGAAAGCCTTTAGGTGCTTTAAGCATTGGGGAGGGTTAATAGGCATGTATAGCATAAGGTGGCATGATCGCATTTGCACTTTGAAGATATCCTCAGTGCCATATAAAGAATGGGCTTCACTGTTTGAATAATAAACTCAGAATTGATAAAGTTTGGGAGGGATTATACGCTTGTAAATTATGATATATGTTTTTCAGGGGGAATGCATATTGTGTTTTCCATATTTCAAAGTTTTTTCGATGCCTCGGCTTCTGGCTGGTGTTTCTTTACTTTGGAAGATTCAGTATATGGTGTAATGTTAAGAAAGGTGTCTTCTACTGTTTACCGATGGCAAGGGGTTTTTATTCCACTTGAGGTAAGCATCGCTTATTTTACAGTAGACAAAATAACATGTGCATGTAAATGTTGGCTACGTTGTGAATTACAGATATTCTTATGCCTTATATCCTAGGATTTAAATATAGGGAATCCTAAAACTTGTGAGGCCTTTCAGATTGGACTTTCTCCCTACTTTGTGATTACTCATGAAGAAAGACATGAAGAAAAGCCTTCTGTTAACAGTGTGTATACATTCACATCTGGACTCAAATTATTCCTGGTAAAAGAAACAAACAACAAAAAACTTTACTTTTTTGTAGATTGCTTTATTTAAAAGAAAAATTAGATTTGTAAGCTTGATCTAAATGGAAGTTAATGCATGGTCTGTGGTCATGTGAAAAAGGGCTTTTGGCAAGTTGATACTCATTTGAGCAAGGTGTCTTAATCTAGGGATAGTTTTGTCTTTCTTAAAATGACCTTTAGTTAGGCATATCTAGATATCAGAAGGATTTTCCAATTTTGAACTTCAAATACTGACTCATACAATTACTGTATTCAGATCCTTTTTTAGTTATATTCTACTTTAAATTTTTATTCCTACTGTTCTGTCTTTCTTGCAGGTACAAACAATAATTATTTCAGAAAGTTCTCAAGTAAGGTATTTTACTTCAGACAGTCAAGATTATTTAATTGTTGCAAGTCAAAGAAATGATTCTGCATTAACACAGGTTTGATTCTTTTAAAATGAACTTTTTTCTTTTTAATGCTATAATTAAAGCTCATCAAATATGTAGTCTGTAGGATTAATATAAAATAACACCATAATTTGATTGGGGGAAAGTAATAAAGTAGAATATACATACTGATTAGTTACAGCTTATTTTAAAAAAATCTTCCAAATTTATTGGTAGCTATCCATCACTCTGTATTCCAGACGTACATATCTAACTTTCTATTAGCATCTTCACTTAAATATATTTTAAGTATTGCAGATTTAGCATATCCCCAATGAACTTTGGATTTTCTCTGCAAAACTTGTTCAGTGCTTGATTTCATCTCAGGAAATTGCAACCTCATAAGTTGCAATTGCTCTGGACGTGTCCTTGATTACTCCTTTTTAATGACATCTAATTTATTAGGTGTTTTTGTTTATATCTTCCAATAATTGAATATAGACATTTTTTTTCCATTGCTGCTTCTCCTTCCCTAATCCAGGTCCCCATCACTTCTCTCCGACACTATTAGAGTAGCCTCTAGCTGGTTTCCAAACTTCTTCTCTGACCTCCTCAGACCCATTCCCAGTCAAGTGGCTGGGGTAATATTTTATTTTATTAGTTTATATGTTTTATTGATTTCAGAGAGGAAGAGAGAGGGAGAGAAAGATGGAAACATCAATGATGAGAGAGAACCCCCACACTGAGGATTGTGCCCACAACCTGGGCATGTGCCCTGACCGAGAATAGAACCGCGACCTCCTGGTTCAAACCACTGAGTCATGTTGTCTGGGCTAGAGTAATATTTTAAAACATTAATTAATATTGAGTTATTCCTCATTTCAAAACTTTATCGATTTCCAATTATACTCAGCATGCATTTAAGTAAGTAGGATAACCATATCTCCTTATTTGTCCAGCACAGTGTTGGGTTATGCCTGTTGTCCTGATATAATTACTAATATTGTCCCATTTGCTCGCTCAGGGACCCTTCTGATAAATTATATGGTCTCCCTAGCAAAAGACTCCTTACCTATCTAGTCTAACCGATACTCAGTTCCCTACAACTATCAGCTTCCTTCCAGTTAGACCTGTTTTAATTCAGATAATGACAAACTTTTCCTGCCTTGGAAATATTTTCATTCTCTCTACCTTTATTTTCCTTATACACCCATAGTTTTCCATCACATCATTTCAATTGTTATCTTTAGCACTTGTATCAATTTTATAATCATGCATCTATTTTATTTTTTTAAAAATATATTTTATTGATTTTTTACAGAGAGGAAGGGAGAAGGATAGAGAGTTAGAAACATCGATGAGAGAGAAACACTGATCAGCTGCCTCCTGCACACCCCCGACTGGGGATGTGCCCGCAACCAAGATACATGCCCTTGACCGGAATCGAACCTGAGACCCTTCAGTCCGCAGGCTGACGCTCTATCCACTAAGCCAAACCAGTTAGGGCTCATGCATCTATTTAAATATTGATATGTTTGTTTGCCTTTGACTAATACTTAATATCCATAAAGGGAGATATGACTTTATTCATAAATCCTAGAATAATGCTTGGCTCATATAAGGTTCCCAATTGTTGACTCAATAAATATAATTCTTTCTGAAATTGACTAGGTTGTATATTTGGGATTGTCTTTTAATTTTAAATGTATTAATACTCACCCTGAAACCTTGTATGCATTGCTACTTTTAGTACTAAAAAGTTTAGGTGTTTCTCTTGCTTGAGAGAAGGCTATGAATGATATTACAGTATTAGAAAGTTTCTAATCTAGTTCTAAATTTTTTATATTTAAATGAATTCTCTTTTATATTTGGCATTCCTCTTTTCTTGCTATCACTGACTCCTGCCCAGATGTGTATTTGAAACTGACTTATTTTTAAATAACTTTGCTTTAAAATTCATTCTACCTGTATGTCCTCTCTCTCTCTCTTCTCTCACACTCGCACACACATACAGAAAAAAGGGGAGAAAGCTTCAGTTTTGCTACTTTCTCATGTATGAAAATATCCTCTCAACTAAATAAAAGGCTTTAGGAGAATAAACATATGACACTGGTTAAATTATTATAAGTGCTCAATTCCTCATCACGAAGGATTCTGTATTTGAACATTCCATGCAGGTCTTCCGGTGGAATGGAGGAAGCTTCGTGTTGCATCAGACACTCCCTGTCCGAGGTGTGCTGGCCATGGCCTTGTTCACCAGAGGAGGCTCTGTGTTCTTAGCCATTTCCCAGGCTCATGCCAGGCTCAATGCCGTTTTACTGAGATGGTCTGGAAATGAGTTTATTAACTTTCAAGAAGTGCCGATCAGTGGGACAACACAAGTCGAGGCCTTGATTTCAGGAGATGATATTTACTTAATTTTTGCCAAATCTGTCTCTCTAGGTAAGAAGATATAATGTTTGTAATGCATACAGAGTTATCAAAATTAGTATTCATATAGTACAGTGGTCAGCAAACTGCGGCCCCTTGAGTGTGGCTCTTCCACAAAATACCATGTGCGGGCGTGCACATACAGTGTTATTGAAACTTCGTGGCCACACTCAAGGGGCCAAAGAGCCACATGTGGCTCGCGAGCCACCATTTGCCAACCACTGATACAGTATGTTCATATGAAAATGCTCTCAATAATTTTTTAGCTAAGTCATAGAATGTTTCTTGATGGATAAATATTGGCTGTCAGCTACAAATAGATTTTGGGGAAAAAATTATTTTGTCCTTAATCTTTAGGGGTTCTGAACCACTACTTTAAAAATATTAAAATCAAATTGGGGAATGAGTGGGTAACATGGAAAGATCTATGAAAAACTCTATGAAGAAATTATACTTATAGCATAAGTAGATAACTTTTTATATGACTATACTTGGGGTGCCATGGATAATTTATTGTAGTAATAAATGGTGCTTAGCAACTTTTGATAAAACTTTAAAAATATTTATTGAATATGAATATGCTTTCTTCTGCTTAGTGGAGCTCTCATAAATAAAATTCCAACACTCCTAAAAAATAAAACATTTGTTGCTTTTTTTTTTTTAATATCGGGTCATGATTAGTGGCTAACTATCTATATACTTCATGTGATAAATGCAAAAAGACTTTAAATGTTTCCTAATAAGTTGTATTTTGTTTAACTGAATGAATTCTGAGGATTCTCCTATAAAAATTTTTTTTATTATTAGACTTAATGTTTTTATTATAGTTTTCCTGTGTAATTTTCATTTTTTTCTGAAATGTTTGCCTTCAGATTTGACTTATATTTGTTATTGTAGGAGATCAGAGTTCAATTGATATTTTCATCTGGGAGCCAGGACAGTTTCCTTTTAGATATTTTCAGTCCCTGGATTTTGCTGCTAATAGGATCCACTCCTTCACACCGGCTTCAGGAATAGGTAAGGGATTTTCAACTGCTGGCTAATCCTGAGGGCAGTGGGAAAGCCAGAATGATTTTAATCTCACCAAATTAGAGGTAGTGCTACATTGCCAGACACTGGGTATTTTACTAAGGATGTAAAATCAAGATCTTGACAATAATATTTCCAGAAATCCTAGAATTTTCAAATGACTGATATTGATACTCTTAAAATAGGGATTGTGTTTGGTTGGAGAAGCAAGAAAAATAGTAAGATAATAATTCAAGGTAGAACCCCAATCGCATTTGCTCTGTGAGTGGTAGAATTGGAGGGGTTAAGGGAGCTTGAGCTCTGCCTCGGTGGATTGGTAGGAAATACTGTGTGGAGAGGGAAAGGTATGAGCAAAAGTGAAAGGCAGGGGGGGTCTGTGGCATTGAGAGCACAATGGGCAGACTAGCGTGGTGGGGACAAAGGATTTGATTCAGAGCGGAGTGGTGGTAAGGTTGGAAACGCACTTGAGTCCAAACAGGTGGGCCTGGAATGTTAGCCCGGGTTTGAACTGTGTTTCAGATGGTCCAGTGGTTCCCAGACATTTTGGTCTTAGGAACTATTCACCCTCTTAGAAAATGGAGGCCCTCAAAGAGTTTTTGTTTGTGTATATATCTACTGATATTTACTGTATTTGAAATCAAATGGACAAATTTCAGACAGTTATTTATTAATTCATTTAAGAATGACAGCAGTAAACTCATTACATGTGAACATAAATAACATGCTTTATTTAAAAACAAAACACTGTATTTTCCAAAACAAAATTTTTATAAAAAGAATGGTATTTCTTTTTCGTTTTTGAAACTTTTCATATCTAGCTTAATAGACGATATCTGGATTTTTGTGTCTGCATCTGTATTTAGCCTATTGCAATAATATCAATCATATGTCCTCTGGAAAATCCCACCCCCATTCACTCATGAAAGAATGAGAGTGAAGTAGACAGACAACATCTTAGTATTATTATGAAAATATAAGGCGTCCCCCAAAATGTAAACACACACTTTGAATAATTATAAAGGCAGTGTTTATTAAAATGCATTTCCTCTTCAAAATTGAGCTATCAGCTGTTAAAATGTGTATACATTTTTTGGGACACCTGTAGTTTTGACCTCACGGTCTCTTTAAGGGTCTCAAGACTCTTAAGGATCCCCAGACAGCATTCTGAGCATTACTGAGGCAGAGAAATCCTTGCAGGCATTTTAAAGACAAGTGAAGATCAAAGGCGTGTTTCACAACTCCACCTCCCTGTGGTGCACAGGATATGCTGGAGGCAGTAGTTTGTAACTGCCCAGGCCAGAGCTGATGTAGAAGCCTCTGTGGGTGGTTAGTGAAATGGAGCTGAAATCAGGAGGAAATCAAGTAGGGGTTTAGACATCGGGGACATCAATGCATGGAGGTAGGTGAAATCACAAAAGTTAAAATCTACAAAGTAAATGATATTGAAAAGAGTAGAGGATTTAGCACAAATACTGGAGTTTATTCTTGCAGGGGTTTTTTTAGGTGCCTGACTTGCTTTCTCTATCAGGCATTGTCACCTTTACTGTTCTCCAGGAATCAGAGGGTGTTTTTTATCTTCCATTTTTTAAATTAAATTTATTGGGGTGACATTGGTTAATACAATTATGTAGGTTTCAAGTTACAATTCTATAATACATCATCTGTATATTGCATTGTGTGTTGACTACCCAGAGTCAACTCTCTTTCCTATATTTGACCTCCTTTACCCTTTGCTACCTTTTTGTAGATTGTTCATTTCATTTGTTTTCATGTGTCCTACACCCCACTTCTCAGCTCTGTGTCCCCAGGTTTTCTCAGACCCTGGCACCTCCCATCTGGGACATTACTTTGTTTTCTGGCCTCCATGCCAGGTTCACTCTGTTTTTGGTGTCTACCTCTGTTCTGCTCATCCTTTCCTTGAATAACTTCTCTTTACATTGTCAGCCTTTGATAGGCCTTCACTCTGTGATGTTGCTGTGATAAACAACTTGCTCGATGTACTCATCATTCACTCAACAACTGATTCACTTAATAAATGATGGATCTTTCAGCATGGATTTGTGTAGTTTTTGTCTACTTGTTCTTTAATTTTGTACCTTTATCATTTTTGCTTCTCTATACTTCAAGTTTTCAAGTGGACTAACTTCATCTACTTGAGTCACTTATTATAATTCAAAATAGTTGCCTAATGAATGTTTTTTAAGGATGAGGGATGCTGCCTGAATGGGCCATTAATTGAAGTTATAGAATTCTCTTTAAAGACTTTAAAAAAATTAGAATAGGCACGTTTCTAAAATAATTTGTGAAAAAAATCTGCCAGAGGCTTGTTAAAAGACCCATTGTGAGGTTTCTTTATTCTTTTGTTTCTGTGACTTGAGGTTGTAGAAGTATGAAAAGATTATAGGTAATTATTTAGAATGGCTTATTATAGATCCCTTGAAAGCTGAAATTATGCATTAAATAATATTCAAGGATTTTATTATTTTGAATGTGTCAAATATTTTATTAAAAGCATTAGATTGGAGCCATGACTATGAGGATTACATATTTATTCTGGTTAATGACCTGACAGAGATTATTGGGTGGTGACTGAATTCTTTAAATTAAAGAAGAATAATGAATATAACAAAGGCTGCAAGGACATATAAATGTATCTCCCATTTCTCTCTTCTCTCCTTTATTATTTAATAGATATTTTTACTGCCAATTATGTGCCAAGCACAGTGGTAGACCCCGAGAAAACACTGGTAAGCAGAATCAGATATCACCTCTGCCCTGAAGAAGTTTAACAGGTAATAGGGAAGAGATACATGTAAAATCACACAAATACGTTTCTGGCTACATACAGATAACTGCTATGAAAGAATAAAGAACTCCCACAACACAAAATGGAGAGGCCTTGACCTGGTCTAAGGGATGCCCCGAGAGTTTTCTTACGTAATTAGGTATTAATGAGGCCGAGTTAAGCATAGGGTGGGCTCTAGTTTGAGGGAACAACATGTGCAGAGGTCAGATGGTAGCAGTGAGCATGAGCTTTTAAAGGACCAGGGAGAGGTCAAAGTGGCAGTGAGGGGAGAGTGGTATAGATTGTAACTGAAGATGTAATCAGACCAGAGAGGGATTTAAAGGATTATTGTCTTTATCCTAAAAGTAACTGGGTGTCTTTTGTGAGAGGGTGATGAGGAGATGGAGAAAGAGGGGGACAGGGAGAGAGAAACAGAGACTCTGTGTGTGTGCATGAGAGAGAGAGAGAGAGAGAGAGAGAGAGAGAGAGAGAGAGAGAGAGAGAGCGCGCGCCCATGTCATGGGGAGAAAAGCTTAGAGAAGCTTAGAGGCTGGTAAGAGATGTCTTGAAGACAGTCTGGAGGCTCATGGCATGTTTCAGACTGAAGATGTTGCATGGTGGAGTTTGGAAAGTGGTGGGTGATGCAGGTGGAAAATTAGACAAGCAGATTCATTCAGAAGATGTTTCACAAGTAAAATCCACAGGAGTTGATGGTAGATTAGATATGGGGGTATGTGATAGGGAAGATGTCAAGAATGAGTCTAATTTTTACATAGGTGGTAGTCCTATAACCATTATGGTGATCACTGGGAGGAAGTCCAGGCACTTAGGGACAGAGATAATGAGTTTCATTGGAATCCATTGAGATGCCTTTGAGTCATTCGTGTGCAGATATTGAAGAAGTATTGCTGGTCAGAGCTTAGAAGAGAGTCCTAGGCTGCAGATATTGGATGTTCTACATGCAGCGAAGGAAGATGTAGAAACAGACTATGTAGTGTGAGAGGAGGGATCCTCGAACCAAGCCTTGCTGAATTTCACTTTTTCAAGGGGAGGTGAAGGAGACTGTGTGGTCAAAAGATTCAGGAAATATGGGAATCTATAGCTAACACTTACTGAATGTTATGTCCCAGGTCCTGTTGCAGTCCTTCAGTTTATTATATCATTCATCTTCTAAGCTCTGTGTGTTGCTGGAAAGACACTCAGCCCCTTCTCTTTAGTCCTCCAATACTCTCAGCTTCATCAAAAATATTACATTTGAAAATCATTTGGATTAAGCTCATTACTCTCTTCATTCCTGTTCAGTTACCATAAGAAGTGCAGGCCCCTGGGAATGAGATTCTCATTCCCATGTGTTCTGCTCATGCTAGAGACCAGTGGTCACCAACCTTTTGGACCTCACGGACCACCAGTGGTCCACCGCTGCTCTAGACCATCTGAGCCCAGAGTTCTAGTCCAGATGCTCACATCTCATTTCCCCAGCCCCCAAATCCTCCACAGTGCCCTGTGAAACACATACACTGTATCTCAGACTGTTCTCAGGATATTCTCTTCTCTTTGCTCTGGAACTTGGCTCGCTCCTGAGGACACTGCTTCTCAGGAAGCTCTTCCTGGCTGCGCCATCTTTTACTGGTTTCTTCTTATATTCCCAGGCCTCTAACTGGTTAGGAATGCTTGCTCTAGCACTTAGTCCTGGAACCTCTCTTTACACTCATTCCTTAAGTAATCTCATCCATTTGCTTACATGTGGGATACTTTTAAATTTTTTATAGTTTTGCTAAATGGAAGATAATTCTGTAATCAGTACTAGTTAAAATCCTCTTCCCAAACAGACTCAAAGACACAGAGAGCATACTGGTGGTTGCCAAAGGGAAGGGGAATTGGGGGACTGGGTGGAAGAGTTTAAGGGATGAATAACTACAAATTGGTAGTTACAAATTAGTCATGGGGAAGTGAAGTACAGCATAGGGACTATAGTTAATAATATTGTGATAACTATATATGGTGCCAGGTGGAAATATGTACTGGAAACATCAGGGGAACCCTTTAGAGCAGTGATGGCGAACCTTTTGAGCTCGACGTGTCAGCATTTTGAAAAACCCTAACTTAACTCTGGTGCCGTGTCACATATAGAAATTTTTTGATATTTGCAACCATAGTAAAACAAAGATTTATATTTTTGATATTTATTTTATATATTTAAATGCCATTTAACAAAGAAAAATCAACCAAAAAAACGAGTTTGCGTTTCACCTCTGACACGCGTATCATAGGTTCGCCATCCCTGCTTTAGAGCATATGATAACCATTATGCTGTACACTTGAAGCCAATACAAAGTAAACTGTAATTGAAACAAAAACGGATAAAAAATATCCTCTTCCCCCAGTAGAGATTTTTTTCTTTCCCTCATACATTCCTGGCCCAATTTCATGATCCTGAACAGTACAAATGCCTATTTTCTGAGAAAACACTCTCTGCATACATATGTTCAGATTTAAGCCTATACTTCCTACTCTAAATGTCTGATTATCTATTTGCTGCCTTGTAATACTAATCAGATTGAGAGGACGTGAATAGGAGTCTATCTCCCAGGGTTGGATGCATCATCAGTGATGATCAAAAAACTTTAGTTCATGATTTTGCTTGAGACTGTAGAATCAGTTAAACTTGAGAGGAGTTGAGAGCCATCTGAGGAGTTTGCCCTTTACTGAATGTATCCAGTTTTACAAAGCTTTATGGAAAATATATGATCATTTTGAAAATACAAACTTATTAGTAACTACTTTTTTAATCTTTACCTTTTATGCAACATTTACTAAATTACAATAGTAACAGTTTCTCCCATATAAAAAAATAATCAGTAGTTCTCAATACTTAAGAATATGGGATTTAAGAGTGGGTATGGGGTTTTCCTTTTTATCGTATGGGTAAAAATTTTGGAAGAGACTCATGGTTTCTGGTTCTATATGCTATTTTAATACCCAGTTTTATTTGATATTTGTATGTTCCATTGTGTTTCAATGAGTACTGGAATTTATGCATGTTTCTTGGCGGTTTCTTTCTTTTCTCCTGTTTTAAGTCTGAAGATTTTTTTAGTGTTGTGTATAGTGTAGTGGGCACCCTTTCCTCCTAATGTCATTAAATACAAGTATGTGCCATTGCTTTTAATTATGAAGAGCATGGTTTTCCAATAACATTTCAAAAAGCTTTGACAGAACATATTCTAAAATCTTGAATTTGTTCATTTTCTTTGGTTTAATTAACCACCTTTAAGAATTTATTAAGTGAATGTAATTAAAATGAAGAATTAATTAAAATTGAAAAACTATATAGAAAACAATATTATTAAATATATTTTAAGATCAACCCTATAGATTATGCATTAAAATTACAAATATGAATGCTATGTAGTCACATATAAAAAACTATGCTATATATATACTATAAACATGGTATTACCCTTTTTAATTAATAATTTTTTATACTTAGACTGTTTATAACTGTGCCAATTATGAATTCGTATGAATCACGACTGGAAGGAAAATAGAAAAATAAACCTCTTAGTGGTAGGATTATGGGTATTTTTTACTTTCAAAAGTATCCTAGCATGCTATTCAATAAATAAATATTGAGATGAATACGAACAAATCTAAAATCCATTTGGCTTTTACCATTCAAGATCACTTTTTAAGTGGGTTGTTGGTACATTGTCAGGCCTGCTCGATCTTTCCATACCATTTAACAATTATTATTTACACTCAGTTATTTTAGAGATTGAATTGTGTATTACTTCAGAAATCAAAATGGCACTTTGAGAGTTGGAGAGATTTTGCCGTGGTACGTATGTGAGGTGACTGTTTATATTGGACTCTAGTTGCCTTTCACTTCCTTCCTGCAGTGCACATACTTCTCATTGGCCACACTGTGTCTGCTCTCTATGGCTGGAATTCAGAGCTGAATCAGTTCTCTTTTATTCTGGAAGCACCTTCTGCTCATGATGCAGCTTCCGTCACAGTCAAGTCCCTTAATTCAAGCAAGGATTTAATTGCTCTAGTGGGAGCCACCCACTCACACATATATGAGCTGGCCTATGTTTCAAGCCAGTCTGACTTTATTCCTAGGTAGGTTGAACATTTTATGCTGTCTTTATACTCACCATAATTTTATATGTTACCTAATTTCTAAGTCTTTATCCAATGACTGAAAAATGTATGAAATATAAGAGCTATTTATAAACCAGACATTTGGTTGTTATCCAGATTTCTAATATTTATTCTACCAAGTTAGTAGTATATGAACACTTCAGATTAAAATTTTACTTATGAAATGTGAGTTTTCATCGCTTCTCGGCCTTTTGGCTAAGATCAAGTGTAGTGAAATGTGAGTTTTCCAAACTTTGAATATCAGTCAATGTTATAAGAGTTTTATGAGCAATGTACTGTGTATATGTCTTTAATTTGTTGTAGCTGACTGACTGTATACATTCTTCTATGTCAGTTCAGGTGAACTGATATTTGAACCTGGTGTCAGAGAAGCTATAATCGCAGTAAATATTCTCGATGATACAGTTCCAGAGGAGGAAGAATCTTTCAGAGTTCAGCTTAAAAATCCTAAAGGAGGAGCAGAGATTGGTATTAATGGTTATGTAAAAATCACTATTCTGTCTAATGATGATGCCTATGGAGTTGTTGGATTTGCTCAGGTAATGATTCCAAAGATCCCACACTTAGAATTCAGAATGTTGTATTCACTGCATTTATATATGAGTTATCAGCACTAGTGAGTCGTACTTGAGTATTTTAAGCCTCTCTTCTTTCCCTTTGCCTGCTTCACCCCCTACTGTGCATTCTAAGCTCAATTCTACTGCTGCCTTGCAATTTAGTCTTACACACTGGACCCCCTGGGCCCATTTGTCCTAAACTTTATTGTTTGTACTGATTCCTTTTATAAGATTGAATTTGACATGTTACCAGTTGGCCTTGGCCCAGGAGTTTGAATTTGCTGTTACCCATGTTTCCAGAAAACAGTGATGTAGATCCCAATCACTATGTCTGGTCACACACATTACTTATAAATATTTTACTGTCCTATTATGCCTTTGTTATTTCTGTGGGGGTGAAGGGAGGAAGAGGAGGAGAAGGATGAGGAGGAGGAGGAAGAGGAGGAGGAGGAGGAGGAGGAGAGAAAGAGAGAGAGGGAGAAGTTTGTAACTCTGTATGCATTGTACACATGGAGATGCTTTCTCCTGAGGAAAGGGAATATGCATGAGGACAAAGGCCTGGAGGAGATGAGGAAGTGAGTTACACACATATCTGGGGGAAAACGATCAGGGCAGGGAGAAACCATCAGCAAGTGCAGTGGCCCTGAAGGGAGGCCTTGCCTCTTAGGAGCAGCAGGGAACTCACTGTGGCTGATCTGGGTGCTGAGGCAGATGAGGCCCAGGTGTGTCAGGAATCCCCACCAGCACGCAAAGGTTCAGTGACTTGCAAGGAGAACTCATAGGACTGATTTGTTACACAAAATCAGCTAAGGGAAAAGGCTCATGGGATAAAGTCCAGAGAAAACTAGGTATCAGTTTCTCAGTGTTCTCTTCTAGTGGAATCACGGGGAATGCATTCCCCCAGCATCGAGTTAAGTTATGACAACACGTGAGAAGTGTTGTCAACCAGCAAAGCTCATTAGAGACTCATTGCTCAGGATTTTAATTGGGCACTGATCATGTAGGCACCCTCTACCTGGCATGTAAACTTCCAGATTCCCAGAAAAAGAAACAGGTGTTCAACATAAACTGCATTGTGTATTCAAACAGGCCAAGCTAATGGAACTTATTGTCAGTTCTGGGAATGGTGGGAACCCTCCTGAAATTCAAGTTCCCAAACACCAGCCAAGGGCCAATCTTTGCAGGCAGGCCTTTCAAAGGATTGCAGTAAGGCCTGCTATGTTGGCTGTCTCCTGCACGAGCACCTTAGTGTCATATGAATTTGGCCTCTGAGGGAAATGGAGAGCTTTCGAAGGGTCAGAGTAAAAGAGCAACGTGATCTGACATGCATTTTAAAAGGACACCCACGCCATAGAATCAAAACTAGATTGTAAGTGGGCAAAAACAGATATAGACCAGTTAGGAGACTATTGAAGTAATCCAGCAGCAAACGATAGTGTGGAAGCAGGAGTTTGCCTTTCACCAAGATATGGACCACTGTAGGAGAAGAGGATTCAGGGATAAGATAAGGAGTTTTTGACCCACTAATGTCCTGAGTTAATTGCTTGCAAGGGTTGTAGGACCACCCTGTTACCCAGCCTGGCCCATTCTGAACTCAAGGCGGATCAGCTCCCTCTGAGGCAGCTCTGCCCCACAGAAATACAATGTGAGCCAGATATGTAATTTTGAGTTTTCTTGTAGTCACATAAAAAGGGAAAAGAAAAGGTGAAGTTAGTTTTAATATTATATTTTATTTAACCTAGTACATTTGAAATACTGTAATTTCAACATAAAATTATTGATGAAATATTTTACATCCTTTTTCCACATTTTATCTTCAAATTCAGTGTGCATTTTATACTTACACACTAGTCATATTTCTAATGCTCATTGGCCACCTGCTGCCAGAGCATTGTCTTTTGTGAACTAATTATATGCATATGTTAAAATCACAGCATTTTCTGCAGAAATGTTTGATTGCCTTGAGCAAGATTTTATTACTATGTAACATCTGTAACATTGTGTTAAAATGCTGTGTAAAATATCGCTATGAGATAGGATATCTATTCAAGTTAGCATTCTAAATAGAGCCTTTAAGAAATGAATGGGGGCATCTCTTTTCAGATTATCATAGTAAAAAGGCAAGAAATATCTTACTGAAAAGATTTTTTAAAGTCTTTATACTCCATATTTTTGCTATATTGCCTGTAGTGAAACCAGGATATTGTCAAGAAGGGATTCTTTGGAATATTAATTTTGAGGAAACAGTCATTAAATGGTTGGCAAGAGATGTTGCAAGTGTCAGAGAAGGAATGTTGTAGTCACACAGAGATAGAACTAAGTTTGCAACAAAGGAAAGAGGCTAGAAGTACAGATGAAAGGAAGAGAATATGGCATCTAACACAAGGGAAATGATATTTCTGGCAGGAAAAATAGTCTTAAGACTATGAGCTAAGGATGAAACATCAGTGGAAACAGGACAGCCTATAGAAACATTTCAAAGAATATAAATTTAAGGGTAAGAGACATTTGTAAATGATCAGAAAGGGCTCCCTGATTCTCATGACATTGTTACATTTTGGTGGGATTGTGGAGACCATGTAGATTAAATACTTATTTTACAAATAGAAAACAAAGACCTAGAGGGATTACAAAGGTCACAAAGAAGAAGCCTTCCTTCTCCTAACTGTCATGTCCTTTCTGTTCTACAAACTGTTTTCCATTCTGTGTATAACACTTTTTAAAAAGTATATTGTTTCTGATTTATAAAAAGAAGATATGTTCATTGAAGAAAATGTGAAAAACATAGAAACAAGGAAACAAAAATAAATATAATCCTAAAAAACTAACATTTTTGTTTATTTTAACTTAATCTTTTACTTTTTCAAACGTGTGTTTTTAAATAAATTCATAGTCATCCGATATTATGTTTCTTTAACTATTGTTTTTCACTTAATATATCATGTTGCTTCATGCTGTGAAGTTCGCAAATGTATGGTAGCATGAAATAAAAGTTTACTTAAGTAATTTCAAATAACCTTGGTGATTTCCTATATATTTTTCAGAATTCATTATATAAGCAAGTGGAAGAAATGGAGCAAGATAGCCTACTAACCTTGAATGTTGAGCGCTTAAAAGGAACTTATGGTCGTATAACTGTAGCATGGGAAGCTGACGGAAGTATTAGTGATATATTTCCTATCTCAGGAGTGGTATGTAATTTATAAAATTGTAGGAAAGTCACTTTTAAATTATGGTTACTATTTTTCTTATTCAATACATTTAGCTTATTTTATTATTCCTTACATTTCTAAGGAAAAACATAGTAGTTGCTACATTTATAAAAACAACACCCATTATCTAAAAAACAAAATTATTTTTTTCACCTCCATGATCCATTACATTTGATTTTTTAAAACAGGTAATTTTCCAAAATAAGTAACCAAAAGACACATTCCTCATTGCTCTTTAAATAGATTTAAGATTGTAAGATAGGTTTATGATCACAATTGGTAAATTACTTATTTTGGAAGTATGACTCTACATGAAAATGTCTAGTTGTGCCTAAAAGAAGGTTATTTTTATTTATTTTTTTAATTAATTTTTTTATTAAGGTATTACATATGTGTCCTTATCCCACCATAACCCCCCTGACTTCCCCAACTCATGCCCTTACCCCCTGTTGTCTGTGTCCATTCGTCATGCTTATATGCATGCATACAAGTCCTTTGGTTGACCTTTCCCCCTTACCCCCACCCTCCCCTACCTTCCCTCTGGGGTTTGACAGTCTGATTGATGCTTCTCTGTCTCTGGATCTGTTTTTGTTAATTAGTTTATGTTGTTCATTATATTCCATAAATGAGTGAGATCATGTGATATTTGTCTCTCTCTAACTGGCGTATTTCACTTAGCATAATGCTCTCCAGATCCATAAATTATGGTTACTATTGATGCATGGCACCAAATCCTGCCTTAGGGATGAAGTGTTAGATTGTATCCCTCTCTAATCACCATAGATTATTGTTGTGATTATTGTGTTTTTTTTTCTATAATACCAAAATATCTGTAAAAAAAAGTCATCCCTTTTGAAGTTCATTATATTGGTTGGGCAAATTTTGGATGTATTACATTATCGGAAAGATAAACCCAAGCAAATTTGGGATTGGAATGGAAATGTGATTTCAAGTTTTGGGAGCAGTAAGTAGGGAAGAAGTTTCTGTAAAATAGATGTACGAAAAAGTAGACCAGAGATGTTGAGCGATGTAGGTGAGTTTCCTGTAAATAGAATCTGAGATGGAAGGTTTCAGTTTATTGGGAAGATACATGTATAAACAAGTGAGGAAGATAAGAATGTGCATAGGGAGAAGTTGATCCACAGATGACTGTTGAGCCTGTGAGGGAGTTCTGGAGCGAAGCTAGTTCTTTGGAGTTGTTTCCTTTTGGGTCAAGGAGCTGAGATGTTGCACCCCTATTTTAGTTGTTCTTGACCTTCAGTCGGCCTCTGGATCGGTCATAATCTTGGGTGGAACAGTTGCTGCAGCCAGGGCACTTCCCAGTGAGAAATGCAGAAACTGTTATTCCCTCTGGGGGATGGCTGCATCAGCCCCAAGAAGGTATCTGAGCAGAGGGTCACATTATCTACTGTTGGAAGATCATATGAAATTGGGGCACAGGGTCAAAAATGGACTCAGAATGGGCTAAAGATGTAGAGGACTCACAAAGGGAGGGCTCAAGGAGTTGTTAGTTCCTAATTGGAAATTGGGTTGTCTCCTTGTCTTGGGTTTCATAGGTTAATTTATGTATTTTGCCTAGATGCTTCTCTGAAGAGTTCTCTTAACAGATGTATATTATGGTCCATTATTTCCAGGTTTCTGTATCATTTGAAAGGTGATTAGAGCTTCAGTTCTTAAAAATAACAGGGCAAACTTCATTGCATTGAATATTTACTTTAAGTTGCAAGCTACAAAAACTTGGAGTTGTATCTCTCAAGTTCTGTGCTCTGAATTATATTTCTCCAATTAATATGTATTATATAAATATGATTAAAATTATAATTTTAATGCATGATGGTATCTTAAATGTAGACTATATTTTGAAAGAATTAATTATTTTATCCAAAGGTCAGTAAACACTTTCTGTAAAGGGCTTGATGGTAAATATTTTAGGTGTTGAGGGCTATAAGGCCTCTTTCCCAGCTTTGCCTTCGGAGCACTCTAGCAGCTGTAGACAATATGTAATTGAATGAGCGTGTGTTCTAATAAAGCTTCATTTACAAAACGTGGATTTGGCCAAAGGGCAGTAGTTTTCCGACACCTGGTTTTATTAATGAAGCTGTTGAATTTATATCCTCAAGTGCCTTATCAAGGTGGAGAGATGAATGCCAGCAAAATAGGCCTGTAATACTAGCTTGCATAATTGTAGTTTTTAGCCATATTGCTGGAGAATAAGGCATGAGATGAGGAACAATGATAAATGACATTCAAGAAGCAGACAGAAGCCCTATTGGAAAGAACTTGATTCCACTTAGCAAACTCGGATTTGACTCTTCAGACAATGGAGACACCAAAGGGGAAGAGAGATGCTCTGATTTGTATCTCTGCCTATTCTTTGTTCTCCACCTCTGTTTTGATTTATAAATTGTAAAATGATACATCTAATCAGAGTTTCCTCAAGGGAAATAGCAATCCTAGCCAAAATGTTGTAGAGAAAAGTATTTAAACCATATGCCATTTTCTTAATGTTTATAGATCTTTATATATGGTATCTAGGACTTAGATTCCCACAGAAAGACTATGCACTTTATATTTTAATAGAAAGTAGGCTTCAGGATATAATAATTTGGCTACCGTTTTACTAGGTTAAGTTTTAGTAATGGTTTATTTCTTTCTTAATAATCTTTCACTTTTTATATGAAAGACATTTGATTTGTAGATATGTTGCTTAAATATCTCTTGTTATTTAAGTTGTGGCCAATATAAAACAAATCTAACCTCTGTTATTCTTGCTGCACAGTGATAATGAAAAAATAGGTAAACTTTTCTTTGTTTAAAATTTTAGATTTCATTTTCTGAAGGCCAGGCACTGTCTACAATCACCCTGACCATTCTTGCTGATGATGTCCCAGAGTTATCAGAGATTGTGACTGTAACACTCACCCGCATTAGCACAGAAGGGGTTGAGGACCCATCGAAAGGTGCTGCTATTGATCAGAAAAGAAGCAAGTCTGTGATAACCACTCTGCCCAGTGACTCACCCTATGGCTTGGTGGGCTGGCATGCTGAGTCTCTCTTTGTTAGGGTAGCAGAGCCCAAAGGTAAATCTTGTTAAATCTTTTCAGGTTTTAGTAAGTTTTATTGGATAATTTAACTGTAATATTTACTAGAAATGTACATTTCTCTTTTTATGTGATATTTTTTAATTTGACATGTCTTAATCCTTTTTACTTTTTTGTTTATAATTATTGAATTTTATGATCATGCAAACATTCAAAAATACTTTTACTATTTTGAGACTATTATTATAATAGAAATCTTATTTTAGTAAATCATTACAGCAAAGAGGATTTGTTTTTATTTTACTTTCTCTTCTTCATCCTTTATTTATCTGTCCTCTTTCCTCACTCAGATGTCCTCTCTAGATTTTCAAGTTACCAGGAACAAGGAGCAACACAGAGAAATGCATATGGTACTGCAGGTGTTAATTGTTAAATCTAAAGCAATGATTAGAATAATATTTTCTCTGAAGTAAAAGTGATCAGTCTCTATTTCCTTTGAGCTTAGTGCTGAAATCTTCCTAAGAAACTCTCCATATCAGTGGATAAATGGATTTTTGTAGATAAAGGTCATTTGGCTTATTTAAATTAAAAGTTATATATACTATATAATATGTATGTATTTTGCATATGCTATGTAAAGTTTCTAAAATTTTCCAAAAGGAACATGGGCATCTCTCAGTATCCTATCATTTCAGTAGTTGATGAGAAAAATGCCATGTAATTATGCATCTGGGCCTTTATATTTCTGTATATATGGGACAGAAGCAATAGGTTTCAAATAAAATGACCTGTTCATTTATTTATTTAACAAATATTTTTAAAGCATCAAGTAAGTTCCAGAAATTGTGCTGTGTGTTCTGGAAGCAAAGACATGGTATTTGGTTATTAGAAATGCACAGACCAGTAAGGAAGATTGACACGCAGTTTTTTCTTTATTTATATGGCAAATTAAATTTTTAAAAATCTAAAGAATTAAATAAAGAATAGGTGCTATGGAATACTTTAGCCTTGTGATAGGTATCTCACTATAAGAGCAAAATTGTTCTAAAGAGTAGTTACTAAATGGTGACTTCGGTGTTTATTCATTTTTGAAGAATCTTCTTAGCAATTGTAATTAGTACCTTTGGTCAACCTGCATGTATGCACTTCTCTAAAGATTTTCAGGCCCTAGCCATTTTGTCTCAGTGGATAGAGCATCAGCCTGAGGACTGAAGGGTCCTGGGTTCGATTTCGGTCAAGGGCACATGCCCGGGTAGGGAGCATGCAAATGGCAGCCTATCAACAATTCTCTCTCATCATTGATGTTTCTCTCTCTCTCTCTCTCTCTCTCTCTCTCTCTCTCTCTCTCTCTCTCTCTCTTTCTCTCTCCCTCCCTCCCTCCCTCCCTCTCTGAAATCAATAAAAATATATTTTAAAAAAGGATTTTCACCAATTTCTGTTAAAGTGCACGACATGGGCAGCATAGAGTATGCTAGAAAAGCAGCAGGGAGGGCTTAGAACTGGGATCGATTGCTTGCAGTGTATGGGGAATCTCAGCATAACTTTGGGAATAGGTGAGTACAGCACAAAATACTCCTTGGGGGTGTACATTGTCTTTGTTTTGTCTCTCTTTCCTTAACTACCTAAAAGGGGTAGTGCAGAACATTCCACCCTAAGTGCCTGGAATAGCATTGACAGTACATAGAGAATCTTATGTACTTGAGTCATGTCTGTCCCACAGAGAACATCACCACTCTTCAGTTACAAATTGTTCGAGATAAAGGACTATGCGGAGACATTGCCATTCACTTGATAGCTAAACCCAATTTCTTACTGCCCGTCAATAATCAAGCTACAGAGAATGAAGATTATGTGCTACAAGAAACAATAATAATAATGAAAGAAAATATAAAAGAAACTTATGTCAAAGTTACCATTTTACCGGTGAGTCTAGGCTGTAGTTAATAGGATTATATGTCTGATTGGATGCATTTGTTGGTTGGTTAATGCTAAATGAATAAAATGCCCAAATCAATAGGTTATTTTTATTGTTAAATTGATAGGGCAATATTTTCATTGAATGATACAATTAGTTGAATTAAGACTAGTTTTCAGATGGTTTAGATCTGGTTTTAGTGCTATGCTCTGTCTCTTATGTGTGTATATCTGTAAGGAAACTGAAATTGATTAATAGTGTTACCAATAATATTACATAATTAAATATTGTATTTTTATGTTAGAATACTATATGTAATATTAACTATATTTTATATTGTTAAATAAATATGATATAACAGTGTTACTAATAATGGTATTGACGATATTAGATAATAGCAGTTTCTGGGGAAGACATGGGAAAGAGGTGAAGTCTGGGGCAAAGCAAAAGTTCCTTTACTATTCACTATGTATTCTTTTTATCTTTTGAAATTGTTTATTACCTATTGAATAATAAGGTAAAAGTCTTTAAAACAATTTATTAAAATGAGGGATTATGTCTAAATTTATAAATCTAAGGCTTTTACTTTTAAGGTGTATGTAGTAATTACCAGTTTGTCCTACATTTGGGGGAGGGTAATATATATATATATATATTCAAATAATTCTAAAAATACAATATATTCAATACAATATATTCATAATAATTCTAAAAATTATTTTACTTGCTAATAAGTATGAGGCTTCTATTATTTCCTAAGCTTGAATATTTCCAAAGATTCTGATATTGTCAATGGGAATGTGTTAAAATATCGGAAGAAATTATTTTGGAAATTGTGATACAGCTACTCATTCCAAATATCCAAAGCATGTTCAATATATTTAAAAAAATAAGGCACCCTCTCTGTCCCCTCACTTCCCTACTCACCTCCAGGATGATGCTCCTGAGTTGGAGGAAGGATTCATTGTCAACATCACCAAGGTGTACCTGGTGAACTCTGACTTCTCTGCAGGACAGCCACGCGTTCGGAGACCCGGGATGGAAATAGTTGAGATAATGATAGAAGAAAATAATGATCCCAGAGGAATCTTTAAGTTTCGTGTTACCAGAGTGAGATGAACTTTCATACATTTATCGTGATATGGCCGTTTGCACCTTCCAATTTGGCCAGTGTCATATTTTCTGCAAAATAAGTGGCTTTGCTTGAAGATATTTATAAACATCTGTCTTTATCTTATAGATTCTTAGTTCTCTTTGAGCTAGACCCAAGGATTAAATAAATTTATTCATCCTACATTTAAATCTAAGAGTTCTAAATGAATATATATAGAAACTGTGTATTTCTACTTTGAAGAGTAAACATAGCCACTCTAAGTATAAATAATAAATTTAGAAAGTTATGCCTTCTGAGAGTTACTTTTGTCTTGCATTTTAACTTATATTCTTTACTTAAAGGATGCTGTTGGAGTTATCACTGCCTATGAGGTACCTCCACCCCTGAACATTCTTCGAGTTCCTGTAGTCCGGCTGGCTGGAAGCTTTGGGGCAGTGGATGTTTATTGGAAAGCAACACTGGACAGTGCTGGCCTGGAAGACTTTAAGCCATCTCATGGGATTCTTAAATTTGCAGATAGACAAGTATGCTAGTTATGAACATATTAGCATTTTTCTGGTTGTACTTCAAACATTTTATAGACATCCATTAAATGATTGTGCAATAGTGGTTGCTAAATGAATTATACTCTGAATTCTGTCAAGCCAAACAGAAATACTGTTAGTATATAATTAATTAATGGACATAGGAAGAGAAATAGAGAGAGAAAGAGAAACATAGATATAAGAGAGAAACATCGGTTGGATGCCTCCTGTATGGGTGGGGATCGAATGCACAACCTAGGATGTGCCCTGACCTGAAATCGAACCCGCCAACTTTTGGTGTACTAGATGATGCTCCAGCCTACTGAGCCACATTGATCATGGCTAGCTGGGATATTTTTTATCACGAAAAGTGAAATCACCATCTGGACTAAGTTTTACTTATAAGTTATTAAAACTTTCAAGATAGACCCAGAAAAATTAACAAAATCCTGATCATGAATATTTAAGAACAACAGATTTGGGTTTTCTTCCTGCCTTTTTTATTTTCCTACATTCCAAGAATAGTATTTGGAACTAATGGGATTTATTCTAATTGCAAAACACAATGATAATTTCTATGGTACCATTTTATATCATGTAAGGTTAATACTTAGTATACTAAGTCATGAGTTTGATTCCCAGTCAAGGGCACACACCTGGGTTGTAGGTTCTATCCCTGGCTCTGGTCGGGGTGTGTGGAAGACAACCAATCGATATGTCTCTTTCACATTGATGTTTCTCTCTCTCCTTCCTTTTCACTCTCTCTCAAGAATCAATGGAAAAAATATCCTTGGGTAAGGATTAACAAAAAAATAAAATAAGGAATAAGGTCTCATTATTTTTGGATCTATAATTACTATATTAATATATATGATTTCCTATATCTTGAACATAATTAACTATACATTTCTTTGAAATACAATAAATGTATGACTTTAAAATGCTATTATGAACATAACAGGCAAATAATCCTGCATTTTTATTTTGCACTATGTTTTTAAACTTTAACTAAAAAATAAACTATATGTTCAAAAATTGATATTACATTATGTACCCTTCCCTCTATCTCTCTTTTCTTCTTCCTCTTTCTCTCTCTTTTCCTTCTTTCCTTTTCTTTTGTAGGTTACTGCCATGATAGAAATAACCATAATTGATGATGCTGAATTTGAACTCATGGAGACTTTTAGTATTTCCTTAATCAGGGTGACTGGAGGTGGCAGACTTGGTGATGATGTTGTAGTAACTGTTGTAATTCCACAAAATGATTCTCCATTTGGAGTATTTGGATTTGAAGAAAAGACTGTAAGTGAAATATACTGGGGGAGGGGCTTCTCCTAGGCTAATTTTTTCTGTGTGTAATTTTTAGTAGAAAGGTGTCTAATTTTTTTTTTTTTTTTAAAAAAACCTCTTCAGAACCCTTCACTTGTGAGTCTCTTTTCAGGGGTCTTTTGAGTTGGCTATTGAATTAGGGGCCAATCATCCAATCTATGCAGTTTGATAGTAATGATAATTCTTACTTCAGGCAGTTATAAAGGGAATCAGATTCCTACTTATTAAGTGTAATAAACCAAGATATGCTTTCCCCCCATACATTTGTTCTCTTCCTGCCCTGCTGGCAGACCAACATCCTGATCACAAGGCCTGATTCTGTCATGGATCTGGTGTTCCACCGAAGATGGATTTAGATGGGAAGGTGTTTATATTACCCTGCCTTCTGGTACTCTTGCTTGACTTATATTGAACAAAAACCCACAGTCTCCCCAGCTCATGCATTTCTCTATATTTCTTCTCTTTCTTCCCTCTTACTTCTCATTGGCTGTCTACTTCTGAGATCTGGAAAAGGTAGCCCAATTATTTTTGGTTCAACCATTGAGAGAGAAAAAATGCTTAACCACTCATTTGTGCAGCCAGGTTTAATGACTACATCTTAAATATAAAATAAAGGACCATAAAACAATATTGTAATTACTACATGATGATTATGTAATAATTGTTATGACTTTATCTTTCAAAGAAAACTCTAAAATGAAATAATAAAAATATTTAGATAATTCTGGGGTACAGAATAACTTTTTATATCCATATGTCATTGTCACTTACAGGTAGTCAGCAATACACCATCGATCATTTATATAATAACAAATTGCTCTAATGTTCATGCCATTATTGCTCTGAAGATGCAGGGCTAGTCCTATAACTTTCCTATCAGTGTTGTTTGTTCCAGATGCTCCAAATTTTAAAGATACCATAATAATTGTCTAATGATTTAACAACTGAAGTTTCAGCTTCAGAAGAAAATGGAAACCATAAGAGGGACACCATACTTGCATTGCAATAGCCTAATGAGACTCTTTCCTGGAAAGGAATAAGCAGAGTTAAGGCTGTGTAAGGAGTTGTAGATTCACAAGAGTAGCTGTGAATGTCTCCAGGCAACATAAAAGGTCTAGGGAAATACAAAAATGTATGAAGACGACAGTAAAAGTATCCATAATATTACTACCCTGAGATAAACATCACTAATATTTTGTTGTATTTCCACCTAGGCTTTCTTTCTATCTGTATGTGCAAAGAAATATTTTAATACACATGAATGTATAATTTAATTTTTATAAAATGTCTCTGTTAGCTTCTCAAGTTAGATAAAAGGTTCAGGACTTAATAATCAAACCTCCAATTGGTGAAACCTTATAAAATGCTTTTGCTATTAACTTTGTCACACACTTTTTGGACTTACATACTGGATGGTGTATTTACAAACTCCTCTCATTGTTAAGGAAAATGAAGAGTTATATTACTATTAATAAATAATTTTTGTTTATTAATTTTATCTTAACTACTTTAGTGCACCCTTGGTCCGAGATCTTATAGCTTATTGCAATAACCTCCAATTTCCAATTTGTCTTATAGTCTAACTAAAGGCCCAGTGCACGAAATTCATGCATGGGGTGGGAGGGTGTCCCTCAACCCGGCCTGTACCCTTTCCAATCTGGGACATCCCTCTCACAATCTGGGACTGCTGGCTCCTAACCACTCACCTGCCTGCCTGCCTGATTGCCCCTAACTGCTTCTGCCTGCCAGCCTGATTGCCCCCTAACCTCTCCCCTGCTGGCCTGATTGCCCACAACTACCCTTCTCTGCTGGCCTGATCGCCCCAAACTGCCCTCCCCTGCCAGCTTGATCACCCCCAACTGCCCTCCCATGCCAGCCTGATCGCCCCCAACTGCCCTCCCCTGCCAGCTTGATCGCCCCCAACTGCCCTCCCATGCCAGCCTGATCGCCCACAACTGCCCTCCCCTGCCAGCTTGATCACCCCCAACTGCCCTCCCATGCCAGCCTGATCGCCCACAACTGCCCTCCCCTGCCGCGACCCGCCGCCTCCACGCAAGGCAGCGGAGATGCTGGGACCGACCTCCTCCATGCCATGCAGAGCCACGGGACCCCCAGGTCTCACCACGCAGAGCGGCTGCTGGTCCCCGCCTCCACTGTGCACGTGGCCATCTTGTGGCAACGTTGCGTGAGGGCATGACACCACCTAGGCTTTTATTATGTAGGATAGTAAGAGTTGCGCCCCGCAAACCCTACTGTATAGCCCTTGTTGTGAGGAGTAAATGAATTAATAAATGTGAAGCTCTTATAACTAGGCTTTATACTCAGTACATGTCAATTGCTGTTTTTATTATTGCTGGTATTAATTTTAGCTTATTACGAACCCTTTATGGCTACTTTCCTTAATTCTTATCTTTCTCACTGCCAAAGGCTCTTGATCACACGGAGTTTCTCTTTTAACTTGTATCTAAGATATTCACTATTGGACACACATTGAACATTCTGTTAACCTCATTTGATGGTACAGATTAGATTCAGCACTGAGGAACATGGAGAAAAGATTGTTAATATAAATCTATCAAAATTCTTAAGCTGCTCACAAGAACAATATGCCAAGTATACTAAAGCACGGGGAATAGCCGAGGCCCAAGGAAATCTTGCGAAACCTAAGCTAAAATGTTATCTGTGGAAACAAAAAGGACTTCTCTGTGCAGTTTGTTTATAGTGGGGTTTTTTCTTTCTTTCTTTCTTGTTTAATATTTCTGGGCTCTGAGGAGTGGTTGGTATAGCACTGGCCTTGGAGTCAAACATCTCTATCAGGTTCCAGGCTCCTCTTCTCCAAGGATATGTATATGTAGCTGGTCCTCAGGTTTCTGTGAGGCTTCAATAAGTTTATGTGCAAGAATTGACATAATAGAAAGTAAATGTCAGTTGCCTCCAAATCCCTACTCTTGGCACCAATGCAAAATCTCATGGAAAAATCAAAACAAGATTAAATTAAATGTTAGTTAAGTATGTCTGTCTGTCTTGAAAATGGAAGGCATTGTGTTAAGTTTTGTATTTCCATAATTGGTGGATATAATAGGCTCAATTTGGACTTTGCTTCACAGAGTCTCAATATATGTCATTCAGTTAAACCAGTATTGGTAAACTAACATGCTGAATTTCCTTCTGTCTTTATGTCATAATAATAAAATCTCTTTTAAAGTTGGACTTACTGAAGTTGGCAAACTGCATAATTCAGAGGGCAGTTTAAGTCTATATTATGTGGGGTGCCTGATGGTCATAAAAAGAATCCCCAAATCTTCCTTAACAAAATATTTCTCTTTGTTATTTTATTTCTTCTTTATGCACGTGTCCTACATCAGTGTTCCTAGTTGGGGTCTAACAGACACCTCTCCATCAACTGGCATCTTGGGCAGCAGACTCTTTCCATCCTGTGACTCTGTCCTCCTCTAGGTCCCCTCTCGTCACCTGGCAAATGGGGAAGGCAGGGATATGGAGGCTTGTGTGAGAAGTTGATAGCCAGACTATTAATAATATACGTTACTTCTATCTATATTTTTGGGTCAAAATTCAGTCACATGCTCCACCTAATTGCAAGAGTAGCTAGGAAATACCAAGTAGCTGAGTGCCTAGGACAAAAAGGAAATGGGGTTTGGTGAAATATCTTTTCTGCTGTATAGACAGAATTCTAAATTCAAAAGTTCCAGTCATTGTAAATAGAAATAAGATTGTTTGTCTCCCCTACTTTTTTTTTTTTAATCGGGTTTTTCTTTCTTTCAGGTAATGGTTGATGAATCCCTTCTGTCTGATGACCCTGATTCATATGTGACATTGACGGTCGTCCGGTCACCAGGAGGAAAAGGAGCCGTCCGATTGCAGTGGACTGTGGATGAGATGGCTAAGGATGACCTCAGTCCTTTGAATGGGACGCTTCATTTCGATGAGGTATACTTAGCCTCAGGACCCCTGCAGTTTTTCTCTAATTTGTCTTTGCTTGCTTTTCCTTTTCATATTCTTACTTATGGATTCTTTTGATAGTATTTACTATGTCTGGACTTCCTTTGAAATTTTATGTACTTTAGGGGGAAAATCACAAATACACACACACACACACACACACACACACACACACACACACGCACACCCCTAGATATCGGAAATAAAATTTAGTTCAGTCACTGCCTCTATGCCATCATCAAAACTACTCTTCTCTCAACATTTTCTCTCCTGATTGAGGGCAAAATCAGTCAACCAAGCTGGATACCTGGGTGTAACTCTTGCATATATTTGGTCACCGAGTCTTGTCAGTTTCCCTTTTAAGTACCCTTTCTCACCACTGCGCCTTCTCTATCATGCCTGTGACGATGCACGCCTCCATCCTCTTTCATTAGGTAGAGTCTTTTAACTTGTACACTATTCTAAATCTCTTCCTTTTTCTGCCCATTACTTGTGGCACTGACAGGGTTAACATTCTGTAAGATATATCATTATATGTCGCCCCTGCTTAACACAATCTAGTGGCTTTCTCATACCCACAGAAGACCTAGCTCTGTAACAGTACACAAAGCCTCAAATGAGGGAATTCTGTATCTTCCACCTTGCTTTTAGAATCGTGTTTGCGAACATCTTTTCTAAATTAATAAAAATAAAATAAGCAAATCAGGTAAAAACCAGAAAAATGGAACTGATACATAAGTTTTTAAAAACCTCACAAAATGAGAATTAACAAAAAAGAAATAAGCATTAAAAGAGAGAAAATGCTAAAAATTGTAAGACACTTCTTTATGCAAATCTAAGCAAATAAAGGCATTGAAGTGATTCATTGTATTTCATAAATGATTGATTTTTCTATGAATATATTTAATTAGGTCGAGTCAAGAAATATACATTTTCCTAGAAAATCTTACAAAATTTTTTTAAAAGTACAGTAACTGTGAAATAGAAATAATGAATTATGGAGAACAGCTTGAGTGAAAAATATTAAAAATCTCAGGAAAAAAATACAATTACAGACCTAAGATGTACATGAGAAGGAATAAACAGCAGAATTCAAACTGCAGAAAATTCATCAGTGATGCATAGGACAGTGAGTTGTTTTATAAGCATGCAGAAGTAGAAAAGGTAAAGATAAAATGATACCTGGTTATGTCTGAAAGTGTTAATCTAGTTGTCCTCTCTATATTTGCTTTCCTTTGTCCCTTCCCTTCCAGCCTACATTGAGCACAGATGCCCCCCAAAATTCCTTTGCTAAGTGTAAGGCGAGAGGGAGGGAATGATAGCACTCTTGAGATCAACACCTGTGGAAGGAATGGGAAGGAAGCAGGGATGGGTAGAGGGCAGGGTCAAATGGGTAGTAGAAAGATGACCTTTATAAGTGGTAAACCTCTGACCTTTGTGTTTTTACATCATGCTGTGACCATATAGCTCTCTTTAAGAGATGGGACTTTTAATCATTGAAAATTTTTAGTAAATTTAGAAGCTGTGCTAATCCCCCCTTTTTTTTCTATTAAGAACTTGAATAGCATTTATGGTCAGAGCTCACTTTTACATAGTAATTCTCTTTAGAAGCAACCCATAATTCTAGGGGAGGAAAATGATTTACTTTAAGAATGCTTATGGATATAAACAGTATCCTGCAAATGGGAACATTCAGACTATGACTTCAGTCAATCTGGAGAATTTATTACTCCTGTCATTTGGTGTAGACTGAGTCCCAGAAGACCATTGTATTGCACACACTTCAAGACACGGTGTTGGAGGACAGGCGTTTCACCATTCAGCTGATATCAGCTGATGAGGCAGAAATATCTCCAGTGAAAGGTAAGAGAAATTCATATTAAAAAAAATTAAGCAGTAGATTCTTAGAAAATTGTAACCAAATAGTCATAGTACTAAAATAGGTTACATTAGGTTTTGTAATCCTTAAAATGTTTGTTAAAACATAAAGATGTCATTTTTCTACCATGTATTATAGCTAATGAATTTTTAAAACTAAAATTATAATACTCAGTGTTAGTAAGGTCATATGTCAAAGATTTCATACAGCTTAACTATGTGATTTTAAAAAATGAAGGTGTTTATTTTAGCAATGTTTATGGAATAAAATATGTAGCTTCCTAAATGATCCATTTAACCAGGTAGGAGACTGATTAAATGTAACAGAATACTATGCAACTATTCAAAAGAATCTATAATAATAAAAGAATAATATGCTAATTAGACCAGACATCCTTCCAGATAAAGCTGGGGCTGTGAGGGAAGCCCGGGTCCCGGGTGCCAGAGGGAAGCCGGTGCCAGTAGCTGGGGGAAGGAAGGCCTACTCTTGCACGAATTTTGTGCATCGGGCCTCTAGTAGGTAAAAAGGCCTTAATTACATTACAAATTAAGAACACTTAATTACATGGATAATTGTTATGTTTATAAAGCATGCTTTATAACATGTTTAATCTAATCCCATTTTTCTCATGTGCATGTCGTAAATATGTAATGATTTACTTGAAATATTAATAGTGGTTTTTGATTACCTGTATTTTCTATATATTTTTGCACTGATCACATATTACTTTTATAATAAAACATTTCTTTAAAACTTATTATGTCCATTCCAGCTCATCTATTCTTATTTTCATCAGGAAGTAATTACATAGATATTTTGACATTTCAGAAACAGGCATCATATTTCTTATTTGCTTATGGTCTATATTAAAGTTTGTTTCTTAGATATGGAGAGAAAGGCTTAATGGTTCTAAATGGTTTCATTGTGGTACAAACAGTAATAACCGTGAAAAACAGCCCAGCAACTTCAAGATGAAAGCTTACTTACATATCCTTTTTTTGCCATCAAAAACTCCATCCTGTACAAGGGTTTGTGGCCAAAAAAACAGAATTCCATGATCAAGGAAATTCTCACAATTGTAGAGCATCACTGTATGTGCCTACGGTAGCTGTATTAGAGTGTATCGGGTTAAATAATTTGTTAATATAAAAAATTCATAGTATATTTCTTACTGTGACATATTTGCACATGACAAACCATTCTTGGTTTCATCAATTCATTGCCAAAGAAAGTGAGAGTACAGTAATCCATTCCTTTGTTTCATGAAATCCCGTATGCTTCTAGAAACCATTTTCTTCAACTTACTGCCCAATTACAATATGAATATCAAATTATTTAATATAGTTTTTATTTCTATATTAGAGGCCCAATGCACGAAATTCACGCAAGGGGCTTGGCCCTCGCATCCCTGGCTGCCTCGGCCCTTGCAGCCCCAGCTTCGTCTGGAAGGTCGTCCAAACGGTCGTTCTGCTGTTCAGCTGTTCAGTCAATTTGCATATTATGCTTTTATTATTATAGATTAGTAGGACTATTTTGGCACATTTTATAAATGCTTATAAGGAAATAATAGCCAGAAAATTAAAAATAAAAGGTAACTTTAAGAATTCTTCCTTTTGCCATATAAATAATAAACATAGCCAGATAGCCAATTGCAGTGAGCTGCAAAGTGGTTACTGTAGAAGTGAATTAATGCAAATGGTAGAAGACTACTTGCTTCCTGTGGGAGTGATAGTGGAATTATTTCCCACTTTCATTAAAATGTGATCTTGGACATGTTATTTGCTCAGTCTCCTCAATGCCTCATTGGTAAAATGAGGATATATTAATATCTAACTTATATGATTATCATGAGGATTAACTCATAAGATTAGTATATGCAAAGCACTTACAACATTGCAGGCATATACTCAGTGAATACTTGTGTTTGCTACATAAGCTGTATGTATAGGGTGTCCCCCAAAATGTGTACACACTTTAACAGCTGATAACTCACTTAATTTTGAAAATTAACTGCATATTAATAAACACTGACTTTATAATCATTCAAAGTGTGTATATTATTTTTGGACACTCTGTATATCATCTTCAATTTAGGTAGCGCATCAATAATCATTCGGGGAGATAAGGGAGCTTCAGGAGAAGTTGGGATCGCACCGTCCTCCAGGCACATCCTCATTGGGGAACCCTCAGCAAAATATAATGGGACTGCTATCATCAGGTAAGGACGTTGTAATCTTTCTTTGCCTGGGATGGGGCTTTGAAGTTTTGTGTAAGTAATTGGCATTTTTATGCCTTAAATACATTGTTCTCAACACATGCATATTCTTCAAGCATTGTTATTTTATGTATTGGTGACGTCCTGTGGAAAGTAGAATACATTTTTAGTGAAAATTGAAGACATATTCTTTTTTTTTTTTTTAATATATTTTATTGATTTTTTACAGAGAGGAAGGGAGAGAGATAGAGAGTTAGAAACATCGACGAGAGAGAAACATCGATCAGCCGCCTCCTGCACATCTCCTACTGGGGATGTGCCCGCAACCCAGGTACATGCCCTTGACCGGAATCGAACCTGGGACCCCTCAGTCTGCAGGCCGACGCTCTATCCACCGAGCCAAACCGGTTTCGGCATGAAGACATATTCTGATTTATGTTGAAGTCAGATCTTGAGGAGGTTTCTGACATTTCTTGGGTGATTTGCACAACTCATTCTGAGGAGAGTGCAGTGAGTTGACATCTGTGCTTTTAGCCCCGTCCGTCACCGGCTATGTAAAGTGAGCATTACGTCATCTCTGTAAGCTTGTGTGTCTCAGCTGCAAAGTTGTTCCTTAGAAAATCATCTGAATCAAGCATTCTAAGTGTTCTACAATTAGGGCCTGTTATATAACTACTAGTCACGATTCATGCAAATTGAAAATAAATTAATTAGAAGGTGGCCAGCGGAGCAGGACTGGGCAAGACGGCCTGGACATGCCCTGGAGCCAACCTCCAGTAGTCCCTCCCTGGCTGGCGGCGCCGGGGCTTGAAGGGCATCTGTGGAGTGAGTGGGGTCCCTCCGGCAGGTGGGGTCCCTCAGTCTGGCCTGTGGGAATCAGGTCGAAACCAGCTCTCTGACATCCCCCAAGGGTCCCGGATTGCGAGTGGGCGGTATTCGGGCGACACACCCTGGAATTGGGCTCCTTTCTCTCTGGTTCCGGGGTGCATCACCCGAGAATCGCAGCTACCAAGTCACCGCAGCTCAGCAGATCCTGTGTTGAGCATCTGTCCCTGGTGGTCAGTGTGCCTCATAGTTACTGGTTGGAGCGTCTGCCCCCTGGTGGTCATTGTGTGTCATAGCTACCGGTCGGACGGTCACTTAGCCTTTTATATGTATAGATGGGATGCTTTAGGTGACTTTATTACAAATCTTTTCATGAGGAGTGGGTCAGCAGCTAACAGCGAAGTAGCTGAATTTGAATGAAAACTCTACCTTTTTGGAAGTTTGTCCATTAGCATTGCATGTGTGAAATATTTCTGTCCTTTAGAGAACTTCGTTTAGGCTATTGACATTTTGTGAAAAATCTGTAAATAACTTTAAAATGTTTTTTTTTTTTTAGATCTTCCACTTCTAGTGTTCAGCTTTTGCTAGTATTCTTGTCAAGTAGATTTACATGCGTTCAGTACTTTGACTCTTACTATCTTGGAAGTATAAGACTTTCTTGTGGTATGTAATTGATAGATAGGGTTACTTAAATGCATAATGTTTCTGAAATAAATGACAATTGTTTATTTTTGAAAGAGAGCAAATATCCAGGAAAAGTTCCTTCAGTAAAAATTGTATTGAATATATGTGTGTGTTGTTGTAGCCTGGTTCGTGGCCCAGCGATCTGGGGGGAGGTCACAGTGTATTGGAGGATTTTCCCTGCATCCATGGGGGAATTTGCTGAAACATCAGGAAAACTGACAATGAGAGAAGGACAGTCTGCAGCAATTATAGTGATCCAGGTATTAATGTTACTGGCTTCTGTTGTGCCCTTTGCTGTGTGTGTGTCTGTGTGTGGTTAGTGGGTGGGTGGTGGGAGATGGTTGATATCCCAGATTTGTTGGTACTTATCTGATAGATATTTTTCTTTAAACATGATAGTTTTTGCTTGCGAATGGCCCTTTCTGTCCTTCTGTAGGCTTTGAATGATGACATTCCTGAGGAAAAGTGTTTCTATGAGTTCCGGCTCACTGGTGTCAGTAAGGGGGGAATACTGAGTGCGGCCAGCAGCACCGCCAATATCACAGTGGTGGCCAGTGACCTTCCCTATGGCCGATTCGCCTTTTCACAGGAGCAGCTTCGAGTGTCAGAGGAAGCACAAAGGGTAGAGTCTGAAATGCTTAAAATTGGAAATACCGGTGTGTTTTTTATCTTGTAGCGATCTTTAAAACGCGTTTCCTTGTTCTTCTGAAGTTTTCACCAACTGATTCATTTCCTCCTGATGTCATTTTGACCTATCATTTCCATACTTTCATAAATCTATTTATAATTTCAACATAATCCTAGTAAATTAGAGTTCATAAAAATTACGTATTGTCTGGGAGGCTCATCATCCAAGTCAAATAAAAGAACCTCTTCTGGCTGCAGGTGAACGTCACAGTCATCCGATCGGGTGGATCGCTCCGTCCCGTGAGGCTCTGGTATGAGACCGTGAGTGGGACCGCGGAGGCAGGCGTGGATTTTGTCCCCGCCCCGGGGGAGCTCCTCTTTGACGCACGGGAGATGGCGAAAAGCGTGCAGGTTGAAATACTTGATGATAGCCTTCCTGAAGGCCCTGAGGAATTTTCTCTAGTAATTACAAAAGTGGAACTCCTCGAAAGGTAAAGTAAAAAAGAAAAGTAGGAAAGTTAAACAAAGCAGGAAGAAAGGAAAAGTAGTGCTAGGTTTTGTAGGGGTTAATACAAAACTGAAATAGTTCTTTCCCTTCTCTTCCAAGGATTTATGTGACATTAGGACTGTGTGTGGTAGGAAATTATAACAAAGACTGTTCACTATGCATTGTTTTAAAATATAACTCCCCCGACCCCGGAAGTTGAAAGTATGTATTTCTGTTGCATGCAGTCGCTCTGGGCAGCCATAGAATTGAACAGGGCATGGGCAGGAGTAATTTGGTGAAGAAATAGAGTAACTGTTCTCTAGGTCGAAGGTCAGCTGGCCTTGGGGAATTTGCTTCCCCCTGTCTCTGTACCCGGGCATGGACTGGAGTGAGAGATTTATTTTTGGAGTCAATGAAAGCTGTCCTGTCTTCTCCATGGGTGAATGAGGTAGATGCTTGCTTTCCCAGTACCAGTTTTAAAGGGGGTAAAAACATGGAGTCAAAGAGGGCCAGTCATTAATGTGCACCGTGTTTCCATTGAAGATCAAGAATGAACCATATGGAGGCCATCTCATTCTCTGATCATTTAATATTTTAATTCCCCTTTTTCTAATTTTGCCTTATATATAAGCTTATTAACCAGCTTTCAACCCTTTGAAATGTAGGTGGGGTAAAAATACCAGGCAGATAGAATTTGGAAATTAAAGGAAGGACTACACTGGTTTAGTGCCATTTTTTAGCTTCAGGGATTAAAATGATATAAAGTCAGAAATTTTCTTTAATGGGAATAACATAAATATATTAAAAAAGGAAATTTCCTTTGCATGAATGACATTAGATAAATAAACTACCATCTATATTAAAGAACAGAGGCATTGATTTGTAATTGTTTTCCATAGGTACTAAAATATTTTCTTGAATCTTGAAGGTTTAGCTTGAAATTTCTTCAGTGGCACACACTCATTATTTCTTTGAAGTAGCTCTCAGCCTGCCACCATGAATGTCCAGCCCAGCTGGCTTCTGTCTGCGTGCACTGCAGTTTGATGCCCATTGCCTTCTGGGTCCATTACTGTAGAATGTGTGCAGCAGTGCGTTCCTAGCCCCACCTTTTTATTTTATGACCACTTCTTCCCAATTTCCTTATAGTTCTGTTATCTCCCCATTGCCTCAGTTTAATAACTTTATATTAGTTCTGGCTTCATGCAGGCAGTGATAATCGTGAGCAGCACAGAAATCTGTTTCAAACAGCATTTCAGGGGGGAGAAAAGAAGTATTTTAGTATCGGGAATTTTAAAAAGTATTAAATTGCTTAATGGGACTAAGTTATAGGAGCTAAGAGGACCATTCAGTTGATGGTAGGAAATTATGTACTCATTTTATTTTATTTTTTTTATGACTTTGCAAGAGGGTATGATTTTACCATCCAAGAAAATGGACTTCAAGTAGATCAGCCTCCTGAAATAGGAAACATCTCCATGGTCACAATCATAATAATGACAAATGATAATGCAGAGGGCATCATTGAATTTGACCCAAGGTATACTGCCTTCGAAGGTAGGTTCAGTAACCTTATTTATAAATTTACCACCACTTTCTGAATTATAGATTTCCTGAGCTCGACATTATCAGTTTGAATTCTCATACGTAAAGTTTCTGGTGTGTGTGTGTGTATGTACATGTACATGTACATGTATGTACATGTATTTCTATATGCCTTTATAGATTTACATATTTACACATTTATTTTAAAATTATATTTTTGAGATACCTTTGGGCAATCTTGAACCTCACTTATGTGTGCCAAAGATGAATGGTTAGGAACAAAACAATTTTAAAAAGTTGTGTTTAACCTTAGAAATATTGAAATATTCATATTTCAGATGCTTTTATGAATACATTTTAAGTTATGCAATGTTTAACTTTCTTTGTGGATTAGAAATCAGTGAATATCCACTTTCTAATAAATTGTCATTTATTTGTATGTGGCACAGAGAGGAGGAATGCCTACATTGATGATTACATAGGTCATTTAATTTCTAACTTAGACTGTTCGCCATAACTTTCAACTTCTGGCAAACTACATTTCTCCAAAAAAAAAATAAGTCATGAGATTTTCACCAATCATTTTTGAAAGTGATAAATGAATTGTGGACACATTGAGTACTTGCACTGTACCATTATGTTTAATGGCCATGCTTAATTTGACTGAATCTTATAAATGTTACTTGCTTTGTCTGACATACCAGTTAATTGCAAATGCCTATTACAGTGGAGGAAGATGTCGGGATGATCATGATTCCAGTGGTGAGGCTGCATGGAGCACACGGCCGCGTGACAGCTGCGTTCACCTCCCAGAGCTCCTCTGCGGTTCCTGGCATCGATTATCTACTGCATGGGGACTCAGTCACATTTCAGCATGGGCAGAGCTTAAGTTTCATCAATGTCTCCATCGCTGATGGCCATGAAAGGTAACAATTTAGTGAAATGAGATAACAGTACTCGCCCCTTATCCTCAGGGGATATATTCCAAGACCCCCGGTGGATGCCTGAAACTGCAGATAGTCTGCAACCCTATATACTATGTTTTTTTCCTATATGTACCTGGGATAAAGTTTAATTTATAAATTAGGCACAGTAAGAGATTAACATATTCGTACCACTCAGGAGTTTTCTCGTGTTTCATGCGCCATCTATTAAGGACCACTCACAAGTGTTCTCGTTTTTCACGCCCATAGAAAAAGGAGCGAATCTAGATACTTATGTAAATTTTGTTTGGCCCCTCTTCATAGAGGAAAATGTTTTACGCAGTACCATACGTTAAAAAAGTACTAGGAACTTTAATTGTTTTTGTAAATAAAAATGTTATAATTATTGAAAAACAACACCTAAAGTGCATTATGATGATTTAAATAACATGCAGTTTGCCCAAAAATGTGCGGTCCCTGGCGTACGTCTTAGAGATTTCTATGCGGTACGCAATGTATTGTTAATAACAATAATAATACTAGAGGCCTGGTGGACGAATCCATGCACAAGTGGGGTCCCTTGGCCTGGCCTGTGGGATTGGGCCGAAACCAACTCTCCGACATCCCCCGAGGAGTCCCGGATTGCGAGAGGGCAAGGCCAGGCCGAAGGACCCCACTGGTGCATGATCAGGGCCAGGGAGGGTTGTGGGAGGTTGGTCAGCTGGGGAGGGACCTCAGGAGGATTCCAGGGCATGTCCGGCCCTTCTCGCTCAGTCCCGATTGGCGGGACCCCAGCAGCAAGCTAACCTACCAGTTGGAGAGTCTGCTCCCTGGTGGTCAGTGTGCATCATAGCAAGCGGTTGAGTGGTCTTAGCATATCATTAGTATATTATGCTTTGATTGGTTGAACGGATGACTGGATAACTGGGCACTTAGCATATTAGGCTTTTATTATATAGGATACTGTAATAAGATATCTTCATTGTACTCTACTTACCCTACTTGCGATGATGTGAGATGATACCGTGCCTACATGATGAGATGATGAGATGAAGGGAGGTGAATAACATAAGCATGTGACAGCATTAGGCTGTGATAAGGTTTACTGTACAAAACACTGTGATACCCAGACGGTCAATCTGATAACTGAGATGACTACTAAGTGGCTGAAGGTGGGACAAAGAGATGATTCATGTCCTAATTCGGATGTAATGGGTCAGGGGGAGATTTCATCATGCTACTTAGAATGGCATGAAATTTAAAACTTATGAATTGTTTAGTTCTGGAATTTTCCATTTAATATTTTTGGACCCCACTTGACTGTATGTAACTAAAACCAGAAAAAGCAAAACCAGAAATGATGGGGGACTACTTATAATATGGGCATACATAAAACATGAATATTGTGTTCCATTCCTTACCTATGATTTGCACTGATAATAGAATTTTAGACTACGCATGTGACCATTGAAAAACACGTGATAAAATTTAGGGCAGGGGGAGGGATGCACTGGAGCAGGGAAAAGAAATTGGGAGACCGTTGTAATTGTATGTTACTTTTTTCAAATACAGGAATAATAATTTTTATTAATTTAGATTTGAAAAGTCTAATCAGAATGTAGATGCATTCAGCAAATAAAAAGAGGAAAAGATCTATTAACCAGCCCAGGTTATATAATATTGAAGTGAATCATTTATGCCTTTAGCTGATCACCCTCCTCTTCCTACTTGGAGTGTGACTACTGTGCCTTGAATGACCAATTAAGAAAATGACCAGTTATTTGGATTTTAGAAGCATTTTCATGTACTTAGATTCACAGATTTGCTTTCTTCCTATGCAGTGAATTTGCGGAGCCTGTTGAAATTCTGCTCATTGGAGCTACTGGTGGAGCGGTCCTTGGACGCCACCTAGTGAGCAGAATCACAATCACCAAGAGTGACTCTCCCTTCGGTGTTGTAAGATTTCTTAATCAAAGCAGAATTTCTCTTTCTAATCCCAATTCTACAATGACTTTACCCTTGGTGCTGGAGCGGACTGGAGGACTCTCAGGAGAGATTCAGGTAGAGTTATTATTCTCATGGTTTTAAAAATAATTTAAAACATATATTTTATTGATTTTTTACAGAGCGGAGGGGAGAGGGATAGAGAGTTAGAAACATCGATGAGAGAGAAACGTCGATCAGCTGCCTCCTGCACACCTCCTACTGGGGATGTGCCCGCAACCAAGGTACATGCCCTTGACCAGAATCGAACCTGGGACCCTTCAGTCTATAGGCCGATGCTCTATTCACTGAGCCAAACCGGTTCAGGCTTAAAAATAATTTTTGATAATTAAGTTTGGTGTTGGATTTTCTTTTTCCTCAAATATATTCATTTATTTATTCACAATCAAGAATATTTATTAATCACCTAGTAGGTGTAAAGCAGTTTCTAAGTCCTATGAAGCGCATAAAAATGTATGACAGCTGACCTCAGGGAATTCTTGAGAGCAAGTAAGAAATTAAAGGATGGATTCTGGTAGATGCATTCATTCAACAAGTATCTGTGGAGAGCTTTCAGGGTGCCAGACCCTGTTGTGGGCACTGAGAACATGCTGGTGAACAAGACCTTGTCTCTGTTCTCATATGACTTTTTTTTAATATATATATATTCTATTGATTTTTTACAGAGAGGAAGGGAGAGGGATAGAGAGTTAGAAACATCGACGAGAGAGAAACATCGATCATCTGCCTCCTGCACACTTCCTACTGGGGATGTGCCTGCAACGAAGGTACATGCCCTTGACCGGAATTGAACCTGGGACCTTTCAGTCCGCAGGCCGACGCTCTATCCATTGAGCCAAACTGGTTAGGGCGTGTTCTCATATAACTTTTAGAATAATTAGCAAATAAATAAAAGAAAGATGATCAGATGATACTAAGTCAGAGGTCCTCAAACTTTTTAAACAGGGGGCCAGTTCACTGTCCCTCAGACATTCCACACATGCGCACTGCGGGCCCAGGATGAGTCGGCTGCTAAGCAGGACAGGCAGCGGCGGCAAAAACACCCGGCGGGCCGGATAAATGTTTTCGGCGGGCCCCATGTGGCCCGCGGGCCGTAGTTTGAGGACACCTGGACTAAGTGCTTTACAGCAATGTGAAATAGATTCACAACTGCAGATGACCTGCTAGCTACTCTAGATGGGATGGTGAGGATGTGCTTTTTAAACCGAAGGCTGAAGGATGAGAAACGGGTGGTTATGTCATTGTTGGAGGGATGAGTGTTCGAGGAGAGGGAAAGCCAGTGCAGATCTACAAGGCTGGCATGTTGAGATCTGAAGAGGCCCATGTTTGGGGACCTGGAGATGCTGGGTCACAGCACAGGGTAGCTCAGCAGGCTCAGTAGGTGTTTGACCACAGGGAACCCCCTAAAGCAAGTTAAAGATTTTATGCCAAGTGCAAATAGGTTGCCACTAGAAAGTTTTAAGGAAGGCACTAATATCAATGTCATTGGGTTGTCATTTTAAACAGCTCACATAGGACAGTTGTGAAGCAAATGGACTGTCAAGAAGCTGAATTGGAAACAGAATGGGCAGTTAGTAGGCGATTGTCCTGTACTGTCCAGGGCAGAACTGTCAGCTCAGACAAGGGCGGAGGTGGAGATAGCCGGAAGTGAATAGACATTGAGTATGTTTTGGAAGAACACCTCATTGGACTAGTGGAGGCTGAGGAAAAGAAAGAATTGAGGGTCGCTGCTGGAATGTTAGTTTTAGCAACCAGTTATATTATAGTGCTGCTTACTGAAATACAGATGCTTGGGGGAGAATCAAGAGTTCTATTTTGGCCTGTCCATTTGAGATACCTACAAGACATCCCAATAGAGGGGTCAAATAGGGAGGGGCATGAGCAAGTGTGGGTTGGGGTTAGGGCTGCAGACAGGGACGGTGTTGACACAAATGCAGACATTTGAAACTCTGGGGCTTAAGGGGTGTAGAACGAGATGTGAAGGAAACAGACCTGAGCCCCAGGCTGCCCGCCTCTGGGGGTCTGAGGAAGGAGAGCCAGCAAAGATTGAGAAGTAAAGGCAGAGGAACACTAGGATAGCCTGTATTGTGTGAGCATCGTGTAAGTCAAGAGAGACAGGACACACTATTTTAAGAAAAAGGAAAGGATCAGTTGTGTGCAATGCTGATGAGAGATAAAAGAAGCAAACAGAAGTGCCCAGTTTTCTTTATGAATATTGAGAAGCATAAAATTTTAAATTATAGAAACTTTTAAAAATGCCTTTATTATAACATAGAAACTTTCTTTGTTTCTTATAACAAGTTAGGAAAGTTTCTGTTCATTTTATACTGGGAATTTATTTAAGTAGATTTAGAAGAGGTTGCATACCCATCAGACTTTTCACATGGTTTCATTATTCAAATAGGTTTTGATTGACATAACCTGTGCACATAGCAAGATAGTGTTGTATTCATATATTTATTTTTTTTATATTTCTCTAGTATATATTTTAAAAGTATGTACTTCTATATTTTTGTTATCCTGTGATGATGAAAACTGGCCAGGTATTCAGATTTCTTTTTTTTGGTTAGACATTGTTATTCATGAAAACTGATATTCTATAATTATGCAGTTTACATTTGCAGATATCATTGTTTAAAAACCTGAGAGATAATAATAGGAATTTGCTGGAGATATTCTAGAATAATATTCATATATATGTGTATTTTTTCCTAGTACTATATATCCTGCAAAGTAATTCTTGGTTTAAAACTGATCATTTCTATTTAAAACTCACATACACACATGCCCTACAGGTGAACTGGGAGATAGTAGGACCCAATTCTCAGGATGCCTTACCACTACAGAACAGAGACTTCGCAGACCCAGTGAGCGGGGTCTTCTATTTTGGAGAGGGAGAAGGTGGTGTGAGAACCATAATTCTGACCGTTCATCCTCACGAAGAAATTGAAGTCGAAGAGACTTTCGTTATTAAGCTTACACTTGCGAAGGGACAAGCTAAGTTAGACTCCAGAGCTAATGCTGTTACGTTAACAGTAAGTCTGATTTTTTTTATTTTCCCACAGAATTTTTAGTGGCGTTATCAGAAAATGCATTTACATTTGTTGAAACTCGGTAGGCTTATGATGAATTGAAACTTATAAAACCATAATTCCTATGGTTGTTAAGTTAGTTTCTTATATAGCCTGATTAATGGTATTAGTTCTAAGAAGGGTTTAATGCAGTGAAACATACTTATTTTATATTCTCTAAGAAAATTTGGTGAATATTTGCCACATTTAGGGAGGAGGTATTTGTGATGTCATCCTTAATATTGATTCTCTTTGCCATCAAAATACATAAACATTATTAACCAGTTTCAAGTCAGACTGTGCGAAGGTAGAATAGTACTTGTTCAACTAGCACAATGATGTGTTGGATTAGATTCACATTCAGCGTATTTGATATGGACCAACCAGTCCATCAGGGCAGAAAGTGTTTGGACAAACACAGCTAGATGTTGCCATGAAGGTATTTTGTAGATGTGATTAATATTTATAATTAGTTTACTTTAAGTAAAGGAGGCTATCCTTGATAATGTGTGTGGGCCTCAACCAATCAGCTGAAGGCTTTGAGCGCTAATACTGAGATTTCAGGAGAAGATATCTGCCTCAAGAAATCCTGTGTGAGTTTCCAGCCTGCCCCATAGAATTCAAACTCAAGACCACACCGTCAACTCATGCCTGGGTTTTCTGCCTGCTAGACTGCCCGCTTGCCATTTCTTTTTCTGCCAAAGTAAACTGGGGAAAGAGATGGTTTATTCTGCAATACTCTGCTTTAGAATCCTTTCTGGTAGTGTGAAATAGCCCTCTGCCAAGACTGTCAACCTCTTTATCCCCCAAAATTTCAACATAAGAACACCCAGAGCTTGGGGAACTTGTTGGTTTCCTCAATCAATCTCTCCTCCCTCTCTCTCCTTCTCTCTCATTTCCTCCCTTTCTCCCTATTTCTCTGGAGAAGTTTGACTGATACAGACCCCAGACAAGAGTATTATCCAAACTTAAAAGATGTCATTTCTCTGCATTGTTTTCAGTAGCCCAAACAATTGGGCACCATAATCTATAAATTGACACATAAAACTAAGTATCACTTGACCTTTTGCCTCTCTGTACCTTATATTATAACCAGTAGAAAGAAGTTAGCAAAAATTAACTGATTAAACAAAACAAATATAAGGCAAAATGAACCTAAATTCAGACATGAAAATACTATCCTTTTGAGATTCTGCAAATTGTAGTTTTCTGGACACTTGTTCCCATTATCCTTGGGGAATAAGAACTTGCTTGTTTTAGGTAACACTCAGTGTAATAAAGAAGGTTTAAAAATCAGATAGCTAGATAGATTTAAGTATTATTTCTATGTCTCTTCCATTTCTTCAGCATTGATTGATTCGTTGGCTACTGTATTTTCATCCATAGTTGTTATGGTATTCACTCTGCTGTTTCTATTTTTAGATACAGAAGTTTGGAGATCCCAATGGAGTGGTTCAGTTCGCTCCCGAGTCTTTGTCTGTGAAGACCTATTTGGAGCCTTCAGCTCTGGAAGGGCCCCTGATCATCACTTTCGTTGTCAAAAGAGTCAAGGGCATTTTTGGAGAGATTAAGGTATCATTTTTCATTTTATTTTTAAGTTGAGCAATAATTTTCTTAACAAACATGGTTGAGAGGGACAGAGAAACGGCGTTGTTCTGGTTAAAGGTTTTCATAAACTCAAGTGACATGAGTTTGAACAGAAGCTGAGAAGTACCTCGGGCTCTCCAGCCAGGCCCCCTTCAGCGATCTCTCCACATTGCATCACAATTAGATTAAAAAGATCTTCCTCACACTTAGGCATGAAGAGTATGATTCAACTGCTTTGTATTTTCTGGTTTGCTACTTTTCCTACTTAAATCCCTGAGTTTTGTAAATTGCTTAATGTATTCTCTTGGGCTTTATTTCTCAATAGAATTTTTTAATATAGCAACTGATTTTTAAGAGATTGCGTTTGAGTGTTTATTGATATAGAACATTTGAAGATGCCCTTGTAAATCATCAAGATACTTGTCTAACCGATCTAGGTTACATATTTGGTGAAATTTCTCAATGAAGTTACCTCTTTTCCTGTAACTGCTACTTGTTCAGTTGAAGTTTTATGGTTTGGAGGGCGAAAATTCTTGGAAAATAACCTTTAATTCTAAGAAATCTAATAGATATTTCCTTATAGTTAAAGAACCGACAAGAACAAATTCTGATGTGAAGTATTTGATTATCTAGTCACATTCACCTTCAGCCACTGTCTGTGGTTTGCTATGGAATGACGTGTGGTACGGCCATTTTAAAGTTAACTTGCTCTTCTTTATCTCTTCAAAATGTTATTCTTTTAGGAGTAGGTAAAATGAGATCTCGTAGTCTTTCCTGCCAGTTGCATACGACAGCCTGAAAGAGTGGAGATACTTTCATGACACAGACGTCACTCCTCTGTACTTTCTAAACTAATAACTGCTTGGAGACTGTGAATATAATGATGCACAGTTAATATTTCCCTTTTGTTTATTAGAAATGAAAACATAATTCAAAGGATTTTGATTCAATTTACTGCATCATATAACATTGTTGGATTTTTTCCCCCCATTTATCTTAGGTTTACTGGGAAATAAGTAGTCAGTTTGACATTATGGGAGACTTTCTCTCTACAAACGGCTTTTTCATCATTGCTGATGGAGAGCGTGAAGTGAGCTTTGATGTTCATTTGCTACCGGATGATGTCCCCGAGATAGAGGAAGCCTACGTGATCCAGCTTGTTTCCGTAGAGGGAGGAGCCGAACTGGACCCGGAAAAATGCATCACGCAGTTCTCTGTTTCTGCAAATGATGACCCACATGGAGTCTTCGCTCTGTATGCAGGTCGCCAGGCAGTGCTCATTGAGCAGGACCTCACCAGGTCCATCCAAATCAACGTAACCCGGCTTGCCGGGACTTTCGGAGATGTGGCTGTTAGATATCGAATATCATCTGATCATAAGGAGCAGCCAGTTGTTCCAGAGAATGCAGAGAGGCAGCTGGTGGTCCAAGACGGTGCCAGCTCTAAAGTGGACACGGTGCCAGTAAAGAGCCAGGTTTGTAGTCTTTCTTGATTTCCTGGTCATTCCAATCAAGCTCCTTCAGTGAGAGCCCTGACTTACCTCAGGATCAGATTAAATCTTATTCGGAAATTATATGTAACCAGGAAAAATGCCTTGGAAAATGCATAGTGATTATTGGGTAATACAAAGAATATAGTATTCACAGATTATAAGTGAATAAGTATATTTCAATTTGGAGATGGGATATTTTTGTCTAGGTAGTAGCAGGCATTTATCTAATCCTTGCAAAGTTCCAGAAATCATTTCAATTGATATACATACACACCCCAATATACACACATGCGCACATACACACACAGACATACACACATGTACATACACTCACAGGATACTTGCTGAAGGGGAGAAATTTAGGCTTTCTTGTGGGACTGGCCTGTGCTCCCTGGAGTTTGGAGGGTCTGCATGAACACAGGGGCTGGTATCTGCTTCTCTTCTTGTGCATCTGTGTGGAAAGTGGCTCTGACTGTCTGTGATGGTAAAAACTAGCAGTGGACAGCTCTGGCAGATGTTTGTGGTGCGAGTGAAAAGAATGTGTGGATTTGCTGTGAGTCCTGTAGGCACCTCAGCAGTCTTTCTCAGTCTGAATCACAGAGAATGATGCGAGTGACTCTTTGTCTTACTCCTCGCGAGGATGTACATAGCTAGTGTCATTCTGTATGCATAGGAGATAAGTTAATTTATTTCATACATGTGATGCATTATGGCACTGGGAATTAATTTTCTCATTGTTGGAAAGGTTACCCCAGAGGTAACCAGATTGAAATAATTCTGGGAAAAATCTGTGGGGTGGATTGTGAAGCTTGGTGAAACATCTTCCTACACATATCTGTGTAACATCACTGTCTAAACACCTTCATGTTATAATTTCTGCTAATGAATACGGGGACATTCCTTCAGCTTTTCTAGGAATAGTTTTATTTTATATATCTTATATTGATACTAAGGTTTCATTTGACACTGAGACATGGCACATTGGTGATTTGACCATTCTGTTCTTTCACTAAGCAATGTGGCAAATACAAAATTATTCTCAGACTGTGTATAGGAAAACCCAAATATGTGATAAATATCACATGGACTGAAACCATTGATCTGCCTAAGTCTGAGGTCGTCTGTTGCCAGTGCTACCTAGGGCATTCTGAAAGATGGTAGTCTTCTTTTGATTTCATTTTGAAAGTTTAATAATCGATATATATAAAGAGCCAGGGGCTGTTACATCCAAAACAACCGAATGGACAACCATACAGGCTGAGTGAGGTGACAAGGCCGGCAGGGGGGGCCATGAGGGGCAACCAGGCTGGCAGGGTTGGCAGTTAGGGGTGACCAGGCCAGTGGGGGGAGCAGTTGGGGGTGACCAAGCTGGCAGGGGGAGCAGTAAGAGGCAACCAGGCTGGTGGGTGGGGCAGTTAGGGGAGACCAGGCTGGCAGAGGGGGGTTGTTGGGGGTGAGCAGGCTGGCTGGGGGGCCGTAAGGGGCAACTGCCGGGAGCCGGTCCATCCTTGCTGTTTCAAAGGACCTGGCATATATGGCATACTGTTCTTAATATGTTTGCTCACCTTCTTGGCACTATGTGTTTTAACCAAGGTCTCCTCTCTGAGAAAGGTTGTTTCCCCAGGTAGGGATTTTCCCCTGAAGTCAGGGAGGGAATAAAACCTCTTAACTAGTGCCAGGTGGGTAATTAATCACTTTAACTACGAACAATCATGCTTAAGCTACATAATCTTTACTCCCTGGAATGGAGATAAGAAACACCCTAACCTTTGTAATAGAGATTGATAGGATTGAATCAACTGGTATAAATACAGATGTAAAAAGACAGCAAGAGACAGAACTTAGAACACAGAACTTAGAACACAGAACTTAGAACTCAGAACTTAGAATACAGAGCTTAGAACACAGAACTAAGAAGACAGAACCTACACAGAACCCAGAGACAGAAGAACTTCGCTGGAGAAAACATGGCAAAAGATCCTGGACTGAACCTGACTACAGAAATTGGCAAGAGAACCCGACTAGAACCTGGTGACTGAACCTGGCTGGAGAACCTGGAGAACCTGGCTGGAGAACCTAGCAAGAGAACATGGACACAGAACCTGGCTGGAGATCCAGACCAGAACTTAGCTGGAGATCCTAAGCAGAACCTCTCTGGAGATCCAGACCAGAACTTGGCTGGAGATCCTGGCTAGGCTGCTGATCAACTGAACACTGTCTCCGTGTCCTTCCTTCTTCGCCGACTCCGTCTACACCTTTGGGGACCCCTGGACCCGCGGGGGCTGGACCCCGGCAGGCAACCATGCTGGCGAGGGGGGCAGTTAGGAATGACCAGGCCAGCGGGTGAGGGCAGTTGGGGGTGACCAGGTTGGCAGGGGGGCAGTTAGGGGCAATCAGGTCTGCAGTCAGAGGTGGTTAGCGGTTATCAGGCTGGCAGTGGAGCCAGTTAGGGGTGATCAAGCAAGCAGGCAGGTGAGCAGTTAGGAGCCAGCAGTCCTGGATGGTGAGAGGGATGCCCAACTGCTGGTTTAGGCCTGATCCCCAATATTGGGCCTAAACCAGCAATCGGACATCCCCCGAGGGATCCTGGATTGGAGAGGGTGCAGGCTGGGGTGAGGGGACGCCCCCCCCCCCCACTCCCGTGCATGAATTTCATGCACCAGGCCTCTAGTATAGTTTATAAAAATACTTAACTTCCCTATTACCTATTTGAATCATCTATGAGTTTTTAATACCTTTTTGAACCTATTTTAATTATTTCTATATTCAAAAGAGAGCCAACAAAAGTTGACTAACTTGTGAACACATGAAAGCTTCCTTTTGCTTTTTTATTTTCACATATTTTACTAGTATTAACATATTTAAAATTGCACAGGTTCCTTCTTTCTCTCACATTTCAGGAATGTGGTGTAGGACTAGACATAGATTATATTAGGTGTTGCTGTGTCTTCCAGGGTAACTGCGTGGGGCAGGGTGTGATGCACACAAACCAAGGGCAGAATATTTCCAGTGGTCCCCTTCTTCCTTCACACCCTGGATATAATGCATTGCTCTCTGAAGTTTGTAAGATACTAGTTACAAGAATTATATACCGCTCTCCTTGTTCTACCTGCCTGGTAAAAATTAAGACCTTGGACAGGTCAGCCGCAGAGCAGGGCAGTAGGTCTTAGAACACAGAAAGTTTCCATTAGGCTCTGAAACTAGAAGACGCTTGGTGCTGATTGAACATCAGGACCTGGGAGTATAAACTGTTGCCTCACCTGGTTAACAGTAGGCTTCTTTTATGAGGTGCATCCTGATGATAAGACTCACTGGCATTGTAAAGAAACAAGTCTAAGTTTAAAATTACTTAAGCTAGAATGCGAGGATTTTACATTTGTGGTTGAGTCATTTATTCAAACATTTATTGAGTGTTCGCCCTGTGCCAGCCATTGCAATAAGCACAGCCGGTACAGAGGTGACAAAGACACAATCTCTGTCGTCCTGTTGCTCCTTGCTAGTGCAGAAGGCCATTAGCCGCAGTTACAAAAGCGTGGGTTCGCGGTGCTGGAGATGTGCGCAGGATATCATGGAGCTGTACGTTCTTTCCATTTGGGCCCAGATGCGATCAGCACGATGGGAGCCAGTAGAACAGTACTGGTGATGCAGTCCTGGAGCAGGGGAGGGCAGGGCATGCTGGAGAACATGCCCCCTCCTAGTCACCGTCAAGGTCCTTGCCAGTGAATCCCCCTGCGTTTCTTCTGCAGCAAACCAGCTTTTCCGCAACTTTGCTGTGACTGCTGTTCGACTTCAATGTCCAGTTACTGTACCCTGGGGATTTGCTGCGGCCACAAGTCTGTGTGTGCTGGCTGCGCTCGAGAGCAGAGCAGCCGGGTGGGGAGGCACAATGACTGGGAGCCTGGCCCTTCCTTCTTTAGGAAATAGGGACCAAAAAATCCTTAGCTGCCCAGCCAGTGAACTGCCTGGGAAAGGGGGCCTACCCTTAGAAGAGAGGTGGGAAACACGGGAGTGAAGGCAGGACACTGTGATTTATTTCTGTTTCCTTAGCACCGTGGAGCCACATGCGGCTCTTTGGCCCCTTGAGTGTGGCTCTTCCTAAGCCTTAGGAGTATCCTAATTAAGTTAATAACAATGTACCTACCTATATAGTTTAAGTTTAAAAAATTTGGCTCTCAAAAGAAATTTCAATCGTTGTACTGTTGATATTTGGCTCTGTTGACTAATGAGTTTGCCGACCACTGCCTTAGCAATTGACCTATGATTCATGTTCAGTGAATGCCATTTGGACAAAAATGAAGATGGATTGAATGAACGAGGCATCTGTTCCCCTCATGTCGCGGAACATTTGAAATCACTATGGTACATATTTTGCACATTTGGAGGGTGTGATGTACATTTAAGAACATTATCTTTAAAAAAAGAATGGATTCCACAGAAGTGGTTATTTATACATTCAGTAAAGACGTACAGAGTTTTTAGCAATATTCCAGGTTATGTGGTAACTTGCCGATCCATTATCAACAACAGTATTTCTGTGGGAAAATGTATTGTATAGTTAAAAATAATCTTTTAGAGAAACATCAATTTTAAAAGTCAGGCTTTCCCCTATTTTGTTGGATTCTAAAACTTTGAAAATTGATATTTAATACATGGCACTAGTAATTATTTGTCAAATATTCAAATAATAAGTGCACCTAAATCATTATCCATTTTGAGTAAATATGGATTATTAGTTACTGTCCATGAAGAGGCTTTTCTGGTTTTAGAAGCTGACACTATTCACCTGTGGGCTCCTTCCATTCCTGTGGCACATGATTCTATCACTAATAGTTCTTGTGAGTCTCATTTCTGAGACCACTTGGGAACCATGGAGAATTCGCACATTTGTGTTTTATATACTCTTGTTACTATCACTCTTCACCCTACAGTCTCCCTAACAGTGATTTGTTTTATAACATGAATGAAAGGGCATAGATTGATGGAACAGATACAAACGTATGCTGAGGTCATGTGCTAATGACTTATGCCAATGTCGGCATTTTTCTCTGAAAGTTATTTTTTAATACTTAAAGTCATGGATACTGTTTGTTTATAGGTCTTTCTATCACTGGGCTCTAATTTCACTTTGCAACTGGTGACTGTGATGCTTGTTGGTGGACGTTCCTATGGCGTGCCAAAAATTCTCCAGGAAGCCAAATCCGCCGTCCTACCTGTCCCCGAGAAAGCTGCCAATTCTCAGGTAATTGGCCCTGGGTGTGGTACTATCTGGATACCACCAGGGGGCAACATTTATAGGAAGGACTAAGATTCAGAGAATTTTTTAATATTCACTATTACCATAAATCATCCCATCTGGCGGGGGGATGGGTGGAAAAGGTGAAAGGGATTAAGAAGTACAAATTGCCAGTTATTCAGTAGTCACGAAGATATAAAGTACAGCATAAGGAATATAGTCAACAATATTGTAATAACCCTGTATGGTATCATATGGATACTAGATTTATCAAAGTGATCACTGTAAGGTATATAAATGCCTAATCACTATATTATACACCTGAAACTAATATAATACTGTATCTGTAGTTGAAAAATAAATTTAAATTTAAAAATAAAACAAAAATCTAAGTAATCCTATGAATATCAAAGTAGACATTATGGATATACCATATGAAAACAGTTTGTCAATTTTTGACTTTAGGTAGAATAATATATTTCCTTTTTGGAGTTTTAGAAGGATTGTATCTTGTAAAATTTGAATGTAAAGTATAGAATTATAAAATAACATCACTTTGAGTCAGAATTTCCAAGGTTTTTTTCTTGATATTAAATATTTATTTATTTATTTATTTATTTTTTAAATTAAATCTTTATTGTTCAGATTATTACATTTGTTCCTCCCCCCCCCCCATAACTCCCCTCCTCCCAGTTCCCGTCCCACCCTCCGCCCTCACTCCCCACCCACTATCCTCATCCATAGGTGCACGATTTTTGTCCAGTCTCTTCCCGCATCTCCCACACCCCTTTCCCCCCCAAGAATAGTCAGTCCATTCCCTTTCTATGTCCCTGATTCTATTATAATCACCAGTTCATTCTTTCATCAGATTATTTATTCACTTGATTCTTAGATTCACTTGTTGATAGATGCATATTTGTTGTTCATAATTTGTATCTTTACCTTTTTCTTCTTCTTCCTCTTCTTAAAGGATACCTTTCAGCATTTCATATAATACTGGTTTGGTGGTGATGAACTCCTTTAGCTTTTCCTTATCTGTGAAGCTCTTTATCTGACCTTCCGTTCTGAATGATAGCTTTGCTGGATAAAGTAATCTTGGTTGTAGGTTCTTGGTATTCATCACTTTGAATATTTCTTGCCACTCCCTTCTGGCCTGCAAAGTTTCTGTTGAGAAATCAGCTGACAGTCGTATGGGTATTCCCTTGTAGGTAACTGGGTTTCTTTCTCTTGCTGTTTTTAAGATTCTCTCTTTATCTTTTGCTCTTGGCATTTTAATTATGATGTGTCTTGGTGTGGTCCTCTTTGGATTCCTTTTGTTTGGTGTTCTCCGCGCTCTTTGGACCTGTAAGTCCATTTCTTTCACCAGGTGGGGGAAGTTTTCTGTCATTATTTCTTCAAATAGATTTTCAATATCTTGCTCTCTCTCATCTTCTGGCACCCCTATAATTCTGATGTTGGTACGCTTGAAGCTGTCCCAGAGGCTCCTTACACTATCCTCGCATTTTTGGATTCTTTTTTCATTTTGCTTTTCCGGTTGGGTGTTTTTTGCTTCCTCGCATTTCAAATCATTGACTTGATTCTTGCGCTCCTCTGGTCTGCTGTCGGGAGTCTGTATAATATTCGTTATTTCAGTCCATGTATGCTTAATTTCTAGTTGGTTCCCCAATATAACATCGAGGGTCTCATTATTTTTCTTGTAGATCTCATTAAGTTTATCGGCGGCTTCTATACAGTTCTTGAGAGACCTTAAAAGTGTGGTTCTGAACTCTATATCTTCCATTGACAATTTTGTCCTGTTTCTTTGTCTCCGCATTTTGTTATGCTTTCTTGGTGCACCCCCTAGTGGTCTTTGTGCGCAGTCTTATAGTTAAACCTTGATTGTTGTAGCTAATTCCAGGGAGGGTTTGGCCTCCAGGCCAAGTGGCTGTGAGAATCAGCTGTGTCTGGAGTGAGAGAACTTCTGTCCTCTAGGGAGGTGCTAACCTAGCCTTTGCCTGAGGCTATCCGGCAAATGCCTCTGTGCAGGGCTTGGGCAGGGCGGGTCGCACAGGATCAACAGGGTGGGCTGGAGAGAGCAGTTATGGCGGCTCTCAGTCCTGTCCCCAGGGGCTCTGCCTCTCTGAGTCCCAGCACCCGCTGCAAACCTCGGAGGGAAAGCTGCACTCGCTCTGACCGAAGCCAGACAGTCCCGCTTCTCCCGTTTGAGTCTGGGTCCCTAAAGACTTGCCTGTATCTGGAGCTCAGAGTCTGCGACTCCCTCCCGATTGAAAACGCCAACCGTGCCCTCCGCCGCCAGCCCACTCCCGCACTCCGCACCTCAGAATTTGACTTCAGCACTGCGCCTCCTCTGAGTGTCCGTATGCGTTTCTCTTCCCTCCTAGTTGTAGGACTTCCACTCAGCCAGCGTTCCTGTGGTTCTGGGTGATGTCCGTTCCGTTTTTTGGTTTCACTTTTGAAGTAGTTGTTCAAGGCAGCAAACTCCGGCGTTAACCTATGCCACCATCTTGGTTCTCTCCTGATATTAAATATTTAATATTGCAGTATTTTATATTAAACTAGAGGCCTGGTGCACGAATTTGTGCACAAGTGGGGTCGCTCAGCCTGGCCAGCGATTGGAGCCTATTGGGGCTGTGGGAGGTTGGCCGGCCAGGGTGAGGGGCTGGTGGGAGGGAATGTGGGAGGTTGGCTGTGGGAGCACACTGACCACCAGGGGGCAGCTCCTGCATTGAGCATCTTCCCATGGCGGTCAGTGTGCGTCATAGTGACAGGTCGACTGATCATTCAGTCCCTTAGGCTTTTATATATATAGACTAGAGGCCCGGTGCACAAAAATTTGTGCACTCTGGGGGGAGGGGGGGTCGCTCAGCCCGGCCTGTGCCCTCTTGCAGTCTGGGACCCCTCGGGAGATAGCGACCTGCTGGCTTAGGCCTGCTCCCGGGTGGCAGAGGGCAGGCCCAATCCTTAGGTGCAGCCCCTGGTCGGGCTCAGAGCAGGGCAGATTGGGGAGTTGGGGCACCGCCCCCTGTCATGCTCAGAGCAGGGCGATCAGGAGGTTGTGATGCCACCCTCAGTCACGCTCAGGGTAGGGCCGATTGGGGGGTTGGGGCACCGTCCCCTGTCACACTCAAGGCAGGTTCGATGGGGAGGTTGCGGCGCTACCCCCTGTCACGCACAGAGCAGGACCAATCAGGGGGTTGGGGCACTGCCCCCTGTCACTCACAGAGCAGGGCCCATCAGGGGTGTTGGGGCTCTATACCCTGTCACTCACAGAGCAGGGCCGATCAGGGGGTTGGGGCACTGCCACTCTCACACTCAGGGCAGGGCCGATGGGGAGGTTATGGCTCTACCCCGTCACACACAGAGCAGGGCCTGTGGGGGGGGGGCGCCGCACCCTCTCACACACAGATCAGGGCCGATTAGGGGGTTGGGGCACTGCACCCTGTCACACACACAGCCGCAGGGCGATCAGGGGGTTGGGGAGCTCCCCCTAACAGGCACAGAGCAGGGCTGATCAGGGGGTTGGAGCGCCTTCCCCTGTCACGAACAGAGCAGGGTGGATAGGGAGGTTGTGGCCCCGCCCCCCGTCACACACACAGCCGCAGGGCGATCAGGGGGTTTGAGCGCTGCCCCCTATCACGCTGATCCCGGTGCTGGGAGGTATATTACCCTTTTACTATATAGGGTAGAGGCCTGGTGCACGGGTGGGTGCCGGCTGGTTTGCCCTGAAGGGTTTCCTGGATCAGGGTGGGGATCCCCACTGGGGTGCCTGGCCAGCCTGGGTGAGGGGATGATGGCTGTTTTCAGCTGGTCACACATCCTTCAGGGTGGGGGTCCTCACTTGGGTGCCTGGCCAGCCTGGGTGAGGGGATGATGGCTGTTTGCAGCTGGTCACACATCCTTCAGGGTGGGGGTCTCCACTGGGGTGCCTGGCCAGCCTGGGTGAGGGGATAATGGCTGTTTGAAGCTGGTCATACACCCTTCAGGGTGGGGGTCTCCACTGGGGTGCCTGGCCAGTCTGGGTGAGGGGCTGAGGCCTGTTTTCAGGCTGGGGGTGACTGAAGCTCCCAACCGCTCCTTTTTTTCTTTTTTTCTTTTTTATTCTGGGCCAGCTTTAGCTTTGAGGCTTGGCTCCAGCTCTTAGGCCTCTGCTGCTGAAAGTAGGTTTTTGGCCTTTGCTTACAATGTTGCGATCCTGCTGGCTGAAGCCCGGCATACTAAAGCAGATTTCTGGGGTTTTGTTTAGCTTCTATATTTGTTACATAGTTGCTTAGAGTTGCAGCTCAGAGGCCTGCAGCGGCAGACGGGGAATGTTGGAGTCCTCCGTCACTGAAGCAAGCAAGCCTCATGTTAGTTTCAAGCTGCCTGGCTGCCAGCCGCCATCTTGGCTGGCAGTTAATTTGCATATTGCCCTGATTAGCCAATGGGAAGGGTAGCGGTTGTACGCCAATTACCATGTTTCTCTTTTATTAGATAGGATAATTAGAATTAGAATGAAACATCAGTTAATATTTCAGTCTTTTTCATCTACTAAACTTGTGAATATTTGCCTTTCATTTTTGAGGCTCCTATGGCAAGTTTGTGCTGATATAGGCATAGTGGTTGAGCACTGACCTATAAACCAGGAGGTCATGGTTTGATTCCCAGTCAGGGCACATACCCAAGTTGTGTGCTCAATCCCCAGTAGGGGGCGTGCAGGAGGCAGCCAATCAGTGATTCTCATCATTGATGTTTCCATCTCTCCCTCCCTCTCCCTTCCTCTCTGAAATAAATAAAAATATATTTTTTAAAAAATGAAGAGAAAAAAATAAAATGGGGAGAATGAGTCTTAATATAGAATTGTTGATCATGTAGTATCCCAAATTTATAGATAATGGGACCAAAAGAGGTAAACTGATTTGTCCAAATAAAGCCAGGAATCTGGTTTTATTCTTACTCATTGACCAGAAGTTAATTCATCTATAAATAATTTATAAATCTCAGGGTACCCTGGGAAGGTTTCCCTTAAAGAAAATATCTTACTTTATGTGAATGAAAAAGATGACTGTTTAAAAAAATCTTTGATGCTTTCTTGTCCTCAAAAATAAAAAAAAGATATTCAATTGAATCAAAAATCTAAAAGAACCTTAATAAAAAAAAATCTAGTTCCTGGTGCTCATTTTATAAACAATATATTATTATGTCTTAGAAAGAAGTCAAATTTCAGTTCTAGACAAATTGGGTTTCATAAAGACCCATGAACAAGTCATACTACACTGCCAGTTTTAATCCTTTGCTTTCATTTAACCATAATTACATTTGTCTTTTTGGATATTGTTATTCAAAGGACTACATTTTGATTTAAAGAAATAAAGCTATATACTATAGTTAAAATTACAAAATAGAATAAATTATCAAGTCTCATGTCATTTCTTAAATATTACTCTTTAATTGAATATATTCTAAAACAGGAAAAATATATTGTGTAAACAAAGAGGAAGCTGACTTTTAATCTACTCTCCAGAAAACAAGGGTCTATAGAGAGAAGTTGAATATTCTCAGCATGTTTTCCCTCAGGTGGGATTTGAATCGAACGCCTTTCCCCTCACGGACATCACTGCCGGAACAAGCCACGTGGCGATTTCTAGGAGAGGCACCTACGGCTCCATCATGGTTTCCTGGGTGGCCGGATATGCTCCTGGGTTAGAAGTGCCTGAATTCATTGTTGTTGGCAACATGACCCCGAAACTGGGTGAGTTGTAGGTTTTCTAAGATCTGCTCTGTAACACATGGAGGTATGTAATTGGCCTCTAATTTTCTTGGGTCTTCCTTATTCTGGGAAAATGACCTGTTTGTTTTGTAATATAGCTTGGTGAGGATGAGAGAAAGTTTATTCAGTCAAATTAAAAATTTCATACCTCACCGGAAATAGTGGTCACTAAGCTCACTTTATACATCAGGAGTTTGTTAAAGGCAGTTCTAAAAACTTAGATTGGATCATACAATAATAAAATGAAAAAGGCACACCTTTGTGTTCATGTACATGTTCACCTGAATATTTGACAGTAGAGCAACTGTTACTTAATCTACTTTCTTTTTCAATTATACCATTAGTTTTATGAGGTCAGTGAGATGAAATGTTAGAGGGTTTGACCTGGACCAGGGATTGAAGACAGGGTAGAGGAGGCAGCGTTTATGTGTTTTAGCAAGCTTGCTGTACGTTTATTTCCCTCTTTCCCCACCTTTAAAATGTTTCTCTTTTCGTAGCCTGTAATAGAATTTTGGAAAAGGGAATATTTCACTACATCTTTAAGAGCCGAATCCCCATTGAAGAACTCAGAAAGGATACCCTACTTCCCTTTTCATGTTTCCTTCCAGGGAGCCTTTCCTTTTCCCACGGAGAACAAAGTAAAGGCGTCTTGTTGTGGACGTTTCCCAGCCCTGGCCAGCCAGAGGCCTTTGTCCTTCACCTCTCAGGAGTCCAGAGCAGTGCCCCTGGCGGGGCCGAGCTTAGGTGAGATGTCTCTGAAGAACAATCTGGAATGTATCTGTTGAAACAGAAAAACACACACACAAGAAAACAACAAAAACAAAACACGCCACGAGATCACTTTCCCTGAAGCAGATGCCAGAACAGTTTGTTGTGGAGTACCGCATGGCCTGCATGCCAGAGATGCCATGGGGCCAGGCCGACTTCCACAGAGGGAGGCACCGCCACCCTTCGCCTTGCAGACAGTTCACCACCATGGCCTCTAATTCCAGAGGGTTGGCCCGGGGTAACATCTCCAATAAGAAACGGAATGGCAAAGTCACCTATTTTCAAAGGGGCTGTCTTTTTAGAAGTAACTGGAAAATACCTGCTTTCCCCCCAGGGATTCAGAGTAAGAAGCAGCTGTCACAATAGAGTAATAATATGACTTCTGCCATTGGCTCTTTTGAATTTAATTTAAATCAGAATACTTGCAGATAAATATGTTCAAGTCAAAAGCAATTTACTTTTCTCATGGTTGGGAAGGGCTTGATCAAAACAGTAGAGGGCAGACTTTAGCACAGACTTATGGAGTTAGTCTTGCCACTTACTTGCCACAAGTTAGCTCATTTTGCCACTTACTTGCTGTGTGACTTGGGGAGCATTACAGGATCTTTCTGTTCTTCAGTTTACTTATTTAGAAAGTGGGAGGGAAATGTATGGGTAAAATTGGTGTGTGTTCAAGTGTGTTTCTGTATATAATATGTTCATGTGTGGGAGACACTGGTTGGTAGCATCACATATGGCTTTAGTTCATACTTTTGTCATTTCAAAAGTGTTTGGCTATAGAATGTATTTTAGGGCAACAAATTCAAATGCTTTTTGCTTTAAGAATGATATGTGTTTACTCTTATTCTTCACAGCAGCCGTATGACATAGATACTATTTTTAGTCCTATTTTATAGATAAAGAAAGCGAGTCACATATAGATTATGTAACATACCTAGTGTCACACAGATAATAATGGTTGGGGCCATGATTTGAATCTAGCTCTTAACCATTGTGCTATCTGTTATCAGTGCTTTACTATAGAGAGTGGTGGACCCTAGAGTGTCCTTCCTTAAAGGCATTCAAATTCAGAAAAAAACCCAAAAACTGTTAGTCAAAGAAAATATGCCTGAGGTCTGGATTAGGCTGATGATACTTCTGACATAATCATTAACTCACAACAAAACTCTACAGGATTAAAGCTAAGGATTAATCATGCAGGCATGGAAGTTTTCCTCCAGTCCACATATAAAATCCCAGTAGCATTTGTGTGAGGGAATTGGCCCATTATGATGCAAGGATTTTGCATCCAGCAAGGGCAACTATTTCTATTTGGTAGATAAGAAACCTGGCTGACGTCCAGAACGTTCTAAGAAGTTGTGGTTTCCTGTGCACTGATCATAACAGAGAGCCTAGCGTGTCAGACCTTTCAGAGAGCTGCTCTGGGCTGACTGGAGAAGCAGAGCAGGCACCTCTGAGCTCCTCACTTCGCTCAAACGTGTGAGGGCCCCTTGCCACTGACAGCAACTCCTGTTCTTACATTTCTCGTGCTCTGATTTATTCATCAGCAAGTACTAGGGTTTTATGGAATCTGAAAGGGCATGTCATTTTTAAGATGCCCTCCTGCACAGCATCTTAAATACGTGAAAAATGAATCTCTGCTGTGGTATTTCTATTTTCATCAATTCTTTTTTTTTTTTTTTCCAGATCAGGTTTCACTGTTGCCGAAATTGAGCCAATGGGAATCTTTCAGTTTTCCCCTAGTTCAAGGCATATCGTCGTGTCAGAGGGTACTCAGGTGATCAGATTACATGTACAAAGACTCTTTGGGTTCCACGGCAATCTTATTAAAGTCTCCTATCAGACAACCGCAGGGAGTGCCAAGCCATGGGAAGATTTTGAGCCTGTTCAGAACGGGGAGCTGCTTTTTCAGAAATTCCAAGCCGAGGTCCATTTTGAAATAATCATTATTAATGACCAGCTTCCTGAGATAGAAGAATTTTTTTACATTAATCTAACCGCAGTAGAAATGAAAGGATTGCAGAAGTTTACAAACACCAACTGGCGCCCGCGCCTGAGTCTGGATTTCAGTGTGGCAGTGATCACAATACGGGATGACGATGACGCAGGAACTGACTCCACCGCACACCCCGACGTGACCAAGGTAACTGCCACTCCACAGCCAACGGCAGTGGCAGCCGCCGATACTGGGGCAACTGCGAGCCCTGTCATCCGGCCCGAGACGGCCACTGGAACTGCGAATGTTTTCATTCATGGAGCCTTTAGTCTTGGGCCGCCCATTGTTTACGTGGAGGAGGACATGAAGAATGGGACACTGAACGCAGCAGAGATTCTTATCCGAAGAACTGGTGGCTCTACTGGCAATGTCAGTGTAACAGTTAAAACTTTCGGTGGAAGATCTGCTCAGAAGGAACCACATGCATTGCCCTTTCATGATGCCTATGGACTGTCCAACCTAACGTGGGCGGTAGAAGAGGAGGACTTTGCAGAACAAACTCTCATCCTTACATTTGCAGATGGAGAAAGAGAACGGAAAGTATTGGTTCAAATTTTGGACGATGATGAGCCCGAGGGGCAGGAATTCTTCTACGTTTTTCTCACAGACCCACGAGGGGGAGCACAGATTGTGACGGGGAAGGATGACACCGGGTTTGCAGCTTTTGCCATGATCATTATCACAGGTACCTCTCTGGAGGGATGGAGAGAAAAAGGTACCACTTTTGTGGTGTAGGATTTTTTTAAAAGATCTATCTTTAATTAAAAGAGTGAATTATTTGAATTATTATAGTAATTCATTAAACATTGTTTTCCCAGACTTGTAGACAGAGAGCAGACTGGTGGTTGCCAAAGGGGGGCAAGGTTAGGGCAGTGGTCGGCAAACTGCGGCTCGCGAGCCACATGCAGTTCTTTGGCCCCTTGTGTGTGGCTCTTCCACAAAATACCACTTGCAGGCGCGCACGTACAGTGCAATTGAAACTTCGTGGCCCATGTGCAGAAGTCGGTATTTTGTGGAAGAGCCACACTCAAGGGACCAAAGAGCTGCATGTGGATCGCGAGCCGCAGTTTGCCGACCACTGGGTTAGGGGATTGGGTGAAAGAGGGGAAGGGGTTAAGAAATACAGAAGATAGTTATAAAATATCCATGGGGATCTAAAGTACAGTATAGGAAATATAGTCAATATTTTGATAACCATCTATGGTGCTATGTGGGTATTGACAATATCAGGGGAAGCACTTTGTAAAGTATGTAATTATCCAACCACTATGCTGTATACCTGAAATTGATACAAAACAATATTGAAAGTAAACTGTAATTGACAAATAAAAATGGGTAAAAAAACAACAAAGAAAACCACATAGTCTTCCTATGGCATGGACCCATACCATGAACACACGATGCTGTTCTGAGGTGCTAGGCTAGAATTGAATGGACTGTAAATGTCACTTAGCTCAGAGCTAGTTAAACAATCTATATTTTCACAATATATGGAAAACCTTAAACATACATAAGTCCATGTTCTTCTTCTGAAATATACTTAATTTAGTCATCCAAGTACACAATTGCCTATCCTGTTTTGAATGCTCATTCTGGATTACCCAACCACTTTCAATAATCCATCCCAAAGTCTAAGAACTCATTATCAAGAAATTCTTTGTATCTGTTGGGAAACAGATTAAAACTATCTTCTTTTGCTTTTGTTTTGGACCAATGCAGTATATTACATATCTTTTTTTACTATTGAGTGTACATATTATAATAGCTTAAAATATGATGACTTTTTAAAGAATTTCTCATGTAGCTTATAAAATATTTTGGTGATAATTTGCAATTTTCTTCTGAAATCATACTATATTTCTTTAGGTAGGCTAGCTCGTCTTGTCAATACATTACAGTAAGTATTTGCCTACTCTGTTGTTTTACACAGACATTTATGAGCTTTACACAGTGCTGAGAGTTTAAGATGACACTATGAAAAAACAGTGCACTATTTCAGTGCAGTGCAGACCCTACATTTTTTCCAGTTTAAATACAATTTTGTAGTATGAGGGTGCCTGTAACCTCAATTTACAATAATTTAACTTCAGTAGAAATTAAAGGATTGCAACAGTGTATGAAATCAAACTGGCGACCATGCCTGAATCTGGATTTCAGTGTAGCAGTGATCACAATACAGGATTGTGAGTTAAAAACAACAACAAAGAAACTCGTCTGAAGGTCGTCATTCTGGACGAAGCTGTGGTGGTGGGGGCTGAGGCAGAGGTGGTTAGGGGCGATCAGGCAGGCAGGCGAGCAGTTAGGGATAATCAGGCAAGCAGGCAGACTGGTTAGGGGCAATCAGGCAGGCAGGCAGGCGAGTGGACTTTCTTTTACTCAGACTTACTCATGAGTTCCTTATTAGTTCTGTTTTTCTCTGGGGCAAATAACTGAATGTGTAATATAAATGGTCTGTGGTCAACTCTTTTATAGAAAGGTAAATCAGTTAAATGGAGTTCATTTATTTAATAAATATTTATTGAACACTTACAGTATGCTGGCCACTGTTCTTGGTCCTGGGGATACAGCAGTAAATACAGCATTACCGCTCTGTAGAACTTGCATTCTGTGAGGATACACTGATTCTTAATAATCTATAAAAATAAAAGTGTGATATGCTAATTAGACTGGACAGCTGAAGGTCGTCATTCTGGACAAAGCTGTGGTGGTGGGGGCTGAGGCAGAGGTGGTTAGGGGCGATGAGGCAGAGGTGGTTAGGGGCGATGAGGCAGAGGTGGTTAGGGGCGATCAGGCAGGCAGGCGAGCAGTTAGGGACAATCAGGCAAGCAGGCAGAGTGGTTAGGGGCAATCAGGCAGGCAGGCAGGCGAGTGGTTAGGAGCCACTGGTCCCAGATTGCGAGAGGAATCGGGCCTAAACCGGCAGTAGGACATCCCCCGAGGGGTCCCAGATTGTGAATTTTGTGCACTGGGCCTCTAGTAAACACATAAAATGTCAAGGGATATGAGATATAAAGTAGAGTCTCATCGGAGAGAGATGAGCATGTATCTCAGGGTGGGGAGTAGGATTTGAAGTTTTCTTTCTTCTGGTCTTTCAAAGTGTTAGCCATCATTTTTATTCCAGCCTATTTTTAGTAAAGATCTTTTATACCATCTCAGCTGGGAAGATTAGTGGAGCATTGGAGATCTTTTGAAGTCTTAAGTATACTATATAACCCTGCATTTTTCTTTTCAGGGAGTGATCTTCAAAATGGCATCATAGGATTCAGTGAAGGGTCCCAGAGTGGGCTCGAGCTGGGTGAAGGAGCTGATAGAAACAGACTGCATCTTACTGTCACAAGGCAGCCAAACAGGTGTGTGTGTGTGTGTGTGTGTGTGTGTGTGTGTGTGTGTGTGTGTACATGGAAGATGTAACAGCCTGTGTGTCTGTATTTGAATTCATAAAGTGGTAAAGGCAGGTTCAAATGTTGATAAAAACTAGTGTGGAATTTGGTGTGTCAGTGTTCAGATGCTCTAGTTCTTAGTCTGTGATTTAACACACTTGGTTTAGGAGCATGACTTAGGGCTACCTTGAATGTAGTGTACTTCATAAGGTGCAGCTTATATAAGTTATCACTGCATTGCATTTACTATTGTGTGATCACTCTGCATGCACAACCATTTACTGTTAGGGACACATGGAGCACCAAAAATTTTGCTCGCGACTTATAGTACACACATTCTGAATGCTCATCATATACATGCACTAGGTATGCACATGTACATGTATATGTATTATTTTTACACTTTGGGGCCTAAATAATCTCTGAAAATGTAAGGCATCTCCTACCCTTTATTTTTATAACAACCATTTTTTTTTTTAGCAGTTGTGTTTTTTCTTTAGAAGAATTATTATTAAAAGACAAATGAAGAACATTTACTTGGACCCAGAAGTTCTCTATTATTTTCATTTTCATATTTCTGGTAATAGACATAGTAAGCAGAAAAATATTATTATTTTTTTCACATTCCTGATACACAGTGGTTCAATGAATACTTATTCCAGATTGAGTAGAGTGTGGTCAAATAATACTATGTACAGGACGTGCTTTGGATGAAGAGGTACACGTAGGCACTGTGGGAACACGTTCTGCAGCAGACACAGGGTAAGTCACTCTGTTGCTGCATTTGCAAAGGTTTTGCTTTGCTCCTAGGGCCTTTGAAGATGTCAAGGTCTCCTGGCGAGTCACATTTAACAAGACATCCCCTGTGCTCCAGAAGGACGGAGTGAACCTGAGGGATGAACTTCTCTCTGTGTCCGGGATCACAACCTGTGCAACAGGTCAGACAAAGTGCTCCATCACCATGGAGCTCAAACCTGGGAAGGTAAGAAATGAGGAGGCATAGCATTGTCAGTTTCTAATTGTATTGCTTCAGAATTAGTATTTTAAAACCACTTTATTGAAACACACATTGGTCATGTGGAGACTATGTCTCGTCTGGCTGTAATATCGAAATCTCTTTGCTGGGTGACAGACAGAATTGATTTCATTAGAGAATTTTTATAAATAAGCTCATTAGTGTATACCTAAAACTAATACTTGTTATATGACAATTATATCTCAATTTTTAAAAAAAGCTCATCAGTTTTCTTTGTTTCTGTTTCTTGTCATTTCTAAGATTTTTCCTGGCCCACCTGCTCAATGTGTGAATGGTCCCTTGTATCATTTTCAGCCAATTAGTATCTCTGGTTACTCTGAATATTTAGTGTTTTGCTTTTATTATAACTATAGATTTAATCATATCATGTCTATGGATTTCATCATAGGATAAAAGTTCTCTTCCTTTATCTACAGTTAGAAAGTTCCGTTTCGATCTACCTAAGGGGCAGAGAGGCCATGCTTAAGTGTGGCCTCTCAACCTTTGGATGAATTTCTATTGGTTCATGTTGCCCATGACACTCAGAAGACAGGCATTCCCCCCTCTTTCCAAAGGAATCTGCATTATTCAGGTGGTACTGGTCACTGATGTCCTAACAGAGCCTTAGTCATTTAGTAATCATGTGTGGCTTTTGTTTAAAAAAATGACTGTTCTGTGATACTTTAATGCCTAGGGAGCACTCAATAGTATTTATTGTTTGTCTACTACTTAATTTATTAAACTCAAATATTTAATACAAAAACCAGTCATAATATTATGAATGTTCAAAAGTATATATATATGTATGTGTACATACATATATATGTACATATACATACATACATATATGTATATTTAGAGAGGAATGGAGAGGGATAGAGAGACAGAAACATCTGTGAGAGAAAAACATCAGTTGGCTGCCTCCTGTATGCCCCCTACTGGGGATTGAGCCCAGAACCTGGGCAGAGCCCTGACCAGGAATCAAACCAGTGACCTCTTGGTTCATGGGTCGACGCTCCCTTGTATATGCCAAACACTTAAAACAGCAGAAAAAGCACACACAAATACAATTACAGTTGACCCCAAACATATGTTGGGGTTATGGGTACCACCTGCCTTTGAAGTTGGAGATTCACTTCTAACTTAAGTCAGCTCTCCACATTCAAGATTCCCAGCTGTAGACCAAAAATACAGTTGACTTGAACAACACTGGTTTGGACTGTGTAGGTCCACTTATACATACCTTTCTTTTTTAAAAGTCTCAAATTCAACTAATTTTAATTATTTACTAAGTGATTTTCTTTTTGCTATTCAAATTGTCATGTCATGTCACTGAAACCCTATTAAACTGGTAATTTTCTTTTCATTTTGCTTTAAAAATCTCTGGGAATTTATTTGCTTTATAGCAATAACATATTCCACAGCCAGCCTGATTTTTCCTGAGCTAAGCCATTCAACCAATACTGCCCAAGAACTTGATTTTTATTTTCCATCAGAAAGAGTTTTAGAGGTCTTAATCTATGGACTAGAGAGCTGTGTGAGAATTAATGGTTGGCAAAGGCTCTGCTGTGGACCGCCTTGATAATGATAGAGTTAGGAAATAAGTTTTTAAAATATTGACTTCCCACTGATTTTTTTCCTAATTTACGGTATTTCATTAGCTACTAATATATCCTATCACATTGAAAAGGAGGAACTGAAATGTCAGTATTCAAAATATTTGATCAGTCCTGGCTGGGGGGCTCAGTTAGTTGAAGCATTGCCCAGTACACCAAAAAGGTTGCATGTTCGATTCCTAGTCAGAGCACATACCTAGGTTATGGATTCGATCCCCCAGTTGGGGTGTTTACAGATCAATGTTTCTCTCATATTGATTTTTCTCTCTCCCTCTTTTTTTCTTTTTCTCCCTCCCTTCACCCCTCCCTTTCTAAAAACCAATAATAAACCATACCCTTGGGTGAGGGTTAGAAAAGAATTTTGGTCATATTATTCTACTTGAAAACATTTAAATCCTCTTCTATGCATTTGTTCAAATAGGTTTATGCCCACAACCCCACATTTACTAACTCTCCCTTAAGGACACCACTTTCTCCAGGATGCCTCCCTTGGTATCTTGTTAGAATTCTTAATCCTTTAAATTACTAAGACTATATGTAACTTTCTTATGGAAATTATCGGTTTTAAACAGGGTCAAAATTTAATTTTATCTTGCCTAAATTTAGACTTATTTGATTCTAAATTTTGGAAAATACATAAAACTACCAAACTGATGATTTATTATCAATATTTATGTCTAACCCTTTAAAAATAAAACCTTCCTGACAAAGTTGAAGCTCTCTTTTTCCTCTATCCAGAGCAGCTCCATGCCCTGCCCTGTCCCCAACCCAACCCCTCCACCTGAGCCAACTAGCCATGGCATTTTAATTTTTAAATGTTTAAACAAATATGTGTTCATTAATGATATGTGGTAAGCTTTATGTAATTTTAGCTTTACATTTATTGTATCATGCTATGCATACCATCATGCAACTTGATTTTTCACTCATTCTGTTTTCAGATCCATCCATATGGAAAAATATTGAAATACTTCATTCCTTTTAACTGTTAAATAGCATTTCATTGTATGAATATATTTTATTTATCCTTTTGCTTATTGAAGTGCACATAGATTGTCTCCTGACATTGATTTTTATAGTAAGAAGCTTACCCAGGGAGAAAAATGGTGTTTCATAAATTCCATGGTAATCTAACATAAGATTTTAATTCTGTAATCATATAGACTGAATTTCTAAGTATACATTTATTTCTGTAATTATGTATGAACAGTACCAATTAATAACATCAGAATTATCTAAAAATAGAAAAAATGGTAATCTCTTTTTTTTCATTATCAGATACCACAAGTTGAAACATATTTTTTTGTGGAACTGTATGAAGTCACTGCTGGAGCAGCGATAAACAGTAGCGCTAGATTTGCACAGATCAAATTCTTACAGAGTGCTGAGCCTCAGAGCCTCGTGTATTTTTCTGTGGGTTCCCGGCTACCAGTGGCTCATAAAAAGGCCACTTTAATCAGTTTGCAGGTGTCCAGAGATTCTGGGACAGGACTAATGGTGTCTGTTAACTTCGGTACCCAGGTAAGCATGAGATAGATATTAACAGTTAAGGTTTTCTTCTTTAACTATGGCATGAGTAGTGAAATAGAGAATAAGCAATACATTATTTTCTTATGATTGTATCATAATTCACATTATATTTATTATATTAAACTTCATGTTTTAAAATGATAGTGTTTTGTATTTTTCTTTCGGAAAAGTTGGTTGTGTAATGCAAACTGTCTTGCATAAATCTGTCTTATAAGATCTTTAGAGAGTTAAAATTTCTTCACAGTGTGACTATATAAGACCAGAAACAAAAAGCAAGGTCTTTGTTATTGTTTATATTTGAACTAGTTGAAAATCTTCTCTGGAATTTCAAGCAACAACTGATCTGTATATTTCTTTAAATCCATGAGCTCATGTGGTGTTAACTGCCACTTTTCAAATCCGTCCTATTCGGTGACATCAGGTGAAAGAGAGGGAACAGGTAGGTATCCAGGGACTCAGAAGAGCAGTACTATGTAACATGAAGTGACCAGATCCTGGGATTGGGTCAGACAACACCATGCACCTTTCCAGCATTATTTTTTTGTTAACCCTCCTCCAAGGATATTTTTCCATTGGTCTTTAGAGAGTGGGAGGGAGGGAGAGGGGAGAGAGAAAGAGAGAGAAACATTGATGTGAGAGAGACACATCTACTGGTTGCCTGCTACACATGCTTTGACTGGGGCTATGGATCAAACCTGTACTCTGAAGAGAAGGGAATTGAAGTTGCCAAAATAAGAATCTGAGTGCCAATATCTGTCATATTTATATATAGTCTTTCTAGATTCTTCATAAATGATTTCTTGCAAAACACATGCTGCCACTAGCATGTAACTCATCGCATTTTTATAACACTGTGGAAACATGAAGGGACCCTGTGGGATGGAAATGTTCTGTATCGTGACTGTATCAATGTCAATATCCTGGTTGTGAGCTAGTACGATTACGCAGAATGTTACCAAAGAGGGCTGTTGGGTAAAGGGCCCAGGAGGTCACTCTATTATAGCTTGTAAACTGCCTGTAAATCTAGAATTATTGCAAAATGAAAAGTTCAATTTTAAAATTAGAAATAAAAGTTTTACTTCTCTGGTATTTTATTTCCCTATTGCTTCATTGCCTCTGTATTTTCTCTCTCTTAATGCTAGGCATATTACTAGAAGGCAAACACATATAATTCTATTTTCAGTAGCAGGCAAGAATGAGAAAATTATGGACCAAGTTGCTAGTCTGTTACAATGATATCAGTCCTCATTTTATCTCTTTAAATAGTTTTTCATTATGTAGTTAAAACAGTAGCAGTAGTGCACATACTCTGTGGGTCAGCAATCCCAGGACGTAAATACTATAGTCTCAGCACTCGTTCTCTTATATCCACATATTTATGATAAAAAGGTAAGGGATATAAAGTTTTGAGATAATGAAAATAGCACTCATTTCAGTTAGTTAACATTAAATTCAATAGGCCTATAGCTAATCCAAATTTGAAAACCCATTCAAATGCTCTCGTTTATATATGTGTGTACTGGCCCAAAGCACACAGGAAAGAGTAAGCCTTCCCTCCTTATGCACACATTGCCTGTTCTAGGCAAAGGCTATTTCTATATTGCTTTCCATTGTTTCTTTTCAATTGCATAGTGCTTCTTGTTTTTTTGTTTATTTTTTAAATATATTTTATTGATTTTTTACAGAGAGGAAGAGAGAGGGATAGAGAGTTAGAAACATCGATCAGCTGCCTTCTGCACACCCCCCACTGGGGATGTGCCCGCAACCAAGGTACATGCCCTTCACCTGAATCGAACCTGGGACCTTTCAGTCTGCAGGCCGACGCTCTATCCACTGAGCCAAATCGGTTAGGGCGCTTCTTGTTTTTATATGTATTTTATAAACACAAGAACATTTTGATGATTCCCTTTCCTTTCGACGTCTGAAATAAATCCTACAGGAAAACAGTGGGCAGAATGTATATGTGCAGTTTGTAGTAAAAAAAATCACCCCCCTCCCCCCAGCTTAAGAAATTGAGCTTGATCCATTCTCATCTTCCTTTCCACCCAACACTGTATTAGCCAGGAAGTCCTACTGACTCATCATTCAAAGTATATTTCCAATCTGTGCACATAGCACTCTTTCTGCTTATACAACCCTACTTCAGTTATCTCCCTGCCTCATGCATATCCCCTGCTACAGCCAGAACAGTCACAAAAAGATAAAATCTGTCACTCTCCTGGAACCCTCCAGGGTGTTCCTGCCACACTTTGTAAAATGGATGTACATGATCTGGCCCCTGCCCACCTCTCTGGTGCCAGCTTCTTGTACTTTTGACCTTGTTCCAATCACATTGGCCCTCTGGCTCTTCCTCAGGGCCTTTGTAATTTCTGTTCCCTCTGCCTAGAATGTTTTCCCCAGATCCTATGTGCCCTGTTCCCCTACACCAGTGGTCGGCAAACTGCAGCTCGCGAGCCACATGTGGCTCTTTGGCCCCTTGAGTGTGGCCACGAAGTTTCAATCGCACTGTACGTGTGCGCCCGCATGTGGCATTTTGTGGAAGAGCCACACTCAAGGGGCTGCAGTTAGCGACCACTGCCCTACACCACTGTGGTCTCTGCTCAAATGTCACATCAACAGCTTCCCTGAGCAACCTTACCATCACCCTCATGCCCTGCCTAGTCTTACTTTCCTTCATAGAATTTATCTTCATATAAAGTTATGTTGTTAATTCTATAACTTCTGCACTATGTCCTCTGCTAGGCTCCGTGAGTGCAGGGGTTCTGTTGTTCATATCTGCACCCACAGTATGCCGCCTGGCAGGTATTGGGAGTTTAGTATTAGTTTGCTCATTAGTAAGCAAATTCACATTACTTTGGTTCTTCCTTGACTAAGTTCTCATGCTTCGATTTACAAAAAACTTTTAATAACCACAATTCAAGGAAATTCAGGTGTGTGTATGCCCAAGGTCCTTATTCCTTAAGGTGTTTTCCTGTCTCAGTAGAAAGGACAAGAGACCCATTCCTCCTGCTTCCTCCTTTCTTCCCTCCGCTTTCTTTTTTCTCCCCAAACCCCATCTCCTCCACATTTCCAGGCAAAAATGCAAATGCAAGGATTCCCTCTTTTCCTCCATACTTGCATTTGCAGCCTGTGTTATTTAAGCACAGTGTTCACAGTTGGAGAAATTCTGTGAGGTAGTCGGGACAATTGTAATTCTCTTTCTTGGTCTACTCTAAGGCATCTGTCTTTCCTGACCTCATCACTGTATGTTGTACATTTTCCCCTTTACCTGAGGAGATTAGAAAAAGTATAAAACCCACTGATTTCGTTGTAATGTTGTCACGGCCCATCAGTCTAAGAATAGAATTTGCTGAAAGTCAGAGTTTGTGTGGGACGAGATCAGAGGTGCGGCAGCTTCACTGAGGCGTGTTGTTTAATTTCCAGGAGTTGAGGAGCGCTGAGACAGTGGGCCGGACGCTCATCTCTCCAGCTCTTTCTGGGAAGGATTTTGTGAGAACTGAAGGCACCTTGGTCTTCGAACCTGGCCGGAGAAACACCGTATTGGATGTCGTCCTAACCCCAGAGACAGGGTCTTTAAATCCATTTCCTAAACGCTTCCAGGTTGTACTTTTTGACCCAAAAGGCGGTGCCCGCGTCGATACAGCGTATGGGACTGCCAACATCACGCTGGTCTCCGACGCGGACGCGCAGGCCGTGTGGGGGCTTGCGGACCAGCTGCAGCAGCCCCTGGACGGGGACATCCTCAGCAGAGTGCTCCACAGCGTCAGCGTGAAGGTGGCCACAGAGAGCACTGACGAGCAGCTCAGTGCCGTGATGCACTTAATACACAAGGTAAGGCTCGGCACGTGTCAGCAGCTGGTTCCGGAAGGTTTCGTGAATTTAAAAAATAAAAACAAACACACATGCACGTTTATAATGTCAGTGATCATGAAATTATAATAGAGTTAAATTTCTGAGCATAGAAGTGGAGTTTATCATATCTGATAATGTACTTTTGCTTGCATGTGACTTGCACCTGTTTGGAAACCTCAGTCTTTTTTTTAAAAAATATATTTTATTGATTTTTTACCGAGAGGAGGGGAGAGGGATAGAGAGTTAGAAACATCGATGAGAGAGAAACATCGATCAGCTGCCTCCTGCACACCCCCGACCGGGGATGTGCCCGCAACCAAGGTACATGTCCTTGACCGGAATTGAACCTGGGACCCTTCAGTCTGCAGGCCGACGCTCTATCCACCGAGCCAAACCAGTTAGGGCATGGAAGCCTCAGTCTTAAACTCAGAGAGTGATGACTTAGCTCCTGCCGCAGCACGGATAGCCAGTGTCAGAAAAGGGGCAGCAGATGTCAGAAGCTACAGGCTCTGTCTGATTCTTAGAAGGTGGACAAATATCTTTTGAAATTGCATCTGGTTTTTGAGTCTATAAATAGAGAACTTGGACCAGATTGCCAGTTCTTCCTGCTTAAATGCTACAGAACAGGAGCTTTTGCCCTCAGCTTGTTCTTTGCTCCTCCCAGGCACTGAAAACTTTCACAGAACAGAATAACTCAGGAATGACCAGATAACTTCAGGCATTTAAATGGGTATGGACTTAGACCAACCAGGTTTAATTTTAAGCCTATTTATTTGTTTACACTTCTGCAAATGATGGAATTAAATGGAGATGTTAGACCCTAAGAATAAATGAAGCATATCTAAAAAGCATCATTGTTAAAGGAAAAGACTCTTATCGGGGTTTATTTGAGGCTTTTCTTATAAAAATATTTATCAATATATTGATATACAAGTAAAAAAGATTTTGAGTACATGCATATGAATTCTTAAGTACTATATTTCTTACGTGTGACCTTTAAATCCTTAAAATGTTTACAACAGGGTTTTAGATGGTCATGCCTATTTTACTTTTTATATGTCTCTTAAATCCAATGCCTGAAGGGTAGGAAAAAAAATTACAAAGCACACAGGTAGGAAGAGGAGGCCTTGCCAAATAGTGTAAAGCGAAGAAAAGTGACTATTTCATGCAGAGACTTCTCTTCTTGGCACTGGAACCCTGGGCTGGGGAGTCTACTATGGGGCTGGGACCCCTTGCTCCTCAGCGCAGTACCTTTGCTGCTGAAATATCCCTCCTGATTTTTACCCGTCACATGTGGGTTTGGGACCCGCCTGTTCTCTGCCCCAGTCTTGATGTCACTTCTTTAAATCCTGATTGTAGGACTTCCACTCAGCTAGATTTTAGGAGGTTCTGAATGGTGGTTGTGATGTAGTTTAGTTGTAATTTTGATTTTGTTGTGGGAGGAGGCGAGTACTTCCTACACCACCATCTTGACCGGAAGTGTAAGTCATTTTTAATACATAAGTTTGAAGTGGAGGCCCAGAAGTCATACAGGAAATGATTGATAAACTTCACCACATAAAATTTAAGCAAAATTTATTTTTGCATATTTCATAAGCAAGATCAAAAGAAAGCTAAAGTTATATGTCAATTAGATCTCAATAAAACTGAGGATTAATAAAGTAAGAAAAATAAAGACAACTAATGGGTGTTGGGAATATTTATACAAATATATGTATAACAATAATGTTTATTTCAGCATAGCATATAATAAGAAAAAGCAGGAAAAATAAGCATCATAAGAGGGGCCTGGGATATCCATAAAATGCATAAGAATTTTCATGTTTTAAACATATTTATAATAAGAAAATAAAACAGGCACCGAAAATGTATATGATCACACATAGTAGGGTCTAATTTTAGCAAGTAAAATATAGTTAACTTTGAATTTCACATAAACAATGAATGAAAACATTTTTAGTATTTATATGAAACAATTATTGGTTACTTACCTGAAATCAAATAGAGTCACTTAAACTATAACTGGCAGCCATTCATATATTTTAAATGCACTTAATATAAACTCTAAGATAACCTCAAATTCAGGAGTAGAACATCCATGTACTGAATAGAAGTTCATTCTACAAGGTTGTATATTTTAAGTAAAATAGTTTCATATTTGTAAGTTTTATTTCCCCCCAGATTTTAGCTTCTTTGAAACAGAATTTGCTCTATACTATATGTTTTTATAGGAAGAGCTCAATAAACCTTATATATTGTTATTACACTCACCAGAAGTGACTACTTATTTATGTTCAGAGGACACAACTCTGTGCAGAAAAGAGCATGAACTTTAAATGACTCACTGTATTTTGGATAAAATTCAGCTGTGGTTTTGGGCAAATTTTTGCTACGACAATATTCTATCCTTTGATTTTCCTAGATACATATATTGAAATGAAAATTATTTAAAATGCTGTTGTTTTTAATAATTTCGGTCTTTTAAGACTGCTGGATTTGATGTGCAAAATTTAATTTCTTAGGGTTTTGGTTTCCAGGTTATGAAAGCTTGGTAAAACATGAGTCAAGAGGCGTTGCCTTTAATTTTGTGTTCTGGAACACTTGAAAGCACAGGAATAATATGTTCTGTGAAAGTTTGAAGGACTCTCCACCCCTTCCAAAGATCTCCTTTTTTGTTTTCTTCCTGACAGTTTAAAAAAAAATGTTTTCCATGGTTGATTCAGGCTCTGTACTTTTTTGTAAGCCAATTTTAAAAATTGGGGGGTGGGAGGTTCTTTTTATTGTTTATGTAAAATGGCCCTTTAGAACAAAATATTCTTATCATATATTTTAATAATATATATCTTATATTTTTAGAATTCTTTTTCGCATTTGGTTTATTTTATAATCACACTAACAGTGATTTAGACTTTGTCTATATTTTACTCCCGGTTGTATATTTCGTGCTTGCAGTAATTTTGCCTGCCCTGGCTGCAAACTGAGCCAATCTGTGTTGTTATTCTAGGACACGCAGGTAGGGGGATGTTTCCGGTCAGGGTAGGGGGCTGTCACAGTGCCTCATGGGACACTCACCATCTCGGTGCACTCAGAAAGTGAGGCATTCTCTTTCTGCCTCTGTTTCCTCATCTGGAAACAAAACAAAATAATACTAGCCCCTCCCTCACAAGATTGTTGTGAGAATTAGAGAAGTTAGTATAACCAGCTGAGAATAGCACCTCTATAAACCAAGGGTTATGTAAATGGCCTTCTGGTTTTTGTGTGTTTTCCTAAAACTTTCTTTTGCCCTTGAATGTGCATGAATGGTTGGGTGCTCTAGAATTTTGGATCACAGCCTTTAATTCTCAAAACTCCACATGTTGCTCTGGTGGTTTCTGGCATTTCATTTGCAAAAAAAAAAAAAAAAATCTGATGTCAAATTGATTTTTTGTTTCTCTGTTAGTAGTTTTTTTTCCTGTCTGTTTTTCTGGTAAGATTTTTTTAACTCTTTTAAAAATCACCAGAAACATCTGGTGTTATTTCTTTTTCTTATTTTCACTGGTATAAGCAAGCTCTGCATTTTTAGACGGAAGTATTTCCTTAGCTTATCAAGGAACTGTGTAGGTTTTACCTCTTCTTGCTCCTTTTATGTACTTGGTGTATCTTGTGGATTGGTCCTGTTTGTTATATTTTCTCTGAGTCCTGGGAGCATATATTGAGCTTATTTTCCATTGAACATATTCCAGTTGTTTCAGTATCCAATGAGCTGTCCCCTGTCTCCATTGTAGTTTTTACTTCTTTAAATTTTTATTCTGTCGTTTTTATCATCTTTTCCTTATGGATTGTTTTCCATTCTGCCTTACTATCTTTGAGATGGCTACTCTTACACTTGGATTTTGAGTCCAGCCAACAGCTTGGTACCATATAGATTATAAAACTATTTAAAAAATGTGGGAAACATGAGCCACTTCTTCAATGAGCTTAACTAGTAGGAGTAACAGACAAATCATTTCAACATTGTCATCATAAGTTTGTTAATAAAACTACGTGCAAAGTACAAAGAGAGTGATCATGTAAATGATCAGGCAGGTGGGGCCCAGTGTAGAAGTCATAGAGAAATGATGACTAATTTGGGTTTTGAAGAATTAATAGGGGCTTCTCAGATATATGAGTGAGTGGACTAACAAGTCAGTGGCTTCACATCAAAGCTTGGGCAGACAATAAAGATGTGGCCTCCATCATTCTGGCAAGGAAAAAACCCAATCATGAAGCTATTTCTCCTCTTAGTCTCCTTTTCCCTCAAACAGCAAATAACCCAGTTCTTTAAGGTAGGAAGGCTCATACTCACGGGTAAAGGCAAGAATGCCAGGAGTTCTTAACTACTGTTGGTTGGAATAGGATTTTCTCATTTGATGTTTCAGGAGTTTAGTGACATGTGGTGGTTTCTGTTCATTGAACACTTATAATCAAGAATAATCTTGCCCAGCCTGTGTGGCTCAGTGGTTGAGCATTGACCTGTGGACCAGGAGATCACAGTTCGATTCCCAGTCAGGGCATATGTTCGGGTTGTGAGCTAGATCCCCAGTGTGGGGCATGCAGGAAGCAGCCGATCCATGATCCTATCTTATCATTGATGTTTCTATCTCTCCTTTCCTCTCTGAAATCAATAAAAAAATATATTTTTAAAAAGAATAATCTTGCTTCTATATGGACATTCTTGTATTTGTTTCCTTAGTTGGTCAAAATAATAATCCTTGGGGTAGATATAAAAGAGATTAATTTTGACTCATGATGTTAATTATTGTAGTTAAAAGTAAGTGACCCATGCAACCATTTTAGGCTTAGTTTAGTTATTAAATAGAACATATTATGGTGATTGTGCGTTTTCTTTATAAATGATTGTTTATGCTTTTTAAAGTACAAATGGATATTTTTGAAATATAATTTTGATCCTGATTTCTCTTAAATTCTTCATAGGTTCATCCTTATTTTGTTAATGTTAATAGCGGTTAATAAAGAGCACAGTGTAGTATATGATACATTATCATTTAAAGAGTTTATTAAGATACATTTTTATATTTGTTTTTCCCCAGATAACTGTTGAAGGAAAAAAGCAAGCATTCAGTATTGAAAACCGAAATCTCTTCTATGATATTCTTTGTGCTCTTATTAACCCGAAGCGCAAGGACACTAGGGGATTCAGCCACTTTTCTGAAGTGACGGAGGATTTTGCCTTTTCTCTGCTGACCGATGTTACCTGTGGCTCTCCGGGTGAAAAGTAAGTATCATTTAATATACTAGCTGTGCCTTCTATGTATGTATTCTTTCACAGTTTACAAAGTAATACGCAATGCAAATAACATTTATATGATGTAACTAATGACTGTACAGTTAATGCATTGTACTAGTGCACAAATGAAGTTAATTATTTAAAAAAAAACAAACAGCAAGTTACATCAAGAAAAATAAACTATAAATTTATCCTGGCAACAATATATTCCTCTTTTATAAAGGGTCTTTTCTTTACTCTTATTCATATAATGAATAGAAGATACACTCTGAAAAAAAGGAAGGTGATGCCCACCGTTAGATGTGCTTTAATGTGCTGGTAACAGGTGGTTCCCTGGAGTTGTGGTTCAGTTTCATCTGTTTGGAGGCATCTCTCAGAATGTTGTTGAACTTCATACTCATCGTTTCATGGCAGAAAGCAAGCAAGAGGAAAGGAAAAAATAAAAAGTGGCTCATGTTTATTAGTATTTATGTAATTAATCTTGTAACTGTATGTTAATAGTCTTCAGAAGTCATGGTGTTTTAAACTGGGTAAGTGTAGTACAAAGTTCTAAAGATGTTTATTTCTATTTGATTTAACATAAACATGGTTGATAATAAATAAAAAAAGAGTGAAAATGGAGATTTCCCTCCCAGTTCTCACTGAGTAATATCCGTTATTTAAAAAGCAATGATTATTATTTAATGGGACATGTCTGATTTAAAATGTTTATATTATCTCTTTAAAGTTTAAGATTGTATTGATTGATTTTAGAGAGAGAGAAAGGAAGAGAGAGAGCATCAGTTTGTTGTTCCACATACAGGGTGGTCGATTCCTGTATGTGCCCTAACTGGGGATGGAACACACAACCTTGGCGTATCGGGATGATGCTCTAACACACTGAGCTACCCGCCAGGGCCTCTATAAACTTTATTTTTTATTTATTGATTGTGGGGAGCAGCTACAGTGTTTTGAACAGGTTCAAGCCTTGGACTGATGAGAGGGCACAGTCCTCTCATTGCCACGTGCAAGTCCCAGCTTGGAGGGCAGAGCCCTCCCAGCACAATTATAGTCAACAGCTGTAGTTGTAAGCTTGGACCTATGGTCTGAACATGTGGCCTCATGTGCCTGAGTGATGTGGGCTTGATAGAGTTCAGGTGCATGTAGTTGAGTAGGATTGAAACCCAGGAGAATGTTGTAAACATCTTGGTCACGCCCTTACTTTACCTCATGGCATCTGCTATAAAATAAAGGCATGGCTGTGGGCGTGGTCGCTGTCTCTCAGAGAAGCAGCGTCCCACTGAGACCCGGCTTTCATTCTCTTGTCTGTCTTTTCTAAGCCTTTCAGCCGCCCCCACTCAGGTTCACCCTTGGCCATGCTGGCTCAGCACAATTGATGAATGCTATGATCAGTATTCATTAAGTTATGTCGATATTTTGAAGACTAATTTTAAAAAATTGGTATAATAATTTAAATCATCTATTTATGGGGCCCTTTGTGAGCTGACATGTTATTTTAAATATTGTTTGTATTGTAAGACTTATCTTCTTAGATCACAAGACACGTAAAGTTCAATGAGATAGCCAACTCAGATATAAAAGTGTTACACGAGAGATCAAATAATAAAATAATTATAATAACTGATATTAACTATTCCTCTGCTCTAGTTCCGACACTGTATTAGATTGAACAATATGAAATTGCCTTTTTATCTAGATATTAACAGTATAATATATTAAGTGTTATATGGATTGAACTAGTCCTTAGTAAAAGTTGTACATATTTTATTCCTGCAAAAGATCAGTTTAAATAGCTGTTCAAAGATAGGCTAGGGATTTTATTATTCCTATTTATGGATGTAGAAACTGAGGCTAGGGGCCTTCTACAGCTTGCTGGTGGTCACATGGTTAGTCCAGGGTGAGGCCTGGGCTCAGTTCCAGGCCTGCAGGCCAATCCCAGGCCTACTTGACTCCACTACCCTTGCTGGCCTCTGTGCCACGTGGTCAGAAGTGATTGTAAACCACTTGCTCTGAAACAGATCTTCCATTCTGAGCCCCATGACTCCAAAGTGCCCCGGACTTTCATCCTAGGTCAGTGCCTGGATGTGAGTTGAGGTTTGGGTACAGAACCAGCATCCCCTTACACTGTATTCTTTTAACCCTGATGGTCAAGTCCTGGGGACTTGTTTTTCTTTTCTTTCTTTTCTTTTTTTAGTAGATTTTTATTGATTTCAGAGAGGAAGGGAGAGGGAGAGAGAGATAGAAACATCAGTGATGAGAGAGAATCATTGATCGGCTGCTTCCTGCATGTCCCCCACTGGGGATAGAACCCTAACCTGGGCATGTGCCCTTGACCAGAATCGAACCCAGGACTCCTCAGTGCATACGCCAATGCTCTATCCACTGGGCAAAACTGGCTAGGGTTGCTTTTCTTAACGAGGAGCATCATCAAAGCACTTGAAAAGCTCTGGGTGCCCTTTCAGGAGGCCCCTTCTGCAGTCCTCCCCTGTTCCTAAATGTCCAGCTGAGACCAACGATTAGCAGTTCAGCTCCTCAGTGCCATTTGTAAATGTCTCTAATGTCTCCAGAAACCTCTGGAATGGATGATTTCTCTACTTCAAGTAAGTTTGCACTGAGGCCACAGTGTGTGTGTGTGTGCGTGTGTGTACACATATTTAAGAAATATCCTTTTACTGCTTTTCCCTCTTATACTGTGTTCAACTATGTTGTTCAGTTAAGTCATAGTTCATTGTTTTACAATCCCCATAGTCCCAAATCTTTAAATTTGTTTTTCCATATGTTTCCAAATTACCAGGATATTGAGGTTGTCTTAGATGTGAACCATCTACCCTGCTGTGATTGTTAGTTTCCATATCTGTGCCTTCAAAGGCCTGGTGAGAACTCAGAGCATCTGAGATGCACAGAAAGAATGGTCCTTTCTTTGTTGTTGCCTAATGTATTCCCTGGGCCTAGAACAGTGGTATGTAGTAGAATCTCAGTGGCTGTAGTACAGTGAGTGACTAGAATGAGTAAATGAATCAATACCTTCCCTTCCTCTCCATAGGCTTACCTTTCTTTCTAAGTTATCCAAGAAGAGGAAACAGCATGTATGATGGCAGTTAGGCAAGAATAGCATGGTGTGTTTGGGAAGACCACCAACCTTTAAAGGTTAAACATGGAATAAGTTAAGTGTGGTGTGTGTGTGTGTGTGTGTGTGTGTGAAAGAATCAGACTTAGGGTGTTAGACTGTTTGGGAGGTGTGTGTGGCCTGTATACCTTGAGGTGCTTCAATAGGAGTCTTGGACATTAGGGTCTAGAGCAGCCGTGGGCAAACTATGGCCCGCGGGCCGGATCCGGCCCGTTTGAAATGAATAAAACTAAAAAAAAAAAAAAGACCGTACCCTTTTATGTAATGATGTTTACTTTGAATTTATATTAGTTCACACAAACACTCCATCCATGCTTTTGTTCCGACCCTCCGGTCCAGTTTAAGAACCCATTGTGGCCCTCGAGTCAAAAAGTTTGCCCACCCCTGGTCTAGAGCCCTGGATGAAAGGCTGGATTAAAGATAGGTAAAGTTGGGGTGGCAATTTTTTTAGAGAGAGGGCCTATAGCTAGAGATAAAGGTCAGCCATTATGTTTTCCTTTCTTTCTCAAATGTTCCATCGAAAATCTTTGCTCTATTTCCTTGGTTAGCAGTCTTGACAAGGTATCATTTAGAATCACGATATAATTATACGTACTCTACATGTATTGTGGCCTGTATTACGTTTTAACATTTAATGTCTCATTTTTATCCTAATATCCTCTGGACATTTCCAGGCAGGTTTTAGATGTGATTCATCTGGTATCGCCTCATTGTTTGCAAACATAATATGTCCACTGATAAGATGTATCAGATTCGCTGGAGGACTGGTTAAAAAATAGAGTCCTAAGATCCCTAGCTCCCTCCCTAGGTAAGGGTCCTGATTTAGTAGGTAAGGGTCCTGATTTAGTAGGTAAGGATCCTGATTTAGTAGGTAAGGGTCCTGATTTAGTAAGTCTGGGATGTTATCTAGAAATCTATATTTTTAAACAAGCTTTCAACTGCTTTTAACACACACTGAGGTTTGGAAGCAGTTTCACTGAGCACAATATCTTATACCTAAGGGATGTTCAAAGCAGTATTGTTAAATGGATAAAGATCACTGTTCAGGGCTATTTTCCCTACCAGTTACCTAGTCAAATTAGCAGTTAGAAAGGGGCAGGGAACACTTGATGAAAACATAGCTACGGATACATAAAGTTTACGATACTCTTAAGTAAAACAGAGCGTTTCCTTAGTGATGTGCCTTTCCTTCAACCTGTTCCACCAGTGCTGATTTAACCAACACTGAAAAGTCCATTTTACAGCCACAGATGGTATCTGATATCCATGAAACAGCTTCAAAAATCCATGCGTTAGGTTATAAGGGGAATCAGGCAAAGGGATGCAGAAATTTCTGTGAAAAAAACCCATAAAAGAACTGAAAGCACCTTCTCTCTACTGCTCTGGGTTGGTAGTGTCCTGGTTATACACCAAGAACAGAGCCCTGGTGTAATGCATTTTAACAAATAAAAGGGGATATATAGAACAAATACAAAAAACATATAAAACGCATGCCACTTCAGCACACCCTTTGCTTTTCTGTTGTAGAAGCAAAACCATCCTCGACAGCTGCCCATATTTGTCAATACTGGCTCTTCGTTGGTATCCCCAGCAAATCAACGGGCACAAGTTTGAAGGGAAGGAAGGCGATTATATTCGAATTCCAGAAAGGTTATTAGATGTCCCGGATGCAGAAATCATGTCTGGGAGAAGTACGTGCGAATCTGTCCAGTTTACAGAGTACAGCAGCCAGCAGTGGTTTATAAGTGGAAACAGCCTCCCTGCCCTGAAAAATAAGGTAATCTATCATTATAAAGAATTATGGTTGGGCTCTGACTTTTGCGTAGCAGCCACACTCCCCAGAATGCATTAGCTGGGTCAGATTTGTGGGAAGTGCTACACATGGTGAGCTAATTATGAAACATGGCCCATCTTTATGAACTATTTGTCAAGAGTTTTGCCTTAAAAACAGCTGGAAATATTCTCTTCATGTTTTATTGAGCAAACTATATAATAATAGAGGGACAGTGAAAAAATACAGCTTTTACCAATATTATCTTATATATCCCCCTCGTGATGAAGTTCAGCAGTTATAGTCGTAGTGTTGTCAGCTGAAGACAGCTCAGTAACTGAAGTGGAGGCAGAATGTTTGCGATGGAAAGCCAGGGAGATGTCCTGCGTTCCTAAGGCAGCTTCCTTTATAAATAGTGGCAGTGAGTAGTGAGTAAAGGGACTGAAAAATGAAGCGAAGTTCAGAATGGGAGATTCAGTCATGACATTCACTTGAAAACATCATTAAATCATTTTCTGTTTGCTTTTTTTTTATGTTATAGGTATTATCTTTGAGTGTGAAAGGTCAGAGTTCACAGCCCCTGACTGACAACAGTGAGGTTCTCTACAGGATTTATGCTGCCGAGCCTAGAATTGTTCCCAAAACCTCACTATGTCTCCTTTGGAATCAGGCTGCTGCAAGGTACTTATTAGTAATTGTTTAAAATCAGAATTTGGTCCTTCTACAGTCCAGTACCATTGAGCCCATTTTTTTTCTCACTGAGCATCAGTGGACTCTGGACAAGAATAACCTCTACACAAAATAAGGCAAAGAAGCATAGGAAAGGGTCTAGCATTGTGCAGGTGGCAAATGTAGCCAAACAATTTAAATATGTGTTCAATACAATATTAACTTCTTGATGACTAGTGTTTTCATGGGATTTAGCATGAATTTTGCTCAATTCGGATAACTTTCCTGTGGTTCCTGGTTAATTTATTGGGCAGGAAAGGAAATTCTTTTTACCCCTTCCATCTGGGCTTGTGGTTCTGGAGCTGATACTCTATGCTTAGAGGAATTAGCAGGGATTTGTAATTCTAGTTCACATAGGGCTGGAGTACATTTTGGGATTAAAGCCATGCACAGGAGTGGGAAGAGGAAAATGATGCTTTCTCTGAATCTCCTGGGCCCAAGGCCTCAAGTTTCTGAGCAGTTCTGTCACTCGGAGCCCAGTCAATGCCCCGTAGCCTAGGGTACTAATCAGTCACTAGGTTTGGACCCTGGAGATCAATTCAAATCTGGTAGGTAAAGCAAGGGTGGTGGGGTATATGTGTGTGTGTGTGTGTGTGTGTGTGTGTGTGTGTTTAGAGAGGACAGAGGGCTTATAGCTAGAGTAAAGCCCTTAATCTTTCCTTTCTTTCTCAAATCTTCCATTGAAAATTTTTGCTCCATTTCCTTGGTTAGCAGTCTTGACAAGATATCATTTAGATGCATGATATAGTCATACAAACTCTACATGTATTGTGGCCTATATTACTTTTTAACATTGAATGCATAATTTTATATCCTCTAAATATTTCCAGGCAGATTTCAGATCTGATTCATCTTTGTATCTCCTCATTGTTTGCAAACACAATGGTTCCACTGAGAAGATGCATCAGATTTGCTGGAGGAGTGGCTAAAAAATACAGGTTCCTAGAATCCCCCTCTCCCAATAATTTCTTATTCTTAATAACATTTTTCATAAGGATGACAACTCTTAATAGATTCTTCTAGGTCCACATAGTTCCCAAACCAGATGGAGACATCATATTTTACTTAAATATTAATAGAAATTTCATAGAGTGATAAAATAATACCAACGGGTAAAAAGTTATTTGTTACTGACTTTCAGCCACATAAACTAAAGTTCTTAATAGGTTTAATAGCTTAGTTGGGTAATTGGCCAACTGTCCTCTAAACACCAAAATTCTGGTTAGTCTCTTTCTTTCTTTGGAAAAAAAAATTATCAGTTGACATTCCTAATGTCTGATGACAGATCTTAAACCTAAAACATAGGTACTTTGGGATCCTCAATATATAATGACTAATGAATGTTTCAAGGTTGAACCTGCAGTTGGGTTTACAAATTGTGTGTCCTTAAAAAAGTAATCGAGAGTGTCAACCAGCAGTCACTGAGGAATGCTCATAACATAGCATAGTTGTCTTGTGCTAAATCAGCCAGACCTTATAGATACTCTCTATACTTAAAAGAACCCTGGAAAACATTTATGTATTATAACTGGCTGCAAACTCCAAAAAAGATTAAGGAATTTTAGAAAAGCATATAAGTAATTTGCGTGGTTCAAATTACTAGGAGTTATGAAAAATAAGGAAGGGTGAACACTACACATTATAATGGCTGTGCCAATCTTTTAGGATTTTTGCAAGATAGAGAAGAGTGCTTCTGTTGAAAACCTTGGGTGCTCCTGCTCTGTTGAGAGGACCAGCTTTTTCAGTATCTTCATGCTTTGGAAGGTTTGGATAGTATTTGGGCTGCTTGTGGGATATGTTGTGCCGTGTCATAGACAAGATGTTCCCTCCAGTGTTCTTCTTGAAACCGTGGTCTGCTTAAGTCTGGAGTCAAGAAGACTTAAGTTCAGTAACTTTTTCTTTAAAAGCCGCCTGAAGACCTCAAGTATTAATAAGGAGGAATAGTGACAGTTGTCTTTTTGCCCTAGCTGGTTGTCTGACAGTCAATTTTGCAAAGTGGTTGAGGATACTTCAGACTACGTAGAATGTGCCTGTTCATACATGTCTGTGTACGCTGTCTACGCCCAGACCGACAGCTTGTCTTCATACAATGAAGCCTTTTTCTCCTCTGGATTTATATGCATTTCAGGTCAGTTGCAATATTTTGTGTCAATAATTTAAAATACGTATGAGGATGAGTCTGTTTTCCTGTAGTCATTTTATATGTACAAGATGCAAATAGACTGTAATTCATTAGCACTGGGAGAAAATAAAGTTCCTCATTAATTCATTCAGTGGATATTTGTGGAGGGCCAACTTTGTACTGAGGATATAGGAAAGAACAAGGCACAGTTCCAGCTCATGAGCAATGTATATACAGTGTGGGAGAGAAGTGATATAATAGGAAAAATATATGTAGTTCAGAGTCTTATAATTTAGAGGCAGGTTCTGTATTAGAATGTCAGGGTTGTGTGAGATCATACACACAAAGCAGTTTACATTTTATTTAAAAACAAAAACAAAAACACAAAACTACCCCTTTGGTTGATTTGTATTCTACAGCCCAGGAGCTCTAAATATGCTCTGTTTTAAAAAATAATTTTTCACCTTCCACATTTAGGCTTCATTTCTGACAGGAGTAGGAACTTTTTAAATGCGTTAATGTCTGTCACACTGTTTACTTATAACTTAACTTAGAATAACTATAGAATTATTCTCATTTGCTGCGAGTATATGGTTGGGAGTCTTAATAATCTCTTATTCTCAATAACATCTCTCATAAGGGTGATATTTCTTGCTTAATAGATTCTTCTGGGTCCCCACAGTTCCAAAACCAGATGGAGACATCACACTTCACTGTAATATGAATAGAAATTTCATAGATGATGAAATAATACCAAAGGGTAAAATGCTGAAGTAAATCTAGATGTTATTTTAGATGTTTCAATAGAGAGATAAATCCAAGCCCTGCTGTGACCCACAAAACTCCCTCGCTGGTTCTAAATACTGAACATCAAAGCAAAGAGATTTAAAAATGAAAGAGAATGTTTCCTGAAAGAATTAATAAATACATATTTTTCGCAGCTTACTCTAGCAAATATAGATTTGCTCATATATTTGAGAATCGTCACCTAAATATCATCTACTTTTATCACTTTTGACTTGATATCATATTTGAAATTACAGCTGACCCTTGAACAATGTGGGCGTTAGGGATGCTGACCCCTCTCCTCCCACCCCGTGAGTGAAAAATCCATGTATAAGTTTTGACTTCCCCAAAACTTAGTATTAATAGCATACGGTAGAGCAAAAGCCTCACTGATTATGTGGTCGATTAAAATATATTTTGTGTGTATGTATCATATACTATATTCTTAAAATAAAGTAAGCTAGAGGAAAAAAGTCATAAGGTAGAGAAAACAAATTTACAGTACTGTACTGTATTTATCGATACCGTGAGCTTATGTTATCTGTCTTAGGCTATGTGCTTATGAGGTTTTCAAATTGTCTGCTTGTCTCAGCTTCAGGGGAGGATGAATGTCCATCTCTCAAATGCCCCCTCTACCCTCCCCCCACCCCAAGAAGTAGAGAAGAGAATTATATATATCTTACACACGTTTTCAATAATTTAGGTCAGGTCACACTGAAGATCTCTCTGAATTTGGAAGTAATCTGACTAGCTCTTTTCATGAAATGTAGTAACATATAATTAGATAGGAATCAAACCTCTGTATTTAAGTCAGGATAGATCACAATATATCTGTTCCAATTCTGTTTCATAGTTCTGAGATTTTTGGAAGAATTTGATGTGGAATTTTAGAAAATATATCTTATTTTTAAAAAATAATTTAAAATGGGTGGATGGCATCTAGTAAAGTTACAGAGTATTTTTTTTCTGAAAAATAAAACTATCAGAATCTTAGCTTGTAAACTATAAAAGCCACAATTAGAATATTCTTGCAGTTAAATAAACCTTGAACAAAATAATAAGCATGTTTGAAAGGGCTTGAGATTGTATTTATTTACTTACTTGTCTTATTATTTAGCAATTATAGACAATTACTTCCTGTTACTTATTATAAAATTGGCATTGTGTTGGCATTTATCACTTAGTAATCTGTGAAGTAAATAAAACCATTAGCCAAAGGAAAGCTTTAGTTTAATGTGTTAAGTACTTCACACACACACACACACACACACACACACACACACACATCTGAGGTCTATATCCATCTCTAATCTCAGCTTTAAAACATTCCAAACACAGGAGACACACCTACAAGTGCATCAGACATGACCCAGTTCATGTATGCATGGTAAAACTGAACTGGTTTATGGAATGTTATAGGGTCTTCCTACAATTGCAAAGCATAGAAATTGTATTCAGAGTCAAAATGAGGATCATTCCAGTTCAGTTGTCTGTCTTTGATAGCACAACATCAATAGAGTTGCGAGGAGCAGAGTAAGCTTCTTTGGTATTATCCTTCCAATAGCAATGTGCATTTCAAATTATGCTTAGGTTCCCTGAAATAGTTATGTTATACAATTATAGCATTAGCATCTGAAGTTATTCACGTTTGAGGTGAATTTTATGTCACACTAATGTGCACAGTTATGGTTTACTTTTTTCCTCTTTCTTCAGGAGATAACCTTACTTTAATTAGCTTTTTAGCTTCACGAGATAACGCTACTTCAATTTCTTGGAATTTGGTAAACTGGTTTCTAATTTTTAAAAGTCATAGCTATATGCCTTGGTCTTCCATCTTTCTAAGTTGAGCTTTACTAAACTTTTTGGCCCGTGTGCCCATTTCCAACTGAGTCTGTACTCTACATAATGCTAGGAAAAAGAGTAATGGAAAATTATTCAACTAGCCAAGAATAAATTTTTTAGAAACAGTTTAGAGTACACCTTTAGTGTAATAACTGGAAATATTATGCTTTATTTATTTTATATACTTAATTTTTAAAAAATCTACTTATTGTTATAAGATTTTGTACTCTGTGATTTACATGTTTATATTAAGGGAATTTAAACCAAAAATTGTTTAAATTTAAACCAAAAATCTAAAAAAACTGACTTGTAAATTTAAATCATGTGTGCTAGTACAGCTATTCAGCATCAGGTAAGAAGATAAAAGATAAGTGCTCAGCATATAATGCTTCGGAAACTTGGTAACTGAGGGTATTCAGTGTATTTCCCAAGGCCAGTGGGGCTGGAGCACCGCCTGCTTGAGCATCTGGGTAACATCCCACATTGTAGGTACAGGCCGTAGCATCTAGCATCTAAGCCCGTTTTCCTGCCGCTGGCTTTGAATCCTGGACTGCCACCAGGTGTCATGCTAGCATTTTAATTGCAGCTTAATACACTTGATTAAATATTCCTGAGCTGGTCCATTTGAGCCGTACTAAATTTATATGAAATGGGCGTAGACTGGAATATTACCAAGTAAAGGGCAACGGCTATGACTAAAGTAGTTGGCTGGAGTGCATTTTTCCTTGGCCAGCACTAAATCCCCTTGCCTGACATTGTTACCATCTACCACCATAAACTTACAGAAGAGCATAAATTTGTGATCACATGGCCTATAATGAAATAAAAAACTTGCAAGGCTCTGCTTTTAAGCCAATATGTTAGACACACATACACATACTCACTGAAAACTTGAGTTTAAGCTGGCTTTGATCATCACAGGAAACTCAGTGTGCATTCATGAGTTGATAGCATCAGCCTCAGTAGTTTATAGACCACCTAAATTAAGGTGCAAAATCAGACATGACTGTGCAGTTTCTGGATACACTGTGTACCTGCATGGGTAGATTTTGGAGGCAGCCCCAGGACTTGCACACCTGCCCCAGAACACCTCCTGGCAGCCACCCTAAAAATGGATTACTCCAGACATCTTAGCCAACTTTTTAGGCCAAAAACCTTAACTAATGCAAAGCCTCAGTTCTGACATGGAAAGTTGCCTACTCATCTACCCCATTAAATCTAAACATATTAAAAGCTTTTCCCAAAAGAAGTTATGAGAGGCATTTCTATGCAGAAAACCAGACCCCATGTGGGCATTTTGCAAATGCCCTGGCCACTTACGCCAGCAGGTGGTCTCCTTTAAAACTTTGTTCCATAGCTTCAGAGAAGACAGTGGGAAAATATCCTGTTAAATGAATGTAGTACCTCCTGTTCGTCAAGGAGGCGTTGATAAGTGAGGTAATGCATGCACGGCACTTGGCAGAGCAGCATACGTGTATGTTTGAATAATTGTTAGACAGAACAACCCGACTGAGGATGAGAGTGAACTAAAAGGCTTAGTGAAAAAGTTACTATGTGCTGGACATTTGAATTAAAAGAAAAAAAAACAGGAAATATGTTTAAAATATGCATACACTCTGGCATTAAAATAAGTTTATACAGATTGCAAGACAAAAGGTTTGTGGGTTAGTGCTGAAGTTCTCATCATCCCCAGGAAGCAGTGTAAATAGGCGAATGCCAGTAGACTTAAAGAAAATAAGAATACGCCCTGGTCAGTGTGGCTGGTTGGGCATTGTCCCATGCACTGAAAGGGTGCCAGTTCCATTCCTGGTCGGGGCACATGACCAAGCTTGGGGCTCAATCCCCGGTAGGAGGCGTGCGGGAAGCAGCTGATCTATGTTTTGCTCTCACGTCGATGTTTCTCTCTCTCTTTCCCTCTCCTTTCCTCTCTCTATAAAAATCAATACAAATATATTTTTAAAAAATAAAGTAAGAATAATTTTCTCCACCCCACTTAACGAATGTAGATATTTAGGTTAAAGTCATCTTAGGGAGAAAGAACACATTTTTTCCTAGTTTTAACACCAAGTAACATAAGGGTGATTTTAAAATTCATAATCATCACTGTTGTAGTCCTATGACTATTCTTAGTAGATAAAAAGAGATAATTACAAAACCTGAGTTTTGGTAGTACTATTCACAATTTTATGCCTAAAAATCTTATTCACCTCCCTAATTATATCTATTTAGCCAAGCCACCTGGTCTTAGGAAATTAGATTAGAATATGATTCTTTTCTTAATCAGTAAAACTTGTCTAATGAAAACAGAGCACCAAATGCTTAATGAAATTATTAATCTCCTTAATTTGTGATTTCTTTTTAGTAGGGAAAGGAACATGTAGATATTTAAAAATTAAAATTACCCTTAGGCTTAATTGATAAGTGTGAAGACTTTATATGCCAATCAAAATGGAGTAAATGAAAATTGCTACATAATCGTTCCCAGAGAGACTGTGCTATGCAGCATAGGCAGGCTCCAGGCCTTATGTGTTTAGCTGTCCCACAGCTTTTTGCTGCGCTACTGTTTGTTCATGGATTATAAAACCACACATGGACGTTTTTGTTCCCACAGGTCTCTGCCTGGCTGTGCTTTCCCATATCTTCTGTGCCAGGTATTCCATGTTTGCGGCTAAGCTTCTGACTCACATGATGGCAGCCAGCTTAGGTACACAGGTAGGAGCTCTGGAAGTGTTGACTTTCATGAGATGTTCATGTTTTTTCTTCTCTAGTCCTAGAAATGAATGTGCAGGTAAAGGATAATCTCAAATGAGTCGAAATACGCTCATTTAATTTTGTGGTGGAGGAGGGTGGGAGAAGGAGAGGGGTAAAAGGCAATGATAGCATCAGGCCTGAAAACGGTCGACAGAAAGGTATTATATCATTGCTTACAAGCAAATAGCTGCTGCATATCACAAAGCATTGTATTGTCGACTTATATATGCTACTTATCTTACTAATGTGTATACGTATTAAAATTAGGGCATGTTATTTAGTCTGTTTGCATAAAATGTACTTTTGCAAATTATTTATTTATATGGAGGGCATTAAGATGATATTTACAAAGTAGTTAAGTATACTGTTTCTCAAAAAAGCATACTTAACTACTTTGATTTTAAAAATACCTTCTAAATTAAAATATCTGGATAGTATATTTTGTTTCATTTAATATTATATAATACAATTTGGTAGAACACTGCTGTTTGAAAAATCGTTCAGGTGTCTGCGGCAGAAGAAATAGTGTGAAAAACATCAAGTCATTCATTAGCATGCAGTTTAAAGCGTACAGCTTAAAGCACAGAAGGCAGATGAAAAGATTGAACGCCTTTTCTGTCCATGAGATACTCTGTCTAGAAAGTATCACATAAATTAGTGTAATTCCATGTGATACGTGTAAACATAGACTACTTGCAAATTACCCTATGAATATAGATGAGGACTTGTCATTTTTTTGTGAAAGTCAAGGAAGCCTTCATAGAGGAGGTATTGGGGAACTGTGCCCCTCTGGCTGTAATTCTCTGTTTCTAGAAATGGATACATAATATCTGTCCATAATTTAATAGAACTGGTTCAGCTTGTTGTTAAGGGGAGAGATGGGCATAGATGTTTGTAAAAGCAAAAAGGTATAATCACTTTAAGGCTGTAATTACATATCCAGACAGTCAGAATATACTCTATTATGTTATTTAGAGAACTGTGTAGTATTTTTAAATATATAAAATAAAATGTTCTCTTTTCTGGGTGGATGGGGGCACGTCTGAAGTACAGAAAATGTTTGTGCTTGATTGGGTGCTGGTTATATGCATGTGTTTGATTTAGATAAATTTATTGTGCTTTACACGTATGATCTGCACACTCTGTTTTAGAATGTTAATGGCATTTTATTGAACTCCAACAGAACTTTGAAAAATAACGTTAGTGGAGGAGCTGAAATATAAAATGGAAAATTATCTGGGACATTGGACTTCGGTTCCTTCTTTCTTTTGTCCTAGGAGTGAAAATGACATGTGTAATTTTTATAACTCTATTTTTTGGGACAAATTAAATGCTGGATTCCAAGCAGAGGATCCCAGATTGTGGTTGTTTTTTTTTTAAGTACCTATGAACTATGGGAGGTAACAGCTGTTACCAAAGTGGGGCTTACATTGAATTTGACAAGACTATTTATATTGCCGTAGTGAATATCTTAGTTGTCTGATCTTGCCTTTGCTTCTTGTAACATCTTAGAAAACCCGCCTTCCATAATTAGCGTTTACTTGGCTGTATTCACCACCCACTCTGGTGATTTTTTGGCAGCTGAATTTGTACAAGTCTTAATTATAGAACCATAGAATTACAGACGATTCTTCAGTGTCCTAGCAGACAAATTTGCTCATGTCTAGAGAAATGAAAGAAAAAGTCAGGATTTATATGTTGGGACATTGCTTTCTAATTCACATTGTACTTTGTATAAATTTTGGAGAAAATGGTTAGTCAAATCCAAGTTTTTTAATATATTTTTAAAATAGATGAAACGGTGTGGCATGAAAATTCCTATAACTTATGACTTATGAGATACATCAAAAAGAATCTTCATAGTTTATTTTTGGCGGGGGGAATTGGTGTATTGTTGATAGAAAAGTACTGTTTTCTCAAAACAGTATACTTAACTACTTTGATTTTAAAAATACCTTCTAAATGAAAGAGAATAATTGTTGCCCTTAAAACCTTTTAGCAAAGGCTTTGTAAAATTTTTAAACTCTTCAGAAAAAGAAATGAAGCAGGAACTTGAGCCCACCCTTTCAGAATTTTAATATCATGTTTATATCGCCAATTACAGAATCTTTCTTACCAACACGGCTATTCCATCCAGTTTCAGCTGCTGATCTCTCGTTTGGGATTCTCCATCAGGGTTATGCTGACATCGTTAGATTTTAAGTTCCCTCTAGAGAAGTCTCCCAAAATATATATTTGGCCTGTGATTTTTTTTGGTTTTTTGGCCGAGAGCGTGAAACTTCTCGAGCTGACCTAATATTTGAGTTGTGAATTCTCTGCGGACAGGTCTGCCAAGACCATTTGGTTTCACATCTTTATTGCTGACCTAGGACTAAGTTGAATGGCTTTTGTGGTAAAGGGAAGCATGGGAATGGGTAGTCTCTGACTTTCTTTCAATGCAGTGAGCGGGCCTCAGTGAGTCAGTAGTGAGGCGCTGAGAAGTCAGGAGACTGCTGCTCTGGCTGTAATTCTCTGCTTCTAGAAAGGATATTTAATATCTGTCCATAATTTAATATAAAATTTACTATAGATATTCATAAATGGATAAATATAGATAAGAATGCAAAGATTTTTCCTGCTTTAAAAATCAAAAGTTCTCCTTGAACGTGTTTGTTATTCTAGCTGCTTTGAGACTCATTAACCAGCAGGTGGCAGTAGAAGATTTTCTTTTTGCACAACCGGTCTCTCCAGCAAAGATGGAGTTCAGTAGAATATGAGATGTTTTCCCAGTACTTCTTTCACTGTCTAGAAAGTATTCCTCTGCAACAGAGTAACTGCACATTTGTGATTTCCTACCTTTCTATTTTTATCCTCTTTGTTCAGAATTGAACTAATGAATCTATAAGCACTACAAGAAAGCTTTTACATCACTGGTTTGGAATATACCATTTATCATTTATAGTTAGTTACATTTAGGGGCATGAAATTATTTTCATTACATTTGTGCTATTATAAGCCTCAAGAGGTGTGTTATAGAAAAACGGGTTTATTGACTGTCACGGAATTTTGAGGTAAGTTCTGTATTTTCAGAATTGTTTACTTTAGAAGTATGTCCTTTTTTTTCAGTGCCAAGTTAATATTTCTCACTTATCTAAGAGAAAATGGTTAAGTGGCAAGAAATAAGGCCATTCACTCCAAGTATGAAGTGAAAAACAGCAACCAAATTTTCATGGCATTGGGAGATGTTTCTCGGAAAAACATCTAATTATAACTTTGGAATTTTTATCTTAGAATCACATTGCCAACCCATGTGTGCCTGATAAGAATGGTAAACAACTAGGACAAAGGACAAGTTTGCAGTTCAGGGTTTTCAGTTCTGGGGGGTTCTGTTAGGAAAAGCAATTCTCCAAATCTAAAAAAAGAACAGAAGTTTCTTCATCGAAAACATGATGATAAGATAAAACTGTATTTACTCTGATTAATAAACTTAACCAGGGTGGAATATTTGTGGGGTTTTTCTTTCCCTCTGTCTTTTGTTTGTTTGCATGGCTTAAGCACATTTCCTGAAACTGAAGAGCAAATTTGTGTATGTAAAAATGATTTTGTGTACCAGCCAGCCTATACATCATCTGACTTCAGATGACACTAGATATCTGAAATTGAAAATACTTAAATAGAAATTTCTGGTAGCCACTGGATGTGCAGGAGTTTTAGCTACATAGGCTGTCACTTCAAGAAGGGACAGGGAATTGCCTTAAAATTCAGAGAGCGATTTTCTGGAATTTAGCACAAGTTGGTATCTTGTGCAGTTTCCTCATTCTGCAGTATTTTGGGATGTCATTTTGCAATGTCATTTTGTTTCCCAGGTAGGATCCTGCTTAGCTACTCCGCCAATGGGTTCTGCTTTAATCTGCAGATAATGTCATTCTAGCTGTGAATATCTAGCATTTTTTTGAGACTCTGAGAATTATTGACAGTACGTGACTGAAGCCAGAAGTCACATGTGACCTCCCAATACTGACTCTTCTGGTTTCTTTCCCTGCAGCTTGCACTATCTTGTTGAGACTGCCAATCCAAGAAAGTCATTGTGTGGAAGGTTAGAAAACATGTATCCAATAAGCATATTTTTTATGGATTGAAGCAGAGCAAGATGGAAATTATAAAATGTTCATTAATTTGATGACTTGTCATTAGTTGGAAGTTTTGGTTAATCACTTTTTAACCTGAGTAACCTTTATTAGTTCTGTTCTTTTTAAAAAAGAGTTTTAAAGATTTTTAAATTTTATTTTTACAGAGAGAGGAAGGGAGGGAGGGAAGGAGTGATGGAAAGAGGGTGAGGGAGAGAGAGAAACATCGATGTGAGGGAGAAGCATTGATTGGCTGCCTCTGGCATGCCTCCAACCTGGGCATGTGTCCTGAACAGGAATTGAACCAGCAACCTTTCAGTGCATGGGACAATGCCCAACCAACTGAGCCATATTGGCCACGGCTATTTCTGCTTTTGCTACTTAAAGAAAGAGAGAAAAATATGATATAAATACAAAAATCAAATTTGGATCTTGCTTTGAGGACTGAGAACTTGCACAGCCCAAATGGTCTTTATTCACTAGAACATTTGTGATGATATGCATGTTAGTACAGATGTAAATGTGTTAGAAAAGTATGTCCTAAACTTCAAGGTAGGCCTCTTGTTAAGATGCAGATACTCAATCAAGTGTGGGGTTGGTTTCCAGATCCCGCTTGATAAGAGAGTAGGTTAACTCTATCATCACTAAGTGCATCTCTGGTCCTTGTGCTGCTGCTCTGGTGCTGTTGTTATTACTACTAAACCCACACTATCAAACTATTTTCCTTACTATAAAATTATTTAAGAAATTACATTAATTAATTTTTTATTTTATTTTTATTGAATTTATTTGGGTGACATTAGTTAATTAAATTATATCATTTTTCAAGTGTGCAATTCTGTAATATATCATCTG